TGCTCGCTACCAAGCTCCTATTTTAACTCCCCGCGCCGCTCTCGGCCTAAAGCAGTTCCAGTGCGTATCACTCGCGAGCATAACGGCGTGTTAAACGTGAAAACATATCATCTCTCTATGTCGCTTTCCTATAAATACCTTAGTTGAGGTTGAATGGCTATCTTCTCGCCGCGGCCATTGCCATCTCTTTCCAGATATTCTCTGTGAGTTAACCGGCGTTTTGGGCCTCTGCTGATAGAAACCACAGAGACGCAAAGGCCATACTCAAGGCAAGGCATATACCCATGTGGCTTGAAGGCACCGAGTGAGTGCTGCGGCGACTCTGGTGTTCACCATCCCTCCCGCAACATACCGAAACAATACCCAGACGACCACGGCGTCATAGCCAGTGACAGTGACAACTCTTGCGGATCAGCCTTAGATATCACACACTACAACTCTAACAGGACGTGCATGTTCAGATCCGGGCCTTGAATTGAGATTTCCGGTGTTTGGATTGCGGTTTTATTTGTTGCTTGGTCTTGGTGTTTCAAAAGACCACTTGCTGTCTTATATACATCCCATGCGAATAGTCCCTCCCGCATGCTAAAGTAGACGATTGGCACGCAAGTGATGGGCGACGAGCCCGGTTATATCGAGCTGCTCAAGGCCAAGATACAAGGGGCCGGAAGACACCACTTCAAGACCGGGAGACCAGGAAACGTCTTCATCTCAGCATACGATAAATACATTGCCTTCGCAGCAAAGCCGTCAATGCGGTCCAACTGAAAAGCTTTGGTCTACAACCCCCAACAATCCCTCTCTCCTGCGCAGATAAAGTCGGTAGTAGTGCCTTCATCATCTTGGGAATAACTGCGGTGGATGAAGTGTAAGAAACACACAGCAAAGCATATATCAAACCCCTGACCTTAAGGTAGTCAATCCTGATTATCACAAAATGGACTCTGGAACCTGCTGGGAGGATTCTGCTGCCGACACATAGCTTTCACGCTGGTGTTGGTGTGGTCACAGTCTGTACACTCAGAATTCCGTGCCTCTGAGGTATTTTGAGGCCCCATCCCGTTTAACGGAGGATGTTTCCATGCATCATCACGTCCAGCATTACGGTACTCAGTTGGCTGAGTATGACTTTCAGCGCGAGCGATTTGACGCAGGAGTTAACATCATAGATACGATTTGTTGCATTGGGCAGCGCGAACAATGCTCAATAACAATAGTTCCCATTGTAAAGAGGCACTCAGCCCACATGAGGTCGTCAGCTTGTTATCGAGGGGAGTTGTTCACTAATACCACAAGTACCAATGTCTTGCCACTCGCATACAAAGACGACGGCCCTAGCTTCCCACCAAACCGTCTGTCATCCCTCCTATCTCATCAGAAGCATGTCAAGAACTGCCAGAAACCAACCTTTGGACAACAACACAGCGAAGAACAGAAGAAAATGTCATACCAAAGCAATATCAACCCGGCTTGTTTCCAGCATCACGCAATGTTACACCTTCAACCCTCCGAAGTTCACTCGAAATCCGGAGTTCAGTCATGCTCGACCCACGCAATAGAGTTCTTCCCAACTCCTGACGTGCATGGCTGGTGTAAGTCGAGCACAACGCGTGCAGACGCGAAGACACGAGCGATGGATGCTAGTGCCTCGGTTGACCGAGTGGCCGATATCAGACGAAGGCGCGCGTCAAGTTCTCCGTAAAGTCGGAGGAGTAGCGTGAAGAGTGTGTCGTCTACATAGACGAATAACACTGCTGGGATTATAATATGGACAGCTGATGGCCAAACTGTCCGTCATCATCATCATCATCGTGATCACCTCAGTTCTCACCCCCACTCGTATGTCTTTTCTCAACTCACTTAGACGCAACCTTTCGCCGATGTGCCTCCCTAGGACATGGCTTGTCAAAAGGTGATTGCGAAGCCAACTAGAATTCGGCGGACATGGCCACAGAGGCCTCATTGACGATGACCTCTCCGAGCACTTCGCTTTCGGCAGCGATTCCGACCGCGTGCCCAGCTTCCAGTTTCCAGCAACCTTACTCTGCTAGACGAGAAGACAAAGTCATCCGACCAACACCGAGAAAAAAGTCAATCTAGTCAGTCTTCAGTTTGAGAAGAATTATCAGACCAACTCAATTCGCTCCAAGTCGAGAGTTCAACGTGAGTTCGGCAGGGCGAAAGCAAGGCGAACACAAAACCCCTGAATATCAGTTTACAGCACATGGAAGAACCCCGGAGATACCGACTCGCATCCCGTTGCGTGCCAAATCCCACGTCGAGAATGAAAAAAGTCCGACCGATGGAAATGTGGGAAAGGTAGAAAGAGAGTTCTGACACCCGAAGATATCTGGTGTCAGACCCTCGGGGTCAGCGGTCTGAGAACGGCCCGGCTGGGAAGGTTTTCCTGGCGAGTAACGCCCCAACTGACAAAGTCTGGAGTTTCAGGAAAGACTCGAGAAGCCGCGGCGGAAAAAAAAAAGATAAGATAAAAAAGGTCCGGCGGGATGGAGTCGCTGTCGGCTGTCGTCCATGGTGGGAAACGTCGGATGCCAAGGTTTTGGTTTTGGTGTGTCTGTGGGAACCCCCGGTCTCGTCCTCTTACCCCCACTAAGCCACGATGCAGCCGCTAAATTTTACTGGGAAGTCAACTACCGCCCGCCACTGGCGCGAGGAGAACGTGATCGAGATCGGTCCTCAGCTGGCCGTGCGTAAGGAGGAATAACAAGCATCAGGCGAACGAGACTGGGAACTGTCAGAGCCAGATCGTCCTTGGTTTGACTATTTGACTTTCTGACGACAATATTGAGTTAGAGACCACCGCCAGACGCGCGATAAATCAACAGCCGAGGAAGAAGTAGGACAAAAGTTTGCAGAAGCTGCTGAAAACTTTTGGGAAAGGATGATGCTGAGTTGAGAGGGCCCAGGGGTACGAGCGCCAACTAATAGCCAATCGGCCAAGTAGCGGTCCCAACCTGCAATACTTGCCTCGAGCGAGTGCCTAAAGCCAACAACGGTGTCCGGGTTGCTCGAAACAGGCTGAGGTGCGTCGTCAGGGATGTGGAGGCCAACGGGAGCAGACCCGTCCCGATCTTTCGTGATAGGGTGCCAAAAAGACCGAACTCGCATCCTCCAAGACCGACGGAATCTTGATAGAAGCTGGAAGAGTCTTTCGCGGTGATCGATTATTGGTTCCACGGATGACGGGGAGAAGGGGCTTGTTCAAGTCCCTCCACCCAAAGCAATCTGCCCATCTTCTAGGACTGAATGCTGAAATCCCACCGTTCCAGCTGCCGGAAGGTCCGGCCATGCCAGCAAGGTGCCAAATCATTGGCTTCCTTCTTGGCACGCCTTTGCGGCAGGCTTGGTGGGGAAACCAACGACGGAGCTGATTCTTCACCACGAGTCTGTGTCAACGCGTGACTGCACTGCACAGTTCAGGGCTTGTTTAGAGACAGAATGATGTAGGATGGACGATCTCGAATACTTGCGGCTGGTTGACTCTGGTAATCGAGAACGTATCAAGGCATCATTGGCGTATGTATCTGATGGTTGGTCAAGTCTGTTCTATTTCGGTAGGTTTCTGTCGGAGAAACCTGGGTGTGGCGGGGGTTGGTTGGCGGTAGGCTGATCAGTGGAAACATGGAGACGAGAAGCTCGGGCCTCGACGACCCTACAGCTGGAGTACATACTGGAGTTGCACTGCAAGGTGCAAGGTACCTGAGGTGAAGGTAGCCTGTATTGCCACCGAGGCAGCACAGCACATCTTGCTTGGTGCTGGCACTAAAAAGCCGGTGAGGGCCGCATGTGAAGACATCTCAAGAGAAACTTGCTCGAGAGAGATATTCATCGTTGAGTTGCGGCTTGCGTGCTTCGAGTGCAGTTCATGACTTGCGGAGGTGGAATAGGATGCGAAGAATGTTCGTGGAAAGTGCAGAGAAAAACCTAGACGAGGGATTGGACGACTTCGACCCGGGACCCTTGGCCGGATGATGAGAACCACAGCGCAGATGCGACTGGAGTTACAGACTGACCTGCAGTGTCGTGGAACTGGTACGCCGGGCACACATTGGAAAGGTGTGCTGTGCGTGCTAGTAGCGGGCGCGGTACGCCATTTGGAGCAGCTTTAGCCATGCAGTAGTCTAGTCTGTCGGTCCACGTATCTGCTGTGCGCACACATCTGTTGTCGAGTTGGCTTTTGATCCGCGTCATGACTGCAGCTCACATTGAGGCGCAGCTTGACCATGCAATATGGAATCCGCGGGTGTTGACGACAACCGAACTAACGCTCTATGCGGTGGTCTGGCGGCAACCGAGTTGAGCATTCGGACACCCGGGTGCAGGTGGGACTTGCCGCGTTGTTGCGGCCCAGCCTTCGTATGACTTCTGAACACGAAGTTCGAGTCGATGACCTGCAGGGATCATTGTCGACATCTCACCCAAGACAGCCTTGCCATAGGGACAGACAACATCAAGAGGAAGAGGCGGTGGGACGGGCATCATCCTCGCAAGCCCAAGGCGTCCGATCAAAGTGTTTGCGCGTGTCTCGGGCCCAAGGGTCCTCTTGACGCGATGCCGTTCGTTCCTGTTGGCATTTTGAGCATGGCCATCAGACGAAAGATGTTGTCTGGATGTGTTTGAGGCGTCATGCCCAAACATGCCACAGCATGAGTCGCTGGCGCGGACGCCTCCGCTTGCGGGAGGGACGAATGGCGAATGATTTGGACTCCGGCCTTGAGAAGGATTGTCGTCTTGTCGAATTTTGCTTGGATGATGCAAAAAGAATCAAGTTTCAGACCGAGCCGTCGTACAGCTGCCCCGACGCACATCTCTCATGCGGCTACATCTCACGCACACCGCTGACTAGTCCGGACGTGAAGCTGGAGACAGAATCGGGTGCATGGCCAAGATGGGTAGCAAAGTAGAGTCGAAGTAGAGTCGAAGTAAAGCCAGACATGGAAACGCAGAATGGAAGAGATGGACGCCCGATCAGCCAGTAGCTAATACGCGGTATTCAAGTACTCCTTGGGTATGTCGCCGAAACCCCGAATGCTGAGGTTATCTCGCATGTCCGGTCTTGCCCGTGGGTAGTGCCTTGTCATGTCTCGATCTTGTTTGGTGGATGACGGTGGCAGTGGTGGCAGATCGGCTCTTGTCGTCTGCGAGACTAGGCTAAGGTTTCTGGGCGGATGGAACCTCGACCTCGTAAACTGGAGGATTGGATGGGTGGGGGATGGTTGAGGAGGGGCGAAACGCGTAATGGACGACGGGCTAAGGAATGGAGTTCCCTCCGCCAGCGCCTCAACCTCGGACTGGGTCTCTGAATGTGCCGCCTTCGCTCCGGTTGTCGTCTTTCTGGTGATTTTGGATCCGTTTGAAAGGTAGAAACAGCCGGCGGCGGCATAGCGTACGTACTTCTTGGAACCAATTTCAGGTACCAGGCACGTTTTGCCCAGTGGTGTGAAGCGCGGCGTGAGGTGGGAGGTGGAGCTTGGCATCGTGGTGGGAGGGAGGCTGCTGGCTGAGACGGAATGCCAGGCCAGGCCTTTCAACTGGTTTCCCTTGCTTCCGGTGCTGGCGTACTTTTCGTGCTTCTGGTGTCGGTCGGACTGCTGTGTTTCCAGACAGGCCGACAGCTCGTGGGACCTGAGAACATTCGAGTATCCGTACTCTGTACGGAGGTAGGATTGTGGACGTCTTCTGATCAGAGAGTTGGGCATGGCAACCCTGGTGCTTCCGTCGGGGTCCGTCATCTGTCATTCGACAAAAAGGCCGGCAATGGAGGCCAGGGTGAGACGAGACTGGTCAGCCAGCTCTATCCCGTCTTGGAGTAAACACACTGGGTGTCGTAAGTTGCTGTCGGTTTTAGTCATGTCGGTCTCCCTTGAGAAAGTCGATGATGGACGGAAAGCATGGTTAGAAGTGGTGGTAGAAGGAAGCAGGCCCCCAAGGTAGGAGGGAGGTAGGTAGGTGATTCTAGGAAGGTACGCTCAGTATTCGTACCTTCCAATCCGTACATGCCTAGGTATGCCTGCCATGACAGGCCATGCTTTACTTCTTCTGGTGATGCAGCTGTCACCGCACACCATCTCGTTGTCCGCTCAGCTCTCATAGCACCAGTCACACATACCTACTTAGGTAGTTCGACATCGGCTGTTCGTTCACTGGCCGATTTGGTGGCTCGTATAGATACCCAACCTTCCCGCCACGTTTTTTGTGTGGTTTTGGTATTTTTTTTATGCTTTCGGCCCTGCTTCACAAGTGAAGGTCTCACCCAGTCATTGCAGCCAGTCAGTCACGCCTTGCACTTACACTCACTTACACTTACACTTACAAGCCAGAGCACGCGGCGCAGTGTCAAAACCGCCGCCGTCCGCTCCTGTCTTGCCTGCCAATTCCTTTTTTCCCTTGATCTCGTGTTTCTGCAATCCTGTCGCATTTGTGACAGCAGCGTGTCCGTCTCACATCTCCCGTCGCCCTTGGTTCGCCGAGCGGACGCGACGCCGTCTTGAACACTATTGACGCCTTGAAATCTCCAGAACGCACCATCATTAAAACCAATTTGACGAGGAACCTCGTCTGGGTCCGGACCCAACCGAAAACCGATCACCGACGGACGACCAGGATAATAAAGCAAGGTAAGCGACAAGACGATTACAGTTGCAGACAGACGCAGCTAGGGATCAAGAAACAAGCAATAAGGTGCGCACAGAGGAGGGAATTTCTTTTCGCGCCCGTCCATCATCTGCAAGCTGCAGACGGCGGCAGCACCAGGCCGTGCGACAGTGCTGTGCGCTTCGACGACGTGGGATGAAAGAGACCCGACATCTGACTGCAATTTGCAATTTACCTCTGCTACACCTCGGAATCCGATCCAATGCAAGTTGGGCTAACACTGGGGTAATAAGGCCGGCAGCATACGATCCGATCCATATTATCTCCATTCCACATCAGACACCACCTCACTTTCGTACCGAGAAAGACATCGATTCACGCCCACGCCCACGCCCACGCCCGCGCCAGCACCCGCCCTAGAAGGAACGCACGGGATCTTCATTTCGATTTTTGGCGAGGACGATACACTGGACGAATCGACTCGGGAAAGAAAAGGACCCTGACTGGAAACACTCTGCGGCGCGAGTCTCTGAAACGCGCGACGATTACCACGATTGCTTGACGTCAGTAATTTTCCCGCCGACAAACCGACGCAGCAAGGGGCGTTGATGGCCAATTACCCAATTGTCCATTGATTTGCACACTACCCAGCTTAGATGCCCTGCATTGGCATCCATTGATCTTCCGGCATTGTCATTGCCCATCTGTCAAACCATCGAATTTTTGGGTCCGCCTCGCCTGCGCCATCACCGCGCCCGCCCTGTGGCTCACGACGTCGCATTCGATCACCGATCATCCTCGACCATCAAACAAACTCCCCAATTTATCTGCCCATCATTACGAAACCGACAAACAGCACTGCCGACCAATTTCAACGGGTCGTCGACGAGACAGAAGTTCACGGACCGCTAGCCGTTTGAATCTCCGCTTGCAAATACGGATACGTACCATTCAGACAACCACCAACACAATTACCAGTGACAGACAGGCAAGGAGAAAAATAAGAAGAAAAAAAAAAAAAAAGGCAAGTCAAGGGACCGACCGCAGTATCGACGAGCTGCTGCACTGAATCGACACGGGCAGAAAAAACACCAGACGGAGCAGAAACCGGCAAATCGCATCACCAAGACACTCGTGGGCAATCAGGAGGCGTCTACAGCCTGGGCAGACCCAGGAATTGTTGTCCCATTGCACGACCCAGCAGCGCCAGCGCCAGCGCACGCCCCAACCACCCACCCCCAAGGTCACCACAAATCTTTTTCTGATTTTTCCTCTCCCAAAATCAACGACGCTTAACCTGTTGCGGTAACACGACTTCCCTGCAACACTCCCCAAAAAGAGCACTTGTAGCAACATCCCAGTGTCGCTCGCCCGAAGTTGCCCCCATCAGAATCCATCAGACTCTCAGACTCCCGTCTTTCTGTTGCAGCTTGCAGCATCCCGAGCCAAACATCGGCCAGCAAATTCACAAAAGTACGTATTTTTTCACCTTACCCTCCCAGCCCTCCACTCCCGCCCGATTCACCACTTCACCTGCGGGACTGAGGTGTTCCCTACCTTTTGGTACGGATACCGCGACTGGACTGGATTTGGTCTGCGTGGGTGGCAGCCGTTAGTCTTTTTTAGTGGTTGCCCGGCCGTTTGTTCCTGCTCGGCGCGGCAGCTTCAACTGAGAGAACGACGGAACGGGCTTGTACCTTGCCAACCAAGCCAGCAACCACCCAGCCAGCTCGCCTCCCACCCCAGCCACATACGAGACACTCTCTTCCCTGCCTTTTTTTTTTCTTTCTACCTCCTTGCGACGACATAGGCGCGAGAAAGAAAAAGAAGACACAACTCCTCCGCACAGCACAATTGCACAACCCTCTCCCGCGCTTCCTGTCCTCACCCTTCGCGCGTCCATCACATATCCCGTCAGGTCAGGTCAGTGGAACTCTGGAAACAGCCCGGTTCTACGGCTACACTACGTTGTGCTAGTCCTGCATCCACTTTCAACCCCGGCAGCCGCCCGGAAACACCACACGCACCCCTTCTCTGCCCCTTCTACAGGTCCACATTGCACTGCTCCATATCGCGCCGCCCCCTGGGATCATTACCTTGGCTGCTTCGCTAGCGACCTCCTGGGAACCGCACGCCCACTTCTTCCCCTTGCTGACCCGCGATAAGGCACGCAATAGCTCCATCAAACGTCCTTGCTCTCCGAGACCAGGCCCGCTGTTCACTGCCCACCGCCAGAATCACACCTTGATTAAAAGTAGCTCCCTCCCCCGGCCGCCCATCATGGCAGAACACCATCCACTTCCCGCGCTGCCTCCTCAGCAACACCAGCCGAACCAGCAATACTATCCGCAAAACGACGACGAATATCAAGAACAAGCCCCGTATCGTCCATACCAGCAGTACGAGCAACCTCAGCCTGTTCAACCGCCGCCGTCCCGCGGTCAACCCCAGACCCAGAATCGACAGCAACAACAGCAACAACAGCAGCAGCAGCAGGAACAGCAGAGACATCCCAGATCGCGACCGAGGACTTTCAGTTTCCAGTCAAACAAGTCCCATAAGAGCTCGGGAAGCACTGGGAAGATCGACTTACACGAGACAACCGAGGAGAAGGAAGCTAGAAGACTCCATACCAAGGCAGACCCCACCGTCGCTATGAGCGAAGCTGAGCCTTGTAAGTCATATCTGGCTTTCCCGGTTCTTTGATTCGCGGAAAACTGACATCGTGACTAGCTGCCGTTCAGGCTATGACCAAATCTTCTCTGGCTCCCCTGCGCTCGATTCAACATAAAGACGGTCTCGGCAATCCCATTGGTACGTGAATCGAAACACATGTTGATCGCAAGGCCTAACTTCTGAATCCAGCTGAACCTGATCGATCCAACCCAACCCGCAGTCGATGGGAGCGACCTCTGGATACGATCCGCAGCTTCGAGGCCGCCATCGATGGAGGTTATCGTGACCGAGACCGCCGTAAGTCTTATATTCGTTCAGGTACCTATTCTTATCCCTCGACGCTTGGTCTCGTCTAACGTCTACTATTCAGATACCGAGTCCATCGCAACATGGAACCGACGGAGCAGTTACTATGCGAGTGAGTTTGACGTTTGGTCGATTGGGCGACATCATCAACTGACAGCGTGATTCGCAGCTAGCGGAGGTCGTCACCCCCAAGACAGCTACTATGGTAGCCGACCGACTTCGTACCGGCCCGAGAGCAGCCAGTTTGGCATGGGAAACAATCGCCAAAGTTACTACGACAATTACCAAAACGGCGGAGGCTACTACAATGGGAACGACATCCCTTACCGCCAAAGGGTACCGAGAACTCAGACCGACCCTCACATGGGTGGCTATGGACGAGGCGATCAGAACATCTACCCTCTTCCCAACAAGGATCGCTCGTACGAGACTGTTACATCGGCTGCCGGTAGTGGAAGCTCCGCGGAGCAGGCAGGGTACCACACAGATCCGACCAGCAGCGACAACAGCTCCATTGAGCGCGAACGCGAGCGCGCTCCACCCCCTAAGCCGGAGCCGATCAACGACTATGGCATTGGCTTTAGCCAACCCCAATCATACCAACCGGCAGCGTTCAAGGTCGACAATGGTGCACCGAGCAGCCAACAGCAAGCCTACCAGCCAGTAAGCAGCGGCCCTGCGATGCCCGAGAAAGCGAACGTGCTCCGAAGACCGGCAGCTGCTCCCCAGAAACAGCCAACGCCGCAACGGCCCGAGTCTGTCAAGAGAAAGAGCTGGTTTTCTCGCAGGTTCAGCAAGTCGTCGTGAGGAGCACGAGACGTCAGATTTCGGACAGTTTCATTTTTCTTTGTCGATACCCCCAATTTCCCTATCTTCTGGAGACGCGGTACTTCGGTCGGAGATCCGCAGATGCATACTTTCTGGCCGGCCTGGCGACGGTTGAGGCGGCTTCTTAGACGGCTGAATAGCCCGAGATGGGCATACGAATCAGATCAATTCTGGTCTGATCCACACGTGGTGGTTTAATATTGTTGGATTACGGTACATGCATACGATTTGTACGACGTTGAGATTATGAACGACCATCTTGCGGCTAGATGGTCAAGTCACGGAAGCGCCCCTGGTTCATTGGTATTGCCTGCTATGGAGTCAGGAGGTTGAGGAACAAGAATCACTCCTTACGTAGTGAGCCCGCCTGCAACTGGCGGTCTATCATGGAGACTGAATCTCACAAAAAAAAAAATATAGATTTACAATCACCCGCTTGACATGTTACGAGTCTTCAATTGAAGCGTGGATGGTTTGACACCTCTGGCCTAACGACTGCTCGCATTCCATTGGACTGTTAAAGATGTACGAGATGAGCAACAATTGACACTACTACATCTCAGCGGTCCTTCTTTCCTTCTTTCCAATCGCCCAGTTGATCGCTTTGGTCCTCTTTCATGGCAACGATGACATATGTGATCAGTACAACATTGGCTACCACAGCCGCCAAACCTCCAGCGAATGTAGAGTTGCCTGTATACACTTAGCCATATCCCCAGTTCGCTATGCAACGATTGGAACTTACCTTTGAAGATGAAGTCGACGGTGGCGAAGTAAGTGCCAATTGGCATAACGATCATGGCGAGCGTGAACCCGAGGAGTTTAATGATGACGTCCATGGGCACGGCGGGGGTGATGTTGGACTTCTCGCCGGCGGCAGGGCTGGAGCCAACCCGGTCATCCTTCTCGAGGATGGTCTTCTCTGAAGCGACGATGCGTCGGGTGGCCATCTTGTCGTCAGGTTGCTGACCTTTGGTTATGTGTGCAAAGGAGACGACTTGGTCGAAGGCGATCAGCTGCGAAATGTCAGTTGGGCTACAGCGGAATGTCGGGAAAATAGCTCACAACGACTCAGATCCCGGTCGAGAGATGATTTTTCTGATGATGAAGCCGCAAGAACGAAGCTTGCCGATGAAGATTGATGATAGCTGTCGTGAGTTGCCGTCCCACTCATTACGGAGCTCTCCAAAGTGAGATGTGAAGTCAAAAGACAGCAGGCACCGTTCGGAATCGCACTGTCCAGCACGGTGCTCTGTAGCAGCTTAATTGATGACGCCAACCACGTGCGGACGCGCCACGGGCTTTTGTCCAAGCGCGTCTTGCTCTTGCCGTGTCAACGGCCGGGGGTGAACCGCCCCAGAAAAATCCCACTCTAAAGCCGCCGCCGCCAATTCAAATCTCTCGACCGCTCCTGCCCGAAAAACGCCCACAGTCTCAGGAGCCGTGCTTGCCCTGTCTGTCGTTCTTTCTTCCAGTTCCGTCGTAGCTTGGCTCCAATGGTCTCTCGCGATCTCCGGTAACAGGGCATCTTTCAACCGCGACGACTCAAGAAGTATTCTTTTTCGTCAACAACTCCGACCCCCGCCTTGTCGATCGCCCATTGTTCGCCCTGTCTTCCCATTCGTCGCTCTATTTTTGACTCGAACAATCACCAGAGAACGCTACAACCATGGTCATCGTGGATCTCGACTCCTCGCCTCCGGCGCCAAGGAGGTCGGAATGGCCCTCGAAGCGCTCGATATCGCCCGTCAGAGGCGCTCACCACAGCAGCGATGCCGACGAGCTCGCTGACGAGACGATACCTTGCTCCCCATTCCAAACACAAGCCACTCAGATCATCAGCCGAGCTACACAACCGACACAGCCGCTACAACCAAAACCGCTTCCCGATATCTCGTCCTCGCCTTCGGCGCGATCGGTAATCGAAGTTCCTGCCTCGTCGCCGTTTCAGTCCAAACCCCAGCCGAAGCAGTCGACTGTGTCTAGCTACTTCAATCGCCTCGCCCCTGCGGGAACGAGATTTCAGCCCCCGGCTGCCGCGAAGTCGGCCAAGCGCCCCCGCGAGGAGCCCGTGGTCATTGACGATTCTTCGGACGAAGAGGACACTAGGAAGGTCGACATGAATCGCACTGCCTTCAGCACGCATGTTCGGTCTTTCCAGTACGATTCGACATCAGTCGACGATCTGCAAAAGAAGATCGACGAGGTGGCAAAGGCCATGGGAAATACAATGCCAGTTCATTGCTATAAGGAAGCACTGGAAAACTGCCATTACGATGTCTCGGACGCGATCGAGTATTTGCTCGAGGGCAAACATCTCAAGTCCAAGCACAACAGCTTTGTGAGCTCCACGAAACCGAACGTCTCGGGCAGTAGCGAGAGAAGTCAACCGACGAAGCCGAAGCTACTTGGGCGTCACACCCCATCTTTGCCCACTCCGTCACGGAGCATTACCCCCTCCCCTCCGAAGCCAAAGCGTCGCCGCCTCATTCAAGGCCGCCGGCCTGGCAGATCGCCAGTCTCGTCGCAACAGACCCCGCAGCTGGCTCAAGAAGATAACGACGGGTTGGACGAGCTTGCAGACGACAGAGTGGAAGAGCCAATTATTATTCCCTCCGACGGAAATGACGACGATTTTGACAACGAAGATGAAGTAAACGAGGCGGTGAAGGATAGCCTGCACGACAAAGCCTTGCAAGTCATCAACACGAGCACCATCGAGGACTTGTCCGCCATGACGAATATCAAGCAAGACGAGCTCAAGATCATCGAGAGCAAACGCCCTTTCGACTCTATTGGAGAGGTCCAGGCTGTCAGCCTCCTCAAGAAGTCAGGCGCTCGCGGCCGTAAATCCCCCAAGGTTGCCGTCGGAGAGACTCTGGTGGATACCATCATGGAGTTCACTCAAAGTGTTAATGCCATTGACGACGTGGTTGCCGAGTGCGAGAAGAAGGCGAACGGGGTTAAGCAGGAGATCAACATGTGGGATATCGACTTCCGAGGACAAAAACGCAGCACCCAAGGTTCTTCGACAAGCGGAGATCTTCCTCTTACACCGTCCAGCTTCCGAGGAGGACAGAAGTACTCCGATCCCCCGATTCCTCGCCAGCCAAAGTTCATGGAGGGTCACTGCACGATGCGTCCATTCCAGCTATTCGGCCTCAACTGGATGTCATTGCTGTATAACAGTGGGTACGGATGTATCCTGGCCGACGAAATGGGCCTCGGCAAGACGTGTCAAGTCATCTCCTTGATCTGTCATCTCGTTGAGAATTATGAGAAGACCGGCGCTGGCGAAAGACCTTGGCCCAATCTCGTAGTTGTGCCGCCTTCGACTTTCTCCAACTGGATGGCAGAGTTCGAACGCTTTGCCCCCGATCTCTCTGTTCTTCCTTACCAAGGCTCTCAAGCCCATCGCCGAGAGATGGCAGTCGAGATGCTTGACAACCAAGAAGACTACCACGTCGTATTGACAACCTACACACAAGTTGGGTCAGAAGAGGACCTGGAAGCCATGCGCGAGCTTCGACCAGCTACCGCCATCTTTGATGAGGGACACAAGATGAAGAATCCCAAGACCAAGATCTACAAAGATCTCATCAAGATCAAGGCTAGATGGAGAATGCTGCTTACGGGCACTCCGGTGCAGAACAACTTGATGGAGATGCTTTCCCTCTTGAACTTTATCGACCCTGCGCAGTTTAGCGGCCGGATGGAGCAGTTGGCATACATGTTCAGCCAGAAGGTCACCATCCGCGATGTCAACAATGGTGCTTTCCTCTATGGAGAGCGCGTCAGCCGAGCGCGCACGATTCTTGAGCCATTCATTTTACAGCGACGGAAGCAACAAGTCCTTTCCGACATGCCGGCGAAGATCTGCAACGTCGCCTACTGCGATCTGGCAGCGTCGCAAAAGGACCTGTACGAAGACTACGAGCGTCTCTTCAAGTCTGGTCCTGCAAAGAAGACAACGAGCGGTCGCCAAAGTGATCAGAACAACAGCTGGATGCAACTTCGGAAGGCAGCCATCCATCCTCAACTCTTCCGCCGGTACTTCACCGACAAGAAGGTCGAGAAGATGGCCAATATTCTCATGCAAGAAGTACCGCAGTCGGAACTGCAGCAACCGCGGATTGATCACTTGATTGGCGAGTTGAAGAACTGCTCCGACTTCGAGCTACACCTGTGGTGCCGCGACTACGCTTGCATCAGGGAGCTTGATGTTCCTGAAGGCTCTTGGATGGAGAGTGGCAAGGTTTCCAAGATGCTGGAACTCATCCACCAGTATCAGGAAAACGGCGACCGCGTGCTTGTGTTCAGCAAATTCGCAAAGGTCATCGAGATTCTGCGGGAGGTGCTCGCCAGCGATGGCGTCAGACACTGCGTTCTTTACGGCCAAACAGAGGTCTCAGAGCGCCAGAGCCTGATTGACGAGTTCAACACCGACACCGACATTACCGCCTTCTTGCTGACAACTGGCGCCGGCGGTACTGGCATCAACTTGACCTCGGCGAATAAGATCATCATCTTTGACCAGTCCGACAACCCCCAGGACGATATCCAAGCTGAAAACCGCGCCCACCGTCTGGGACAAACCCGTGACGTCGAAGTGATTCGCCTCCTCACTTCTAACACCATCGAAGAACTCATCTACAAGGCATGCCAGAAGAAGATAGAGCTGGCTGAGAAGGTGACAGGTGCGGCGGAGGAGGTGAACGGAAAGGCTACGGAGGAGAACTTGGAGAAGGAGGTTCGGAAGATGATGACGGAGCAGCTTACTCCGTCATGATCCAGTGTGATTTGACTTTTGGGAGGTTGCATAGCGATGCCCATTACTGTTTGCTCGGCCACCGGAAACATGTTCTGACTTTCGGGCGGCACGGTACCATACCTTTCATGAAGGGAATGTATTCTTGTATTATTTATGGATGAGGCAGGCCATGAGAGAGCCCGCCGGTACTTATCTTGATTAACAATGTGGTTATCAGAAAGACACCAGCAGAAAGGGAGAGGGCCAGAAGGCTGAGTAGATTCGCCAACATTCTAAAGCATTTGGTAATTGGGCCAGGAAGGGCGACAAGCGTAGGCAGGATAAATAGAAGCGTTGATAGATGAGGAATTCGACCTACTAGGGCGACCTCGACTAATGAATCAGACGACTTGACTCTCATTTCATCCGCCGAGGATTCGTCGCACTGTTAATCGTACCGCTACCGAAATCTTGACTCTGCTCCCATGTCACACCCTCGAACTATATTGTGAAGTCATTGAAGCCGCAGTGCGTCAATCATTATACGAGCACCCGTAAATACGAAAATATCATTACATCTATTGAACGCTTCTTAGATCTTGGACTTCACCTTGCTAAACTCAACCTTGTTGATGCAAGAACCGACGTTCTCGAGGCCGACCTCGACAACATCTCCATCCTTGAGCCACAGCTGCGGCTTGCGACCCATACCAACGCCCTCGGGACTGTGGACTCAAGTCAGCATATACGGAGGATAAGCGTTGCGTGGTTTATCAACTTACGTTCCGGTGAAGATGACGTCTCCCGGCAGCAGAGTGGTACCCTGGCTCAGGAAGGAGATTGTCTTCTTGATACCGAAGATCATATCCTTGGTATTGTTGTTCTTTTTCCGACGTCAGCCAAACTTCTCTATCCCCACACGAAGGCAAAAAGAAAAGGCTCTCACCTGGACAGTCTCGCCGTTGACCTTTGTAAAGATCTTGAGGTTCTGCGGGTCGCCGAGGACGCGGCCGGAGACGATGCCCGGGCCGAAGGGGGCCCAGCCGTCGAAGCCCTTGCCGAGGGACCACTGGCCGCCGCCGCGCTGGAGCTGCCAGTCGCGGTGGGAGACGTCGTTGCCGACGGCGTAGCCGAGGACGTGGTCGAGGGCGGCGTCCTCGGAGACGTCGGAGGCGGTCTTGCCGATCACGATGACGAGCTCGCACTCGTAGTCGAGGGTGCTCCCGGTCTGGGCGATCGGGTGGACGGGGATGGGGTCCGTCGGGCCGGCGAGGGAGGTGGCGGGTTTGTACTTTCGGGGGGTTTGAGTGTGGGATGAGAGGATGGGGGTGAAAGGGGAGACTTACGAAGAGGACGGGGAATTTGGGGATGGCCATGTTTGACTGGTTTGCCGGGTCAGCCTTCATGTTCACATATGATCGCCGGCCTCGTGATATGTGCGAATACTGACCTCCTTGGCGTGGTTGGCGTAGTTCAGCCCGAGACAGCGCACCGTCTTGACGTGCTCCGGGGCCAGGGGGGAGAGGAGGAGGCGGATGTCGGCGACGTTGTCGGTCACATCGTGTCTCCCGAAGATGTCGCCCGTGACGATGCGGGCCTGCCTCGCCTTCGCGATGTCGGTCACACCGCTGGGGAGGATGGCGTCGCCGTAATATGTCTTGCCGTCCCGGGCGAGGAAGCGGACGAGTCTCTGCGCGGGTTGGCGTCAGTGTGGGTTTGATTCACGGGATTGAGATGAAATGAGATTTAGCTGAGGGAAGTGAGTTTCATCTAACTTACGGAGAACGAAGACATGCTTTGTTAAGTATGTTTACAGAGGACGATGAAAACAGATCGAAAAAAAAACAATGAGATGGTAATTCTACAGGTGATGAGGGGATCTTGTAGATGCTCTCGGGAATGAGATGAGCTGTAGCGACTGGGTCCGATTACCTGCCGCTGACCCCACACCTTGGAGTCTCCCGGGGTACGGCTTGGCCGCTAATGCCCGGTGCCGCTCAGTTCGCCATCGGCAGTAGATCCGACAGCGCGAGTACTTCACTATTTTACCTGATCGTGCGAGTGTGTTTCTCTGACCTATCTACGACATTGTATCTATCTTCCACCGGCATAAGCCTGCGGATTATACAGAAAGAAAAGATTGGAAAAATTCGACGTCTCGAGGCGATCGCATCACGAATGTGACCGTGAGCTTCTCCCGGCTGTTGTTTCGGCATCGCTGCGAACGATGATCCCGACCCCTGCTCACCTCTTTTGGATAGTTCTCCACAAATTCGGGAGAGCTCTTGCTGAGTCATCAATCGAACCGAGAAGCCGAGAATCATCTCATTGGCCGCTAGTAAGAACGGAGCTCTTTCTTCAATGACTGACATCAACGATTCAAGCTTTCCCAAATGTCATGTTTGATGTGGTAACGGAAGCAACGCACCATCCATCGTGTAAACTGAGAGCGAGGAGTCACAATGGCAGTTTCCAGGCGAGGTCTCTCCGGTCTTCAAAGGGAGGTTTTGTCTCTTTACAGACAGTGTCTCCGGGAAGTCCGCAAAAAGCCGGAGGTAAGTTGGAATTCGAGTTCGATAAAGATGAAAGCTAACAGGCGATGACCAGACTGCGCAACCTCATTTCAGGTCTTTTGCGAGGCAAGCTTCAATCGAAACAGTGGGATATGAAGCTTCGTACTGACTATCGATACATCAGAACTGAATTTGACAGGCACATAGCTATCGACAAGCGCGACTTCTCCGTTGTGGAACACTTACTGCGGAAGGGTCGGCGGCAGCTTGAGACGTACTCGTCACCCAGCATCAAGGATGTCATGAGGTGAGGAAGCCGTGAACAACTGCAGATCTGCCTTCCTCCATGCGACGGCTTCTTGTACTATCATCAGGGAAAGGACTGCCTTGGCCAGGAGACCCAAAGCCGACGGACGCCTGGGACACGCCTACTCCTCTCCCCTGCTGTACCACTACACGTCTCTCCTACGACTCGTTTTTTGTTACCTAGAACCGCATGATACCATCACCAATTCTTCTTTTGGAAACAATTCTGATATCTCCCCCAAGTCCATCAAGCATGGACGATGCTTAATTGCGACAAGGTCTTCCGAGACTGCAACTGCCTCCCGCCTTGTCTTTCCCCGCCATTTCCACAGCCTGAACCAGACCTCGCTCACAGGGCGGCAGAAGACGTCTTTCGCGTGCCGATAAGCCAGTCTGTCGAGAGCCTTCGACGCCGCCAACGTGTCGTCGTTCGTACCAAGCGAGCCAGCAGAGTCAGACTTCCGTCCGGCAGAGTTTCCCATTCTCGTTCGACGTCGGTTCCTGTCAGAAGATCAAGTCAGTTCCATTCCACGTCCGTTGCAGCCACGTTGGTGGCACAGGAGAGAGAAGTCGAACGACTGCGGAGAAGTGTCGCGTCTGACGCCCTCCGACCTCTTACGCCGAGTCCTCGACGCCCAGTTAGAAGTTCCGTCCAGCGAACGCCTCCTTTGTATTATATCGAAATGGATGCCCCCAACCAAGCAATGACCAGCAAGTCGGAGCTTGAGACTAGCATGTCTCGCCGTCAGCAAGATGCTGCTGACCTTTTCCGGGCAGCGAAGGCTCGCAACATTCACGCAAGACCGATTGCGGGACCGTCAGGATCTCCAAACCGGCGTAAACCTTCTGGCACGCGGGCTCGACCTCCGGCTCTCGCTAGCAGCTCATTCAAACAGAAGAACCTCTCTTTGTCGGCCGTAATGGAGTCTGGAAAGGACACCGATCGTGAACCGGCATCTCGTGAAAAACGCTTGGGGGTCGCAAATCCGAAACTTTCAGAAGCTGTGCGGAGGAGTCTCTCGCAGCAGAGCCAGGTCTCTTCGATCGTATCCACTTCACCAAGATCATCCACTCGGTCGTCGGTCGCCCCTCGACCACCATCTAGGACTTCTAGCCGCCGTCGAGCAGTAGATCGATTTACCAGACAACTAGAGATCTACGCCGAACGCAGAGAAGCTGCAGGAAAGCTGGGGGTCACCACGCCTACTGTGCAGTCCGGGGCCTCCCTGCACACTATTCAGGCACTGTTGCCGTTTGAAGACCAGTTCGTTGCTGCTGGCCTGGCAGTCACATCTGACCAGCAACGGGACAAGTCGCAAACTAAGAGTCCGGTGAAAAGGGAACAGACCGAATCTATTTCAGAAGAAAGTCTTACAAATCATGTTGAGACTCATTCCAAGGAGACCCAGGAAGACCCAGGCCGTCTTCAGCTTAATGGCTTAAGGAGTCCAGAATGGGGCTCAGAGTCGGACTCCAGCAGCTTGGGAACGCAGGTTGCCTTCACGCAGCCAGAAGCATGGGAGCTCGCCTACATCGATGAAGTGCCTCAAAAGTCTTCTTCCAAATGCTGCAGACTACCTTGCTTCCCAGGAGAGAGGGAGGAATCGAGTGAGGTCCCGCCAACGCGCGTGCCTCCCGTTCCAACTCCCACGACGATTGATACCCCCAACAAGATACTGAACAAATGGCAACCAGTCTATCCTCAAAAAGAGGAGGCCATTTGGATCAAATCTCCAAGTAAGTATATTGGATCATCTCACTGGATTGCGACTAACACATATCAAGACGGTACGGAATTTCGAGATCCCCGCGTGAAAACGTGGCATGGAGATATTACTCAACGTCCGTCGACTTTCCGACCAGCACGTAAACCTCGTCCAGAGGATGAGTACGTAGAAGCAGCGAGCCCAACAACGAATTTTCCAGAGAAGCAGCCGAGAAAACAGGAGAACGTCCCACCAATCCCACCCAGAGCTCCTGGTCGTCTTAAACCATCAACACAGGCTCGCGAGCCTGCACGAGCCGATGCTGCAGCTTCGACAGGGGTTCGAGACCGATCGCAGAAGGATGTATTCGCCAAGAATGCAAATGCTAAAGTCCCTGCCATTAAAGAGCCCATGAGGACCATTGTCGAGTCCGTGCCAGATGAAAACGTTGTCATCACGCAACGAACCAGTAATGAAAAACACCTGGAAGTCGGAACGACCAAAAAAGCAATTTACCAACATTCGAGGGTCTCCATCAACCAGCCGGAACGGAAGGCGAAAGAAAGGGCAGATCGCGAAAGGGAATGGATTCAAGACGAGCACCCTGGCATTTTCCATTCTAGGCGAATGTTCAAGAGTGTATCAAGTCCGCCAAAGATTCAAGAAGAATATCCCAAGCAGCGATCAGCCGTGACGACTCCTGGCACTGTGTCACCCGACCCGGATCTACCGTCGACGTGGAAGTTGACCCTCAGCTCCTCATCCTCACTGAAAGTGGCGATAGAAGAAGCAGCGCGGGCAATGGAGAAAAAGGAGATCAAGGACACTAACACCTCCGATGTTCCTATACAGGTTTTGATGGAGAAGAAGCAAACCGACACACTTATTGTAGAACCGAAACTCAAGGAGCTTCCGCCTCGGCCCGTCCAGAAGGAGAATACCCCACCGCCACACCAATCACATAAAAAGTCGGAAGAAACTCCTACGGAAAGCAACTACTCGATTCGTACAGAGAATGACGACAAAGACATCGATAACAGGGATGTACTGCGGGGTTTGAACATTGCAATCTCTGCAGCCTGTGACGAAGAAGTGGACGCTTGGATCAGGGAGAAAACGGGAGTTCGAATTCGACGCTTTTTGGCAGACTTGCGCGCTTTCGAGTCGCTCGCCGAGGACGACACACCGGACCCTATGCATGAACGCGCGAGAATCAGGAGAGCAGGTTCAAGGAAGCTGAAGGCGCAGATTCGGCAGTCAAGGGCAGCCAGAGAGGCGAGACAGCTTTGAGTAGACATGATGAGTAGTATTGATAGGTGCCATAGGATTCACCAAGAACCTGGTCTTGACTGATTAACAGATATTACCCGTAGTCTAAGAGCTATCAGTCCTACAAATCAAGTCTCGTTTGCACTGCACCGTTTGACATGATGTTGATCTTCTGAACTTCACAACGCCCAGTTGCCAAAATACCGAAGGCTATATCATGGCTCTTTTTGGCAGCGTAATAAACGGTCACAAATCACCACGCAGTGTTGCCACAAGACGAAAATGAAACAACCGAAAACGGGGGCTGCCTCCCACCCAGATCATCTTTGCGACACACTATCCTACATGCCCAGAGATGCTTGTCTGTGTCAATGTGCATATGCAAGACGAATGTTCCCTCCAAGCCTCACTGTCCAGCTTCCGGCCCCCAACGACAGCTGAGCCGCTCGACTGCGACTTTAGCCTAATACCACTTGATCTGCCCGACCAATCCCGAATAGTCAAGTTTCCAGATGCATAGATTCCTTCTGCTGATGAGCCGAACGTAAACGAGCGTATCGGGATATTGCGCTTACCGGGAGGTTTTTTCTTTCCGCTTGACGTGCATTGGATCGCTTGACGCGTGTTGCGAAGTGGTGTCGGCATGTGTGAGGCAAGGGTTTCGACTACGTACGTACTGGGCAGTTCTCATCCTGCACTTTGTATTCACACTGTCAGATTTGGGGGGTCATGCAATGATACTTGGCTTGACAGGACTTCAGACATTCAGGTCAGGAATCGCTGTTGAGATGAGAAAAGTCTCTGTATTATAAGTCGTAAAATTATATGTCTCTGAACATTTATCGTGAGGGTATATATCTGCATGCTCATATGGGTCTCATCTAAAACAACAGGTTTTCAATGACGATTGGAAGCCTTTTGGCCTTCCCAAAATATCTAACCGCGCTTGTGCTCCACCTCCACGGCTTCGTGGCCGATCTTGACCTCCTGCTCGACCTGCGCGAGGTCGACGTCGGCGACCTCGGCGTCGGGGCCGTCGATGACCTTGACGAGCTCCTCGAGGGTGGGGCCCTTTGTCTCGACGTAGAAGAGGTAGACGAAGGTGAGTTCGAGGAAGATCCAGCACTGCGGGTTTTGGTTTCGTTAGCCTCGTTCCTTTGTGCACATGCCTGATGACAGGGTACAGAGAGGTGACTCACGGTGTAAATGAGGTACAGCTTCCAGGTGTGACCCTCAAAGAAGTCGAAGGCGACCGGGTTGGCGTAGTTGTTGAGGGTGAGCGCGGCCTGGACGACGAGGTTGACGAACATGAGACCCTTCGCGCGCAGCTTGTAGGGCAGGATCTCGATGGTGTAGCCGATGAGCAGGCCGGACCAGGCGAAGGCGTAGAAGAAGCCGAAGAGCCAGATGAAGAAGATCATGGCGTAGTTGGAGCCGGGGGAGCCGTGCTCCTCGTACAGGCCGGCGGAGAGGGTCCAGAAGACGAAGGTCATGAGCATGCCGCCCGTGGAGGCCAGGAAGATGGGGCGGCGACCGAACCTGTCGACCTGCAGCGCGAGGGTGACGGAGACGATGAGGGAGAGACCGGTCTGACCGGCTGAGAGGCCGAGTCTGGCGGTGGAGCTCTCGATGCCGGCGTTGGCGTACAGGACACTACAAAAGTTAGATTTTCATCGCTACGGGCTGATTTTGAATACGCACGCGGTGTAGTTCGAGATAATCGCGTTTCCAGACCACTGGCTGAAAAGACCGAGGGAAATAAGGACGACGAAGCGGTATCTATTGCCAGGGGTGCGGAAAAAGTCGAGGTAGCTGCTGGTGTCCTTGGCGGCAAGCTCGCGCTTGATAGTCTCGCGAATCTCGCGGAACTCGAACTGAACGGTGGGGTGATTGTTGTCGCCGTTGGCGTGGTATTTACCGAGAATGTTCAGGGCGTCTTCGTGGCGGTCCTTCGCGATGAGGTAACGGGGAGACTCGGGAACCCCTTGGACAATGTTAGATTGGCGAAGGGGAACTGAGACGAACGCTTTTCCACTTACACAAGATGAACATGAGCTGGATGACGGAGGGAACGGCCTGGCCAATGGCAGGAATACGCCATGACCACTCGTTTGCGAGGAAGTCGGTGCCGAAAGACAGCCAGGCGACGATGAGGGCTCCAACGTTCCAGAGACAGTTGTAGACCGTCGTGAAGCGGGCGCGATGTTGGGGGTGGCAAAGCTCAGCGAGCAGCATGGGGGAGGCGACTTGAGCGAACGAGTTGCCGAAACCGAGGAGAGCGCGACCGCCCATGAACACTGACAATGATTAGCTGCTGCTGGAAGTTTGATTTTCATTATACTCACTGCCCCAGTTCTTGCAAGCGCCTTGCAAAATGGCTCCAGCAACCATGATGACGCAGCCGATGACAATAGGGATCTTGCGGCCGAAGTTGTCGGCGATTATGGGCACAATGGGCATCGAGGCCAGACTGCCGATTTGGTAAATGGCAGCGAGGAGACCGAGTTCGCCTGACTTGGGGTGGTTGAAGAACTCCTGCCATGAGTTGAAGTTTTGGACTGAGTTGAAGAACATGCTGTGGCGCAAAACAGGTCAGTCAATCGTCTTAGTCGCGTGAGAGCTGGTGACAAACCCATCGTAACCAGTTGTGGCCGAAGCAACGCAAAGAATCACGGCGAAGAAGTAGAGCTTCCGCAGGCCGGGATCCTTCACCCAGTTGACCTTCTCAAAGTCGGGAGCCTCCTCCTGAGCTTGGACGACCGCCTCGCTCTTGGGCTTCTTCTGCGCCAAACCTTTCAACCAAGCCATCTTTGCAGGACTGAAAGGCTACGAATGTCGGGTGGGATGTGGTCGAGTTCGCGTTTCTGCTGGCGCGGAGAGCAAGAGCCAAAGCAGTCAGCAGTCTCCGTGTGTAGGGCCAGAGGATTACTGGAGAGTGACAGCGAACAGAGGTGAGACGATCCACGACGCGGGGTCTCCAGGTCTATTATATGGATCCGTGGATCATAGGACGAACGCTGGGAGCGAAGCAGACCTGTACTGCTACAGTGCGAACTTTTCAAGACGGAGAGTCGGACCGGGAGGGAACCACTTGGTTGGGATCCTTTGCGCGAGGTCCTGGTCGGGACTCAACCGGCCCCAACCAGCCGTCGTGATCAAGCTACTTGAGAATCTCGAGCACGAGCAGCCTGCAGCCAAGTTGTTAGCCCATGCCGACCGGGGTGGACGATGTGAGCGGCAGGGGATTGCCACTTTCGTCCGGCAAAAGTCGATGAGAGGACGTTTCAAGGCAAAGCTTCCCTGCCAAGTGAGGTGCTCCGCAGAACGAGATCTGCTGGTCAAGACATTTGTCCCGTACTAAGCTCTTCTCCAAGACCTTGGGGCCGCCCGAACGGGTGAATGCGAATCGGCCACCATTGCTCCAAAGTTTTGCGATTGTATTTTGCCGGGCGCGTTGGAGTGGACTCGAGCGTCCACTAGACAAGGACAAGTCTAGATGGAAAAAAGGTGTGCGCGTTCCACTTGCTGAATGTTCCCCCTGGGGTCCCGTGGAGCCCGTGGAGAAGACCAGTTGAAGTGGAGGTGACAGGGAAGAGTCGTCTGAGTGGAGGTTTGGCGGTCTCGCCCGTTGGCTTCTCGTTGATCCCGAGAACAGGCGGCTTCAGTCACAGTCACAGCTACTTAGACCAGATGTCGGCCTAAATCGAGTGCTATGCACCTCTTTCCGGCAAATCTGCCATCGACGTTCACAGCTGAATAGTCAGGCAAAAGGTTGAAGATAATGTCTCGCCGGCTCCGTGTCCGGAGGTAACCATGCAAGCGAGACGCTGGAAGACGGGTGACATAGGAACCGCAATATTAGACGAGTTTGGGGTTGACTAGTAGACCGCTGCGGGGAATAAGAGTGAGGAGTAGAACCGGCCACTAGACCGTTTCTCTCTGTACATTGGCCGACAAACATCGACTCGAAAGAAACCCCAGTATTTCTTACCCGTGACTCGTATTGGGTTGTTCTTCATCCCGTTTCTTTACCGTTCATACTGCCGTTTCTGGGCCGACCTCAGGAAAGAATTTGGGGGGTCGGCCTTCGAGAATCAGGCAATTGACGCAGCATGTGCCGTGTTGATTTCTTGGAGAGACGTTATTTTTCTGCCCGCGTGAGCAAACACGTTGTGGTATTGCATAATTATCAGCAATTCCGCAAAAGTCTAGTGCTCATTTCACGAACCAGACTTTTTGCGGCGAGCTGAGTGTTGGTAGGCCAGGTCAAGAGTGAAAACATCTCCGTTCCATCGATGCTACTTTGTGTCGAGGAGGCCCCTGTTCAAGCAAAGTTCCCTCGGTAAAGTGTTCCCCCGTGAGGCTGCTAGCTCTCGGTACACGGGGATGTTGAAAGCGAAAGTCAAACGGAGAATTTGTACAGAACCTCGACATCGTCGAGCCGGTACAATACTGGGAGGACCCCAACGAATTCGTGGTTGGCAAAATCGTACTGACATGCTCATGACCTGCAGTGAGGACAGAGCAAGGTGATTCACTCCCAAGCGAAGAACCGGGTGCGAGGCCATCGTAAGTACCTCGGCCGACGGTGGCTCGCTTCTCGCAGGGTTGACTCAAGCTGGTCCACATTCCCACAAACCCCATGGTCGAAAAATGGGTGGATCGGGGTTGTGGATGCGTGGATGTGTGGAGTGTTGCCACGGAACACGCTCGTCACTGTCAAATTGTCAGTCGATCCATGAAGACGCGGACCAACCCGACCGTACATACCAACATGCTTGACGTCCCTTGCTTTTTGTGACAATTTGACAGAGCTATTAGTGATGACTCGAAAAAGCAGAAATATTGAATCCAAGCTTGATATGGTAGAGCCATCGTCCTGTGACGAAGACGTTCACGTGGTCGCTGACACCCGTGGATATAGCTTGCAGTGGAGACCAGGAGGCATTGCGCAGGCCAGTACCGCAGACAACCGTACGACAGACTGCTCGACAACCAAATGTGACCAGCCAAATCAGACGCTATCGAATCCACAATGAAGACCTGGGGTTGAGTTCTCGTGGGGCTCCCTAACAGCTTTGCTAGGTCGAGGTTAGACGCTGAGAGAGGTGAGAGGTTGGAGATTCTTAGCGCGAAGTCGAGGAAACCATGCGCCGCCGCCGCAACATGGGGGTTTTGGCCAGGGTACCACGACTCATCCATGACAGTTGGTGTATTTTGCCATTTAGCCTAAATCAGGCTAAATGGGACGCGGTAGTGGACTTTCTGAGCATCGGAGATCGCGCTGTGTCAAAACATCGAATTGCAGGGTCGTCTTTGAATTTGAACCAACATAGATGACACGCTCGAATTGAACTGCGAGCTGACGGGCAATTCTAGACTAAGTCGAATTTGTGCTCCGTGTTTTAAACACTGGGTTCTTCGAAGTCGGGTTCACGTGGTTTCTGCTTCCGCTGGCCATCAACCGGGATTCCGTTTTGAATATGGTGCTCCATGAATGGATCCGGTCTTCGACATCTCGGTTTCCGGCAACTCTTCTTCCTGGGCTGACCAGTTCATGTGGCCATGATTGACTCGTCAGATCATGGACAGCAGCAAAATTCTGCGCTGAACGGACGGGACGGTTCTAAGGCCCGCCAGACCTTTCGACAACAAGGAAAAGGGCCGATGCTCGCGTTGCAAATCCCATCTCGATGAAACAGGACGCCGATGTCAAGATGTCGAGACGTCGTTGACTTGCGGCGGCTTCTTCCGAGCAGGGGTAATTTATCCATAAATTGCCGGCATCTCGCCGCTAAGAGGATTTCGCAAGTCGCCGAGTGTGCTGGCAGATCGTCGAATCCGTGATCTTGGGACCAATTGCTTATATTGCTTCCCACCCATGGCGTTACCTTTTGGGCAACATTACCAAGAACATAGGGACACTCCCTCGAGGGCCAGTGGTCGGTCGTACCTGCATGTCTTGGGACGTGCCGCTGCCGCCGTGCCGTTGTCACACTGACTGGGCGTTGTGGCTGACTGCTGCGATAATCCGGAGGTTGAAATGCGTGGTTGGTTTATAAAGCGGCTATTCGGCATGCTTATTCCCGCATGTATCGTTCTGTGGTTCCAATTCGCAGAATGATAGCTGTCGTAATTGCGTAGAAGTTCGTGAATAGCTGCAAGCAGAATGTGAAGCTGAAAATGGCATTAGCAGGAGCAGTTTGTTCTGTGGTGGTTGGTTGGAGTTCGGTCGAGCGCACGGACTCCAGATGCGGCGATTTCTTCCCCGCACGACCCCAAGCTCGTCCGGTATTCCGTCGCATCATCATGAACCTCATCCCCAGCTCCTCCGGTCATTGGCTTCTGTTGCACACCACCAAGTGGATGATTTGATTACCGTGACACGAAATGCCTGCTCATAGTTTTATTAATCATATGCCCACCGCCATGGAGATCCTCGAGGCGAGGCAGAACTTCACTGCCAAAGAAACGACAGACGAGCACTTCTTCCGATGCTGGCAACGGCAGGACTGTAGAGGCTGCCTTGCGCAGGACCAATGCAGCTGGTGTCCGATGGTTGGTTTCCCATATTTTCGAATCCCTTCCTCAGGCATGGCTAATGAAGTCCTCTGACCAGACCTCCGCGTGTGTTCCGAATCCCTATGCAATCCCTCTGCTGGCGCCAGCATGGAATGAGGATATTTGTCCGCATTGGGCGGAAAGATGGGAACTCCGGACGAGACCGCTAGGCTGCCAGGTCTCAACCATCACCAGTCTGACATCCATCATTTCCATTGTCTCCACACTGGTCGTGGTGCTGCTGGTGTCACTACTTCTGATCACCATTCGCTGGGCGAGACGGCGCAGCCATAAGGAACCTGGGTGGTGGACAGTATGGAGGTACAATTGGCGACAATTGGTTGTCAGGAATGGCACCAATGGCGAGCAGGCACCATTACTTGGGAATGATCATGGTCACAGCGCGCAGTCCAGGCAGGCATGATGACAATAAGTGCACCGTCTACACCCTGGGTAGCTTGGGGCTCGGGAGAGTTGAATCGTGGGTAAACTGGATCCAATCGTCGCCGAGCGCCATCAATCATGCGCTCATCAGTGATCGACTTCTTAGCCCGAGCTGACAGGCGGAATAATGGCTACTTCATCACCGGCCTGGATCTCCGGGCCGTCCCCATCGTCCGGCCCAGGCACATCTACGTATTCGAGGTTGACTGTCACCAAGCACGACTCCAAAATCTTCTCCTTTATCCCGCTGTATTTCTCCTCAAGGACGTCAAACAACTTCTTCAGCGGCAACGGAGCAGGGAATGCCTCGTGCTCCTTCGAGGTGAAGGAACCAGCGCTAGCGAAGAACAGCACATTGAAGTGGTCCTTAGGTGGTTTTGGTGCAGCGCTCATCGTGTCGTTCTGTTGTCCGAAGGTGATCTGTGGTCTTGTACTTGTTAGCCTTGGCCCAAATACTCCGCTTTGCACAATAAAGATGAAGAAGTGTTTGGTGTCAGAGATCTTGGTGATAATTGTTAAACATCAATGGTGTTCAGGTAATACATGCTAATTTTGATGCATCATTCCAAATAGACGAGAGTGAAAAAATCATCGACTTACCATTCGGTGAGGAGCCCGTTTCGCGGGCTGCTGAGGGAGAGAAGGAAGGTTGAAGTTGCGAGGAAGAAAGAGTTGAAGAAATAAGCAGTTCGGGTGGGGCCCAAGAGAAAAAAAAAAGTTGTACCCCAGCCCACGTGACCTGAGCCGCACTGCGTTCTGGGTCTCGAATTGGCGGCAGGCGGGGCATAGAAGCGATTTGGCGTTTGTCGCGTTTGCGATCGTCGCTCGTTACTCGGTTTTCGGGACGTCTCGTGGGTGATTCGACATGTGCTGTATCCTGATATCATTACATCCTGTCATTTGGCAATAGTTGCGCGAATGCCACTGCGACACCAAGTTGCCCGTAGCAGAATAAATCCAGCCCCCTTCCTCCAGGCCTTCGCGTCGCATCACAGGTAGGCACACACGGTCGACCGAGCAGAGTGCCTCGCGGCTGGTGGGAGAACCTTGCTGTATTCGCAATGCAGAATCCGTTTTTGACTCCTCTAAACACGAAAGCCGTGAGCCCGAGCTCGGGTAACGAAGCCCTTGCAATGTTCCTGTCCCATCCTCAGAACCAAGATCCGTTCCTCGTAATGTCCATACACGCGCCGCCGCCGATCGCCGATTTTTCTTATCTCAGTCTGCGGGCCTCACGCTCAGACTCGAGCAAGCAGAGAATGTCGTCCTCACGGACTAAAAGCCAGATTGTTAGTACGGTGTCCATGTTCGAATACTGCCGTATGTTCTTCGTTCGGCGGTCGCTGCGAGTGCGGATTTCTCTTACCGGGTCCCTTGACGTTACGGATGATGGAACGGGTCTGGTCGTCCATGAACTCGACGCGGACCTGGGTGACACCACCACGGGAACCTGATTCCAGTCAGAAAAAAACTGCCATAATTTCCCCTTCATCGACGCATCGCGAAAATCGATCTTGGACGGGGGGAGCGCTTCGTTTTGAGGGCGGGGCATACCGGTGCGGCCGAGGACACGGGTGACCTTGACGAGCTTGACGGGCTGCTTGGTAGAATCCATTTTGACTGGTAGAAAAAAAACTACGTCAGTTGCGATCTTCGAGAGATTTCGGCGTTGCAAACGTACGTTGTGTGGTTGCGCAGGTTCGGTGATGCTGAGCGTCGGGGTCGGGGGGTGCTGTGATGGATTGAGCGGTTCTGATGTTGCGACCGATGAATTTTTGTGCGAGCCCTAAGGTTGGACCTACACCAAGCGACGGCACTTGGGTGGGTCTGACGCTGCCCTGGGGAAGCTGGTTGGTCGGAGCAGAACTTTTCCACAGTCCGACGTAGTGCTCACCGCCTGCCAAATCTGTCAAGACCTGCTTCTGCATCGACCAGGGTGGGATCTGTCACTTCAAGCAAAGGTACCTTGGCGATTCTAACGGCGAGATTCTGAGAGGTTGAATCCTATCATGAGCAATCGATCAGACCAATCTGAAATGCCCGCCCTCTGAAGATGGCTTGAAGTGACTAGGCAATTTCGCAGATCTTTGTTGCTTCTCCAAAACAGAGCGGCGCTCCGCTCAAGTCAACTAAACACGGTCTAACAGCAGGGGGTATCACTTGACGGTAATGAGCCTATCATGGCAGTTTTGCAACACGTCCTTCCAAGTCCTTGACCCAGGCCTCCATAACCTTCATGTTTCCCGCCATTGAAGTGGTTCCCTCCTTCATCGCCTCTTCGACCTTCTCCAACCCTTCCTTCCATTGCTTGAGGTCCGTAGCCATATCTGTCTGCTGTCTTTCGATACGCTCGAGCATCTCGCTCGCGGTTGCAGCGTCGGAATGAATCGCCCGCAGAGACCTGAGGCGATCCAGAAGAGGCGGCAACAAGGGAGCCAGGTTCTCGATCGTCGGCAGAGTCCCATAGAGAGCGTTGATCTTGGCCACCTGCTCTGACGCATCACCGCCCTCGCCGGACGTCGCACCGTTACCCAGTGTCTCCTGCGCAGATTTAGCACCTTGGCGTGCCTTCTCCAGCTCCTGTGCCTCTTGGATCAGAGTTCGCACGCGACGACTGATTGTGTCCAGGTTCGATGTGGAGGCCTGTGACAGAGTCGTAATTTGCTTCTGCAGGCCGTCTAGTGTCGGCAGAATCGCTCTCGGCAAGCCGTTCATGTCGACTTCAGGCAAAGCAGAAGAACCGACTCCAATAGCCTTCTCCAACAGAACAAGTCGTCGATCGAAGTCAGCTGCCTTGGCAAGCGCGTGACTTTGTTCGTAGGTAGGCGCGTAAGTGACGGTGTAAGTTGCCGCGTTCCCTGGCACCAGCGCACATTGCGAATCCGCCTGCTCTTGGGCCATCGGAGGCGCGGGCTGGACAGGACCTGCGCTGTTGGAATGAGATTCGATGGACTTCGATATCTCGTCAAGAACCTTGCTGAGTGACCCAAGTTTTTCCTCTTGGTCTGCTGCCTCAGACTGAGCTGCAGCTTCCTTGCGCTTCCCGTATTCTTCTTTCGCCTCTTCGACCTGGCGTTGCAGTCGTGCAATCTTTCGCTCTAGGTTATCTTCGTCGTCTTCATCGCTAAGGTCGCCAAGCTCCTCTGTACCATCTTGGAGAATACGCTGGCGCCTCGTCGAGGCTTTGTACGACTTGCGCTTGCCATCGACTCTGTCGGAGAAGTCGACACCGGCAGCATCGACACCCGCGGGCAAGAAACGAGATCTTGCTTGGTCTATCCGCAGTCGCGATCGCGAAATACCGTTGATATCGTCGTCCAAATCATCGTCGAACTCGTTGTCGGAATGGGATTGTCCAGTCGTCGTCTGCAATCAGATCAATACACGCTCTACAAACTAGTAACACACGCACTTACTGGGACCGTAGAGGTGTCATCTGTTAGTTCTGGCGTCTCGTAGACATCCGGCGCGGAGTCCTTGGAAGTGTTAGTACAGACCGCTCCTCGTCCCGTCGTTTGAGGAATGCAGGTGCTCTGACCAAATCTGGCAACGCAGCGTACTTGCGATTCAACGCCATGACCGTCGACGAAGATGTTAGCCGATCAGAGGGTTCGCAATTCGAATTGAAGGTCAACACACGGTCCACGGGGTTGAGTGTGTTGATTGTGAATGAGGCACTGACGTATTCGCGAGTGGTGATGCATTCAACCAGGAGACGGAAATGAGGTCGTCAAAAGCAACAGACGACCCCTGCAATGGATTGGGGTAGCTAGGTCGCTGAGCCGCAGGGGCTTGCCGCTAAACGCCCCATACTGCACGGATGGAGGCGCGTGGTGAATGGAAGAGTGGCAGGTGGGGGTGCACTGGCTAGCGCTCAGGAAGGCACGCGTCAGAGACGCGACTGCAGCTTTAGTTTCCCCGACCTAGAGGGAAAGCAAGACAGTAAGCTGAACGTCAAAAGAGAACACTTTTCGACGCCCTGGTCGGCAATCCACATCTTTCCGAGGTCGACATCGCCGCATCCTCGTCCAAATGGCGGTAGAGTGCCAATTGAGGCACTCACGGATGATCACCGCCCGCACCACTACATCTCACCTCGGCAAATCCTGTTCTCGCATGAGGTCTCTGAACGGTAGCTGGACCGGCCAGGACTGAAGGACAGCTTCCCAGGAGGCATCCACTCTGTTTCTCCTAGGACAGCATCCTAGTCTCGGGGGTATCAGCACGCTGGACCTCTCAATTGCCTCGACGGCAGGACCTTTATTATCGTATGCCTTCCTGGTGGCCCTCATCTGACGATGGCTTCTTACGGGGGATACGGTGGACGAAACCAGCTCCAGAGGCGGACGGGTCTCGCCAATCATCCTTCAACGCCAAGCTTGCTGAGCATAATAAACGGCCAACCTCGTAAAGGCGTTATTCCTTCTTCGCAGATGACCGAGGCCCAAGTTGCCGACAAACCTGAGGACTCCGACGACGAGATAAGTGAGCCTGCAACCCCACGGAAGAGTCCAAAGGGAGCGGAGAAACCGGTATTCGACAAGACTTCGGAGGTAAAGCCTGCTCGTTCGCAAGATATCCGAGAGACCACCAATGACGCCGACTCGGATGAGGAGTACGCTGCCAAAAAGGCTCGAGACAGCATCAGGTCTGTTTGGGGCGGCAATTCGAAGGCAGCGAGAGAACAGAGAACATTCAGCGCATCCCAAGAAAGCAAACTCGGATTGAAACGCCCAGGGAGCTCTGAGGGCTCAAGCTTGCAGACACGCAGCAGTAAGAGAAGCTCTCCCGACTTGAGTTCCCCAAGCCCACCTCGTAAGAAAAGTAGGGCCTGGGACAGCAAGTTCGAGGGTTCAAAGGGCAAAATACTAAAGTCACGCATCAACCCGCCAAAGACTTTCTCTAGAAAAGAAAACAAGGCATTGCAGAATCGTGACCTCCAAGCACAGAGGAAAAAGACTGAAAAGGAGGCAAAAGAAGGTTTGCTTACCCACTGCATTTGTCCATTCTTCACAACTAATACTTTACTAGCTCGCAAACTCACCCCGGAGAAGAAGTTGCCCTCCTTCAAGTCATATGACGATGACCCATTCGAGAAATTTGATGTCAAGGCATCGCCGACAAGCTTTGTTAAACCAAACTCATTGCTTTCATCACCAATGGGCAGTCCCCGAAAGAAGTTTGTGGTACATTCATCTTTGAGTCCTGGTAGCTCGCCCGAAAAAACGGCTACAGCCAAATTTCAGCATCCCTCTGCTTCGCTCTCGCAAAGCCCCAAAAAGCCGCCTGCGAAAGTCGGCGATTTGGTTCCCAGTCCCAAAGCTCCCGTTCCGATGCTCAAGGACCCCTTTGCGGAGCTATCTGATTTGGACATGTCAGAGGAAAGCGCCGATGAAGTTCTGCCAGCTAAATCGGCGTGCCCTATATGCAAGAAGCCCGTGGACAGGGACACTTTGGATTCTTTTTTCTCAAGCGGCGGCCGTCTGAAAATCAACAAGCAGCTCCAGTTCCATCGGCAACATGCAAAGAAGGAGGCTCAAGATTTCTGGAACACTCGTGGCTTCCCTGAGATAGATTGGGAAGAAATCAGCATCCGACTCACCGATCATTACGATTTTCTCGAGGAAATCATCAAAGGAGGCCCTTCTCACTACGGGACCTTGCTAATCGACACGGTCAAAGAGGGCAAGAATCGAACCCTAATGAAAGCACAATCTAGCTTAACTCCTGGTTACTACGGCCCACGTGGCCTTCGAGCATTGTCTGAAGACATAATAACGCGGTTCTCATCTCTATTGAGGGAAAGGGCCGTAGATGATCGCCTCATATCTTCACGCGGATATTCTAGTTATGTGGAAGCAGTTCTGGTCCCTGAGTTGACCGTCCGCTTGATATGCGAAGATATGAGGGTGGGACCCGAGGAAGCGAGAGATATACTCGAGGAAAGCAAAGAGGTCGGTGACCTGCTACAAGAGGACATCGGTGATACGGTCGACCAGGCAAGCGACGATGAAAGGGATGAGTATTAAGGCGCTGTCATGGTTTAGAAGGTGCATTGGAAGGAGAATCATAAAGAGCAGGACGAAGTTGTTGACAACATGGCATTGTAATGGCGTTGCAAGGATATCATAGACAGCGCTTACGAGTACTGAAATGGCAAACGAAGAAAGCTTTACGACAAAATTTTCCATTGTAGCCTTGAGATGTGTCACGGCTACCTTAGCAGTATCAATTCGTTAGAGAGCCCATCATATCATTACATGTTTCACGCTAACGCCCGTCATAGTAACCCGTCATTTTCGTCATTTTACAGTCCCAGCGCCTCCCTTCTGCCCGTGCTCTTCAAGTCAAGGTAGGGAGCCTCTCCCAAAGATGCCACGCGGTCACCGGCTCTGGCCTCGACGTAGTCGTAAGTAGCGCAGTGCCACATGCTCCTGTTGTCCCAGATGGCCAGGTCGTTCTTGCGCCACTTGAAGCGGACCTGAGCGTCGTGGTTTTGGGTGACGAGGTTGAAGAGGTAGTTGAGGAGGACGTCGGACTCGTCCTTGGTGACGCCGTTGATACGCTTGGTGAAGCCCTTGTTAACGTAGACAGATTTCCATCCAGTAACGGCTGCGAGTTTTGTCAGCATTCCAGACCACCATCGCCAAGGCGGAGGGCATTCAACTCACGGTTGGTCCGGATGACGGGGTGGATGGACTTGAGCTCGCTGCCCTTGTTCAGCGGCGAGCCCCGGATGCCCTCGCGGAGGGGGTTGCCCAGCCTTCTCGCCTCATCGTGGAAGAATGTGGCGTCGTGGGTGGCCGTCAGCCCTTCCAGGAAGGTCTGCATGGCAGGGGAGAGTCTGTCGTAGATCTCATAGCCAGAAGCCCACAGCTGCGTCGCAGTGGTCAGTGGCAAGGTCTCTTCACATGCAAGGGTCCAACAGGGGAGGAGGGGAGGGATGCCAACGTACAGTGTCACCACCGGTCGGGGGCAGGGTGTGGATCTTCAACATTGCGTAGTCCGAGGGGACTTGCTCGAAAGAGATGTCGGTGTGCCAGCCGGCGCTGGCGAATCGGCTGACATCGCTCAATTGGTGAGTGAGGCCGCCTCCCTTCTTCTGCTTCTCGCTGCTGATGACGCTAATCTGGTCACCGAGCTCGCTGCCCTCCTCCGTCAAGGGGTGGATGTGAAGGCCTGACGATTCGGGCTGTTGGTGCGTGTTAGAGTGATCCAATCTCGTGGGGTGGTTCGTCCGAAATGGCGACTTACACATCCGGCAAGCTCTGTGAGGCGGAGGCAAAAGTCCTTCATTTGAGTTGGAGTCACATCCTGGTCTCTCAGGAAGACGACACCGCGTTGGGAGACTACATTTCACAAGTCAGATACATCGAGACGACGATAAAGGTTTGGTCGCCGCGGAGATCTTACTTGTGGCAGCCAAGTCTTTGATGACCTGGTCGTCAGCCTTGAGCAGATCGACTACCTGAAGGCCCTCGTACTCCCGGCCGATGACAGGGGTGATGTCCGCGCTCTTGTAGCTATCCAGCGTGCCGGAGTAGACGAGCGGCTTGCTCAGGCGAGGACGGGCCTGAGCGTTGCCGCCCACGATGTTGGGCTCAGCCGCACCGTTGGAGATGGCTGAAGGCATTTTGAATGTGAGTGTAGTTGAAAAAGATGAGAAACCGAGGTTAACACCGCTAAGAATCGGCAAGTAAGTTGGTCGATTTTTGGCGAATGCGTAGATCTAGTTAGACAAGATCTGATAAGGACGTTTGGCAGATATATATGTCTCAATGTGTAGGAGCCGAAGCGGCCGTGAGTTTTTCGCAAGTATCACAGGATGTATAATGTCTCAAAGCGAAACCGGGGCCGCCAGTCATCGATGAGGAGAGGAAGAGAAGATCGTCAGACGTTTTCTCCAACACGTTGGGCCGGTGGTGTACGGAGGCTCCCGGCCGGTGGGCGATGGCGCAATCGCGAAGCTTCCTAATTCGGCGAAGTCGGAACGGCACGGCCAATCACGAACGCAGGATTCTTGCTCGGAGACGTTGGGCCCCGGTTTTCCCTCGCGGAGAATCTCTCGGAGAAGTCGTCGCAGTCTCTGCCAGGACTCCTTGCCCATCACAGGCCTCGGCGCATTGTGATTGCACTGCGCAACCCCTCCCCTCCCTTTGATGGGTTTGATTTCCCTGACCCGTCTGACCGGTCTCGATCCCAGGTTTCCTGTCGAAAAATGACCAGCTGACTTTTGAATTGAAATCGCTGGAGTTTCGAACGATGAGGACGAACATGAGATCTCGGAGCCAAGACAAAGAGGGGTAGATGGATCGCGGAGAAAAACCTGGAGTCTGGGGTAAGTTGGAGAAGGCGGCTAAGCCATCCGGCCGGAGTTGGGTCCTGTCAAAAAGGCACCAGATGCAACACGAAAAAAAAAAGTGAAGGATGCCAAACAGTCAACACCATCTTTCTCCCTGCCCCTTGTCCTACCACATGGTTCACCTCCACTAGTTTGTGGATAACATCGAAGACGCAAGACCGAGCTTAGATGTCGTGAGCCATGATCTGCTAGCCTCAATCAGAGCCTCAGAAAGACTATTAAGTTGAACGTCAAGGACGTCGCAACTCTTACCAGCCGGGACCCTCCCTCTCCATAGTCGTCGCTCGCTCCTTTTTTCCCTTTCAAAGCAGCCCGAACTTCCGGGAAGTGAACCGGTTCGCCCAAGTCTTTTCGTCGTTCCTCCTCCGCGAGAGTGAACCAGACACCCGGCCCGGACCTTTACACACAACCCAGAGCCAGCAGCAGCAGAGATGGCCGACGTCGAGGCAACCCACTCGAAGGCGATCAGCGACAGCGGCAAGGACGCCGTCTCGGTCTACCAGGACTCTGACGCGCCCGTTGTCGGTCGCGAGAACCTCGCCGACCTCATCCCGCCGCACGACTCCTACGAAGGAAAACACCGATGGGATCCGACAGCGTCTTGGACGGTGGCCGAGGAGAGGGCCGTTGTCCGCAAGACGGACCTGAAGCTCTTGAGTTGGCTTTGCGTGATGTTTTTCGGACTTCAGTTGGATCGTGGCAACCTGTCCAACGCGCTTGCGGACGATTTCCTCAAGGACATGAAACTCAGTAGTGACGACTACAACAACGTGAGTTTAACCATGATTTTGCTTAACCCTGAGGCTCCAGCGCTGACTCTCATTCTCAGGGAACCACAATCCAGCTGGTGGCTTTCCTGGCGGCCGAGTTCCCCGTCCAGTTCCTCACCAAGCGTTACGGCTTCAAGTTTGTGCTCCCGACCATGATGATGATGTGGGGTACCGTCTCCTGGGCCCAAGCCTGGATCACGACCCGCGCCGGCTTCTACGTGACGAGAGCCTTGATCGGAGCCTGCGAAGGTGGCTTCATCCCCGGCACCATTCTGTTTGCTACCTACTTCTACACGTCCAAGGAGCTCTCGGTGCGATTGGCCGTGTTTTGGTCCACGCTCAACGTTGCGCGAGTCATCTCGGCACTCCTCGCTGCCGGCATCCTCCAGATGCGCGGCGTTGGCGGTCACCCGGGCTGGTTCTGGCTCTTCTTGCTCGAGGGTCTTCTGACCTGTGTCTTGGCCACAGTTGTAAGTTTAGTATTCCCCGCTTGTTGTTGACATGAACACCACTAACACCCGGCTTTCCAGTCGTTCCTCTGGCTGCCCCAGTCCCCCACCAACACCACCACGGTCATCTGGAGAAAGCCCTGGTACACTGAGAGGGAGGAGGTCATCATGACTAACCGCATTCTCCGCGACGACCCCGCGAAGGGTCTCACCGCCCTCAAGGAGCCCGCGACTTTCAAGGACATCAAGAACGCCTGGTTCGATCCCTCGATGTGGGGTCTCTACTTCATCGGTCTCATCGCTTACATCCCGGCCACCCCCGTGCAGGCCTACCTCACGCTCACCCTCCGACGCATCGGCTTCACGACCTTCAACTCGAACATGCTCACGGTTCCGTCCGCTGTCTTGCAGATCTTCACCATGTTGGCACTGGCCTTTAGCAGTGACTACTGGAAGGAGCGCGCGTTCCACTGCATCTTCGGCGAGCTCTGGATCATGCCGCTGCTCATCGGTCTCCTCACGCTTCCGGACGGCGGCCGCGACTGGGAGCGTTTCTCCATGGTGACGCTCATCTCGGGATACCCCTATTTCCACCCGATCGTGTCCTCGTGGATCTCGGAGAACACGTTCGACGTCAAGAAGCGCGCCATCTCGGCGGCGACTTACAACGTCATCGTCCAGATCGGGTCACTCATCGGATCGCAAATCTACCGCTCCTACGACGCGCCGTACTACAAGCGCGGCAACACCGTCTGCGTGTCCATCTGCGCGCTCAGTCTCGTCGTCTTCCTGGTGCACCGCCAGGTCCTCATCCTCCTGAACAAGCGCAAGGAGAGGGTGTGGAACACCATGTCGACGGAGGAGCGGTTGGCGTACCAGAACGACGCGGCGGCGCGCGAGCAGGACGGAAACAAGCGTTTGGATTTCAGATTTGTCTACTAAGATATCGATGTGACATATTTTCAGAGCAAGCGAAACGCGAAGTTGTTTATAGCGGGATATACCAGTCTGCAATAAGGAAGCAAGCCGTGGGGGTATTTGGGGAACAGCCAGGGGTTTGGCTGGCTGGCTTGATGTTGCATTGACAGCTACCCTTCTCAGTAATATTTTATAAATTAAGAACAAGATCACATATGGATTCTGAGGAAATAATCACATGCTTTTTCACGAAAGGGTGTGTCAATTTGCGTGAGATGAAAAGCCAAGAGGTTATTCAGCATCGAAAGCTGCAGTTCCAAATCCAAGAGCGCTGATTGATCAGCAATTCAGCAGTCCCCAGTTTGACGTCCCTACGGTATCCGCGCCTTACATACCTACCTAGGCGGGTACGTAGTGACGATTCCAGACCGGGACCAAATCGCTGGAAAGGGCCGTTCGGGCGGCGGTCAACTGGCCGCAATTTGCGGGGAAATATAGGGGCCAAGGTCGACTAACGACCCTGAACGAATCCCGTCGAGTCCCAGCTGCAGGGTATCCTCTCCACTGTTGCCCTCCGCGGTTTAGCGCATCGAGCACACCATCGCCGAGGCCCCGCACACCACATCTCAAACGGCACGTCTGCTGCTGTCTGCTGCTGTCGTCTCCTCCGCGTCCCCAATTTTCTTTCCCTCCTCCGAGTCCACGTCCCTCCTCTTGCTGTCAACTTGCCGGTCGACAACCAGGGTTTCCAGCCAAATCAAGTCATTTTCTGCTCGAACTCATCCCACAGAATCGAAAGCCCGCAGCGGTACCGAGGTTTTCTTGCTTTTTTGTTTTCTTTTTTTTATGCATAGCAACCCTGCTTTGTAATACCAGCAGTCACCTCTTACATCACTTAGACACATACGGAGACAGGAAAGCCATCCATTACCGTTGCCAGTGACACACATCACACGCCGCGCGTGGGGAACCACGGAAACTGCAAAGCTGGGCCCGGCTGGATGCCATGAAACTACACGAGTAGGCCCGCGACGCTCCTCTTGCGACATGTCAACCCGCAAGATTGGCAAGAGAGCTTGTGACGCGTGCAAGATCCGCAAGATCAAGTGCACGGAGGTGCCGCCGTGCGATGGCTGCGTCGCCATCGGCACCGCCTGCACCTTCCACAAGGTCCCCGCAACCCGGGGCCCCCGGAACTTGAGGGCGAAGACGATACGACAGATCGCACAGGCCCAGCAGGAGAGTTGCGCCGCCGGCGCCGGTAGCGGCGGTGATGCTGCCGCCGTCACTGCTGCTTCCGAGGGCGATGGGGCCGTTGCACCGGCAGCCGGGGCGGCACCTGCTTCCAACCCGTCGCCCTCGCGGTCACCTTCCTCGTCGGAGGAGGGTTCGTCTGATGGAGGCTCTGCTGGGGGACAGCGGGTCGTTCGACAAGAGACCAACCTTCCTCTCCAACCCCAGAGGACCCCGATTCCGTCCCTGGTCCTGAGGTTATGCGTTTACCGCCTTCGGTTATTCCCAGTATGGCCCATCATCGCCGTGGAGGAGATCATGGCCTCACTCCATCGGGATGCCGACGATCTGGAGTCCTATGTCTTGGCGAATGCCGTCGGAGCTGCCACCATCGCACAGCTCAAGCTGTCCACGACTGACAGCAACGATCCTGCGACGGCGAGTTCCATGGAAGCGGAGTGCCAGCGGTCGAGAATGGCCCTGCAGGAACGCGAGGGAGGTCCACCGATGAACCTTAATTGGTTGAGGACGTCCTTCTTCCTCCATGTCTATCATGAAAACCAACAGCCTGGTGGGGCCAAGTCCCTCCTCTACCTACGGGAGGCCATCACCATCGCTCAAATCATGGGGTTGCACAAGGAAACGTCCTACATGTCCTTGCCTCTTCCCGAACAACAGATGAGACGAAGGATACTGTGGTTACTATTCGTCACTGAAAGGTATTGTCCGGCTCCCCAATAACAATACAGTGTGTCCTAACGTAGTCTCAGGGGCGTGGCCATGCTTCACAAGCTGCCGGTGGCATTGAAGTCCAACATACGGTTCCCGTCGTTGGATGCCTCGGGAGTCGGAGAGGATGAAGGCCACATCCTGCCGGCCTTCAAGAAGCTTGCGAATTTGTTCTGGATTTTTGACCAAAGCGGCGCCTTCGACATCCTCCAGAATTCGGATGACGAGGATGCCATCTGGTCCATGGCGGACGGTCTGCAGACCGCCAGCAGGGCCTGCCTCGACGTCGTTCAGAGGAAGCTTCAGGAGATTCCTCTGGAATCCGATGCCAGTTCTGATGTCCAGCGCGCCGACATTGTCGTGACACGTCAGTGGATGCAGGCCGTCCTATGGAAAGTCACTATGAACCATGGTCGAGCCTGGTCATCGAACCAAAACGTCACGTCTCTTTCGCATCCCATCCAAATCGCCAAGGAGTTTCTTCAACTCATTTCTCAGCTTCCCAGTACCGCCATTGAAGCCCATGGGCCCGGAATAGTGAGTTCTTATACTTGTTTCCGCGTCAGGTGTCTAACCATCTACTAGGAGTTTAAAATCTACGAGATCGCCAGCGCTGTCACCGATGCCGTTGCGAACAATTTTCGACTTCCACGCTCTTCTACAGATGGGCCGAGGGATATCCTTCTTCAGCTGCAGAGGGTTCTCGCATCATGCCGCGGTGGCAACAAGGCGTTATTAGAGATGCTTTGTGCTCGTATCGCGGAAGTTCAAGACGGGCCCCTGATGATCATGGGTCGAAACCCAACGCCAAGAGTCCAAGAAGTTGATGACAATCAGTGGCGCGAGGGTAACCGACCAAATGGCTCGTCTCCCATGTTCACGCCGATCGATGGGATGCCAGATTCTGGTCAAGTCTACGCTCAGGCTCAGGCAAGCTTCATGGCCATGTTTGACAGAGACACGCCGGTTCAAGCCATGGGCAACGATGGTACCGTACCAATGTCGCCCCAGCGGCAGAACGTCGACCGATCCAACATGTGGGATCAATCTACCCAGTTGGGCCCGGGGGCACACGATCTTATCGACCAGCTACAACATTTCGATGGGTCCTTCAACACCGTCGAGTCCAATGGCACCCTGGACATGCTGTTCGCCAACGGAGCCTTGTGGGATAACGTCACGGGTGACGACTGGATGGCACCGGTACAAAGCAATCCCGGTGTTTTCACGACTTCGCCGCAAGCTACAGCAAATCTACAGAGACCGTATGAGTAGCATGCAACCCAACACCCACCACTGGGTTGTATCAGAGACTCATCGCTGTGACCGAGGTCTATGGCTAGAGCCTAAGCTGTCCGCTGTCGTGGAGATGACTCATGAAGTATTCATTACTACCAGGCGAAGTCTTCGGCGCTTTTGAAGACCATGCGAAGATTGGCCTCACAACGGGGGCCGGAAACGAGCTCTCGGGAACACATACTACTTCCCAAGAGCGCACGACACCGCACGTATACTTGTGTTCTCGGTCGGTGAGTCCTACTACCTTTTTACTCCCAAGAATAATGAACGTAGCTGACGCCGAGCAGTACGGGTACGGCTACATGCGCCTGCAAGGAGAAAGCAGAATGGCTAACGGCCAAGACGAAAGAGCACGATGAGAGCAGCAGAAATAACGAGACATTCAATGCGGAGATAGCGAAGAGGAGAAAGCAAAAAGTGTTGCGGAATCTTACGACATGTTTACGAAAATCCCGATGTGTACAAGAAAATTTATATTTTAATTTTATATCCATCTAGACGCATCTATGCCTCCAGCAAGACGGCAACTCCCTCATACGGGCCGAGGGTGACCTTTCCTTGGCTGAAGTCGCTCTTCGTCTTCCCGGCGTAAGTGACCAGCACATCCTTCACAGTTCCTGTCAACCCAGCCCACTCCACAGGCTTGGGCGAGAAATTACAGACAACCAGGGCGGTCTGGCCGTCGTCGGCCTTCCGAGCGTAGGCGAAGATCTGCTCGTGGGCCTCGTCGACCAGTTGGAAGTCGCCGTAGACGAAGATGTCCTTGTACTCCTTGCGCGTATCGAGCACCTTGCGCCAGGTGCGGTACACCGAGTTGGGATCCGACGTCTGGGACGAGGCGTTGATCTCCTTGTGGTTGGGGTGGACCTTCATCCAGGGCGTGGCATCGGCCGTCGTGAAGCCGGCGTTCGGGCTGGCGTCCCATTGCATGGGCGTCCTCGCGTTGTCGCGGGACTTCTTCTGGTACTCGACCTTGAACGCCTTGAGAGTCTCCTCGTCGTCGACGTCCTTGTGCAAGCTGCGCAGACCAAATCAGTCAGAAACTTCCTCTTTATAAACAGCAATCGGCAGGGAACGACTTACTTCCAGTGGTTCAGGCAGTCGATATCTTTGTACTCCTCCATCGGCCACTCCTTGGGCACGTTGACCATGCCGATCTCCTGGCCTTGGTACACGAAGGGCGTGCCGGCCTGCAGGCCCTGGAAGACGGAGATCATCTTTGCGCTGTTGGCGCGGTGCTCGGGCGCGTCGCTGGCGAAGCGGCTCACGGAGCGCGGCTGGTCGTGGTTCTCGAGGTACAGCGCGTTCCATCCGTCATTGTCGTACATGAAGCGCTGCCACTTGTTCACGCCGGCCTTGAGTTCCGCGAGCTTCCACTCCTTGGGCGAAAACTTGCCCTGAGGACCGTGGTCGATGTCCATGCTGCGCGCAGCGGTTGTCAACATCACGGTATAAGTGAGACATCGAGAAGGGTGCCACTTACAACTCAAAGTGGAAAATCATGCTCAGCTCCTCCCGTTCCGCATTGACGCTCTTGATCACTTCGTTCAGATCCCGCACGCAGGGCATCTCGCCGACGCTGAACGCATCGTACTCCTTCAGAATCTTGCCCAACTCCTTCAGGTACTCATGCAGCCGCGGCCCGGCAGAGTACAGCTCCGATCCGCTGAGGACCTCCTGCTTCGAGTCGGGGAAGTCCTGCGGCTTGCTCACGAAGTTGATCACATCGAGTCGGAACCCGTCGGCGCCCTTGTCGAGCCAGAAGCGCATGATGGCGTGGACCTCGTCGCGGACCTTGGGGTTCTCCCAGTTGAGGTCGGGCTGCTCGCGGGCGAAGAGGCGCAGGTAGTACTCCTGGGTGGTCTCGTCCCACTCCCAGGCGCTGCCCTGGAAGTGCGACTTCCAGTTGTTGGGGGGCTGGCGGTTGCCGTCGGCGTCGTAGCGCGCGGGGCGCCAGATGTACCAGTCGCGGTAGGGGTTCGTCTTGGAGGAGCGCGACTGCTTGAACCACTCGTGCTGGTCCGAGGTGTGGTTGACGACGAGGTCGAGGACGAGCTTCATGCCGCGCGCGTGGAGGGCGTCCTTGAGCTCGTCGACGTCGGCGACGGTGCCGTAGGGGGCGTGGATCTCGCGGTAGTTGCTGATGTCGTATCCCTTTTTGTCGACCATGTCAGCTCTTTCACGGCTTTTGCTATGCGACTCTCCAGAGAAAGCTGCCAAGACGGAGACCAAAAAGGCTCACCATATCGATCTGGGGGCTCTCGAAGATGGGGCAGAGCCAGACGATGTCGACGCCGAGAGACTTGAAGTAGTCGACCTTTGAGATGATGCCCTTCAGGTCACCGACGCCCGTGCCGGTCGAGTCCTTGAACGACGCCGGATACACTTGGTAGACCGAGTTCTCCTTCCACCACCTGCGGTACTTGCTGGCGAGGCCGCCTCCGCCGCCGACGACTTGACTGGCAGCCATTGCGCTTAGTTCTGTGGCTTGGTTGGATTCGAGAAACCGTGAGGCGCCGTTCTGTATTTTGCCCGCTTCGCGATGTCGCAGTTGTTAGGACCAAACAGCTCAACTTCGAGCTCTGGTTCTTTTCTCGCCCTTTTTCACACTTTCGAGGAGGAAGCTCGAGACAGAAAGAAGAGTCAATGGCTTTTTGGAAGTGCCAGATGATTGGGGAGCTCGGCAAAGACGGTACTGTTAAACACCCTCCAAGACGACGATGTACATGCGAGAATTTCTGCGAACAATAGCAGAAAAAGCAGCCAATGGGGGAAAGAAAGTTGGCGGTTTTTGGGTTCGGGAAGGAGAAACGTCCAAGAAGCAGCGGCAGCAGCAGCACACCACGTCAGGGCACACACACACACACACACACACGAGGACAGCACAGACGAGAGTGATCGGCGCTGTGGGACCAGGGGGTGGGTGGGCAAGCGGGAAAATCAGCTGCAGGCACGTTTCTGTTTTTACGTTGGAAGTTTTCCTTGGAAGGAAGACGTTGCAGTTGCATATGTTGGCTTTTCTTTCCCGTGGGGAATGGCTTGAGGAATCCCATCAACCGAGGGGTCGGGTGGGTGGTGGGAGGAGGAAGCGCAAAGGAACTCCGATTAGACCCCGAAAGTGGTCTGCCCCTCCATCGTTGGTGTAAGTCGTCATGCGGGGTAAGTCGGAGCTGTGTCCTGGGGACCTGATGAGAACGAGAACCCCACCAACTGACTTGCTTTCGTCGTGTCTATTGCTGTTGCTTTCTGTGCTACCTCCTCCTGCTCCGTCGTTCCTCAATGTTCATTATTTTCACAATAGATTACGTGTGGGAGATGTCTCGAGAAAAGGTTGTGTATGCGATGTCTTGGGGTAAAGCAATCCCGAATGTACCGGCTCCTCGCTTTCGAGATGCCAATCTTGACAAACCGGTAGAAAAGGAAAAGCGATTCATTCACATATGCTAATTCCGGCATCGGTATCAGGCCACACCACACAACAAACTTGCTTCGAAGGGGGGACCACCAGCACAGCCGCCGCATGAAAACCATTACGTTGTGTCTGTTGCAGGTTGATGTTGTGTTTCGTGAAGATCCCCCCAAGGACACAGGCAGGCACTGACACTGACTGCGGGAGAACTCTCAAGGTTCGGTGGGGTTGGCCATGCACGCCCCGCGGCCCCACCAGAGCTTCGTGTGGTTCCGACTTCTTCTCCGAGAGATTCGCCGGCCGCTTCCCGGACCGAGCTCCGTGGGAAACATGACGGACTCCCGAGGTGTCTCGGTGGACTGACTGCCGTTCATCACGATCGTCTTGGATACAACGACACGAGAGGTCATCGAGACGGAGATGGATCTTCTGTACAGCTCTCGACGCGCGCGAGCAGGCGCACACGCGAAACCCTTTCCTAGAGTTCACTTGTTTCCGGATTCACAGACTGTCATGGTTCACGGGGGCGGTGTCTCTGGAGACGGGCGATGAGAAGTTGTCTCCTCCTATCCGCGTCTCGTCATACGCATGGAGTCGTTGGAAGTCCATCTCGTCGTGGGTTCTCAACAGTCGAGCGCTTGCTGTCGGTAGTGGTATCGAGAAGTCTCGATATCTTTTCTTCTTGTCACACACCACCAGATGCATTAACTCACTTAAGCAGAGCACCCCATCATGTCGAAGAGGAGAGCGGTCGCCACCCCCCGGGTGGTAACCACCCTCACTGGATAAGGTATGCCAGGAGAGCTGTCTTATCAGCCACACAGGCTCCAAAACGACCCTACGACACACAGTGAGAAAGATTTGCGTCCATTGTGGCTCGATGACAGCGACCTATCCTCCTCACGGCCGGCGCGGGCTCCCTGTCGACGGCCCTCCTCATATCACTCACCCCGGCACCGAGAGAAAGGAGAGGGGCCAAGCAGACAATTACGACAGCGGCGCCGTCGTTGCCCCGGTACAGCCTTTCCGAGACCAAACAACACGATGCCCGATCCGAGGCCCCGAGGGTCACACACAACGGCTCCGTCTACGACATCACAGAGAGGGTCGCCGCGCACTCCGGCGAGGAGATCACTCTCCGCGCGGCGGGCGGGGCCGTGGAGCCGTACTGTGACATCTTGTCCATCTACAAGCAGCACCTCGAGGATGAGCTGGCCGTGCTGGAGGGATGCAAGGTACGTAGTCGAGGTGGACGAGGTGGACCTGGATGAAGTGATCGCGAACGTGGTGGACGACGACCCCTTCAAGGACGATTCGGAGCGCTGTTCGAGGTCGCGCACACGTACGGAACGGCCGAGGAACGCTGAGACGTCCGCGGAGGGGTGGGGTGGACCGGGAAGACGAGCGGGTTGTATGGATGGCGGATGCCGTCTCGACGGCGGAGTGGGAGGGCGCTTTGCGGATGGATGTTCTCGCCGACGATGGCCAGTCGTGAGACTGCCGCAGCGTTCCCCGGGGGCGTAAAGCACGTTCACTTCATGTGACTCAAGGCCTACGCCGCCTCCATCCCCACCACGAAGACTCTCGACGCCCCCTCGGCGACGTCCTCCTCGCGTTCCGAGTGAACGGTGCCCCGCTGCCGCAGGACCACGGCTTCCCGGTCCAGAAGATCGTCCCGGGCAACGGGCAGAGTATTGTCCGGGTGGACGTGGCGGCCAACGGAGCTCGTTGACGATATGGCCTCCGGCCAGAAGGCGTGGTTCTGGAAGCAGCGCCGATATAAAGACTCGTTGGCCCGCGGCGGTGCCGGGACCGGGGCCGGGCCCTACACCAAAGCCGGGGCGGCCGGGACGCAGGCGGCGGTAAGAATCGAGCTAGTGGTGAAGGCGGCACCACCCAGCCCGAGAGCATCCCCAACGCGAGGTTGTAACTTGGTCGACGGCACGGCACCGAATCGAGATTAATAGAACCGACGAATCAGGCCGCGTATTTCTTCATGTGTTGTGTGTTTTGTTTATTTTCTGGAATGGCCTGCTCCTAGCGTAGTGTCAGAGACACTGTGAGACATACAACAACCAGCCGTACCGTCTTCGGCCAAAAGCATGCCGTCGCAAAAATACACGTAGTACACCCGATCATCACGATCGACGATCTCCAGCTACGGTATTCGAGCTGTCTCGGAAAATCCCCGAAAACAGAACGCCCCGTTTGAGCGCCTCTCAAAAGTCAGCCGGCATGGTGATTGTGATGACAGTAATACACTCCCATGCGGTGATGCAGCGGCGACAATTCACATCGAGACTCCAAGCTCTCTCGTGGAACGGAGCGACTTTGTGTAGGCATGGGAAGTCCCGTCGCATGTCCCACAGCAGACGCAGTGAGGGGTCCGTCCCCGCAACCGCAGGTGCAGCTTCAGCGCCGGCGACGTCCATTGGTCAATCCCGCGAGGGCCTCTCGCCGGGTGACGTGGTGGGGTTTTTTCTTGGAGGGGTAAAAAAAGCCCAACACCATGCTCCGAGAATTACTCCCCTCCAACTGAGAAGCGCGTGTGAGGGGTGCGGGGCAATGCGTGTTTGGAGCTTTCCATCTTAGTGTACTTTCATGTGTCAAGAAGGGAGGGTAAAAAAAAAGTAGGAGGACGATTGAGATTGTAAACAAAACAACATTGCATTTTTCCTCTCTCTCTCTCTTGACCCGCCACCGCAAGAATTGTCATTACCAGACGCTTGAATCAAAACACATATTTGGAACCAGGGTACCGACACGATGGCTTGGGAAGAACCGAGAAAGACGGGCATGCAGTACCGCCGCCTGGGCAACTCCGGCCTTCACGTCTCGGTGCTGGGTCTGGGAGGATGGTTGACGTACGTGTGAAAGCGCGCGCGCGCGCGCGCACTAAGCCCGTCTTGTGAGATCGAGATCTGCGATTTGCTGACTTTGGAATTCCCATTAGTTTCGGCGGCCACGTTGAGAACGGTACGGGGAACATCGAAGCGCGAAAGCCTGCGCGGCGCGGTCACTAACGGCCAGCAGAGAAGACGTTTGCGTGCATGAAGCAGGCCTACGACCTGGGCATCAACTTCTTCGATACGGCCGAGAGGTAGGGCTCCCCGCGCGGCCCCGCGAGAGACGTCCGGACGGGCGACGGCTGACCCGGGACCTACGCAGCTATGCCGGCGGCAACTCGGAGATCATCATGGGCCAGGCCATCAAGAAGTTCAACTGGAACCGCAACGACATCGTTGTGACCACCAAGGTAAAACTAGGCGGGGTTGTCTGAGTCTGAGTGTGTACGACGGCTAAGCTCATGTAGCTCAACTGGGGCGGCGCCAACGGCGAGGTGCTCATCAACAACCACGGTCTCTCGCGCAAACACATCATCGAGGGCCTCCGCGCGTCCCTGAAGCGCCTCGATCTCGAATACGTCGACATCGTGTACGCCCACCGCCCCGACCGTCTGACCCCGATGGAGGAGACGGTTCGCGCTTTCAACCATGTCATTGATAAGGGCTACGCCATGTACTGGGGCACTTCCGAGTGGAGCGCCGACGAGATTGCCGAGGCCTGCGGCATCGCCAAGGACCTCAGGATGATTGCCCCCGTCGTCGAGCAGCCCCAGTACAACATTCTCGAGCGCCGCAAGGTCGAGTACGAGTTCCAGCGCCTGTACCAGCGCTTCGGTCTCGGCCTGACCACCTTCAGCCCCATCAAGATGGGCTTGCTCAGTGGCAAGTACAACGAGAGTTTGGACGCGCCGCCTGCGGGAAGTCGCTTTGCCGAGGGCAAGGGCGACAAGTTTGTCAACTGGGCCAACAAGGAGTGGTATGGCAATGATGAGTGGAAGGCCCTGATTCAGAACGTCGTCAAGCTCAAGGTGAGTCGTCCCCACCGGACACCCCGTGATTTGGGATGGCATACTGACGGTACGGAACGCTCAGGGTATCGCGGAGAAGCTCGGCGCGACGCAGTCCCAGCTGGCCCTTGCGTGGTGCCTGAAGAACCCGAACGTGACTTCTGTCATCACGGGCGCCTCGAGACCCGAGCAGATTGTCGAGAACGTCGGTGCCCTGGAGGTTCTGGCCAAGCTGACACCGGAGATCATGGCCGAGGTTGATGCCATTGTGGGCGAGGTCAAACTTGACCCGGCCAGACAAGATTAGAGAATGGCGTGGTTGCGGCGAGCGAACTTGATTCTGTAGGTTAACACGGGGTGGCGTAGTACATGGCATGGCATTTTAGAAGTGAAGGAACAAAAGTTCAGGCACAAGATACACACACTACACACACTTACCGGCTCGATCCATGCAGGTCCGCGTCGAGAACCTCGTGATTTTGGACGAGGCTCGCTATATTACTCGCTGACCGCCGTTTCACGGCCCTTGGTCGCAAACAAGTCTTCAGAGGAACACGCTTCTGGAAGCCATGGACAACGTGCCCGAGTCAAAAATTGGATGCGACGACCCCGGTTCGACGGGGCCGGATAGAGTGCCATCTGCGCCACCGCCTGTGCTGAGATGCTCGCAGGACGTTGCTTTTGAGACTGTCGGAAAGATTCTCCGAAGGCGAAGTTGTCCAGGCCACAAAGTCGAGACGATTTCCATATTGGATGCTTGAGGAATAATCCGACTGGCAGAAACCCTTGTGCAGCCGTCTTGACTCGGTGGCCAGCGCGGATCAAAGGGGACCATGTAGGGGTTTGACAATGCGTTCCTCGGCCGATGCTTCCATCTGTTGATGAAACTTGGCAACGCGCGTTGGGAATAGTGCCCGGTACCGTTCGGGAGTCTGCTATGCCAGCCGTTTGGTTGTGGTCTAGACTCGCGAAGGTTGTCGATCCACTGTCCTTGGTCGCATCTCGGGAATCGTCAGGTGCTTTTCGAGGGTTGACAAGCAGCAAGCACCCCAAAGTCAGCCGTTTTTACCTTTTAAGCTCCGCCAACGAACGGGTGATGGCGGGGAGTCCATGAGATCCCACGTGTCGCGAACGCCAACGCAGCCTGGAGAGAACTCTGAAGTTACGATGAGTGACATGGACCATCGACCTCGGCGCCATGATCGCCTGCAGCACTTGGCCTTCATCAGGAGAGCAAACACGCCCGACGATACACCAAGGAATGATAATCTGCGGCATTCCAACATGTGTGTTTCTTGGGGGCAAGATACCTGGGAGACACCCCAAAACAGGAGTACTCTGCGTACTTGGCGGCAAAATCCGGGGCCGCGTCGTCTCATAGGTCACAAGCGAGTGAGGTAGTACCGTGTAGACGCGGTGCTTTACTCAGGGACGGAATACGGGATACGGGTAGTTGGTGTGCATGGTAACGAAGGAACGGTAGTGCTTGCATGGATTCGTGTGCAGTTGAGGGTGCATGGCTCGCCCCGAGCAGGACGACGAGGGCCTTCGCCGCAGGCGCATTGATCGTCGTCCGGTGGTCGTTTGGTGGCAGACTCTCATGCCTGACACGCAAGACATGTGGCGTCGCAGAGTAGGGGACTAGGATAGGGCGTATAAGATGGGGATCTCTTGGAGACTCGGGGTCGTGGAGAGGCATCGTAAGGCGAGCGAGATGGTGCGTATGCATCGTACGGAGAGACGGGAGACAAGTAAGACGATTTGAGGTTGATGGTTTGAGATAGCTACGGCGACAGCTTTTTGTAGAGATCGAGCTGCCAAATAAGATGTCAATATCAGGCCACTTTTTCGAGGGCAATGACGCCGGGTTGGGTGCTGGGGACGTCAAAGTTTGAGCTTGGCCCGCCCTGGGTGCTTGGGGTCGTGAACGACGGTGTGAATGCAGCCTTAACTGATGGGCAAAGTTGCTGTCTCGAGCAGGCACTTTGCTGGTAAAGCAGAGGGGAAAACATGTGGCCCAACAGGGAGGGAGGCGGTTTTGGAGGGCAGGGAGAGTTGGACGACTTGCATACTGCGAAGTAAGAGGGGGATGAGACGAGCGTCTGAGCTGAGCTGAGCTGCGCTGCGCTGCGCTGCGCTGCGATGCCTGCCCTATGCCTATGCCTACTGCGGTATGCAGCGGCCCACGACTTTCTGCATGGCATGGCTGACATGTGTATGTGTGTGGGTGGTTGCGAAGTGAAAGTGTGTCAGTCTGTAGCTGAGAGGTGTGCCGATGGTGTGCGTGAGTGTGGGATGGAGGTTGAAGGCCAACGACCCTGTTGCTGGTTTGCTGATGCCATCGCGTAAGGTACGGATACGGAGAGAAGATCAACAACGAACCAATGGGGACAAAGATGATGGGCTGAGACATTGATCTTGCAAGTCAGACATGATGTAGACAGGGCGCTTCTGAGTGCGAGAGGTAGCATGCCGTGTCATGAATGTTGCGCAGCCAAGAGATGCGAAGAAGGAAGTGCAAGGAATCTGTAAATGGAGATTGGTGGAGAGAAGAGGAGAGAAACGGATGGACGCAACGGCCAGTTCGAGTTGCGAGAAGGAACATTCCCAGCAAGACCCAGATATAGCAGCAGCAACAGCAACAGTAACGACACAAGACACAACAGCTGGGCCTGCCCGCCGCGCGGTGCCAAGGCAAAGTGAGACTGCTAAGACGGAAGACTCCAGGATACCTCATTCTTAGGTAAGGCAGGCAGGAAATTGAGATTGGGGCTCAATGAAAAGCACGTTTTTGGTGTAGGCATCCGTAGTTACTAGTCGCATTCGCAGGCATGACTTGTACGACGGCCGAGACTACAGGTAGGGTTCATGGTCCCGGGTTCTTGTCAAAAGTACTTTAATTCTCTGAAAATAACCTTAGGTGCAGCATTGCAGCATTGCAGAGTAAGGTAAGGTGAAGGAAGGTTATGGTGGTGACTAACGAGCGACACATCTCGCAGAATTATCCTAAAGACGGCCAGTTTGCTGAAGAAGAATCCAAGGTTTGATGAGAGCAACAATCAAGAGTCGGTGGAATCTTGAAGACGGCCCGCAAGCCAAAGTCAGGTCACATTAGGTTGATGCTATTCGTGCCTACCTACCTTACGCAATACATGGCCAACGGATGCACATGCTGTTTTGGGGTTCGCACATGTATGTCGGTACGCATTCCACGTGCCACCCAACAACTCCCGTCAGGTTGGATGAGGTTGAACAGACCTGGACACGGACGATAGGGCGATACCGAGTCTGTCGCAGGTGCGGCGTAGAAAATGGACATGTTTCCAGGTTTCGAAATATCAGGCAAACACCCGTGACAACCGCAGACTTTGGAGGGGAGTAGTGTTCCAACACTTGTGAAAGGTTCTCCCACATTATTATGTACCTTATGTAAGGCACTTTCCCACTCACCCACCGGGACTGTGGACATGGAGGCACCGACTGCAACTGTCATGGATCCCTGCCAGTTGCGCGGTGCACGTCCATGCTCCTGCCCCACCTCGCCCACCAAGGGGAACAGAGGGCCAGACGCTAAAGTGCGGCATGCCGCTAACCTTTTTGGGACAGCATCTGCTCCCTCGAAACGCGGGCAGCAGGAACAGGGCTCTCGCTCCCTCCTCAGGCGCGCCGGTCACAACACAGCAGTGCATCAATCGGCCGTGAATCACGGCGTTTTTAATTTCCTCACGTGGGTACGTTAAACCTGTCATGTTGAGTCGGAATGCTGGCGGTAAGCCGTCTGTACCTTGACATGACTACCTACCTAGGTAGTACATGTAATTAAGTGAAGGGGAGGTACGGAGCACGGAATACGTACCCATCCCAAGGCAGATGGCAAGGATGAGGTGCTCCAGCTTGCACTTGGCCTCAGCTTCAGCACCCGCTTGGAGCTAACCGCCAACGCGCTGCCCACTAAAATCGCATACTCTGCGCTACGCCTCCGGCAGAGCGACACAAGCGACACCTCTTGCGGGTCCTTCCCCCAGGAAAGAAGAGAAGTGTACATTGAGAGACCAAAAGAGAAATCAGAGAAGAGAAACAAGAGGCCATCTCATTCCAACCTGATGCTACCTCAATCTTGCCTTAGTCATGTCTCCGCGGATACGCGGCCAGAGAATGACGGTTTAATTGTACATTTCGAACATGTACCGGGTCTAATTGTGATCCATAGTGTTTGGAATGGAGTACGAATATAGATACTCGACCTACCTTACTCTAAAGTACCTACCTAGAGGAAGACCAACAAGTACCTATCCGTACACGATGAGACAGGCATGCAGACGTACGCAGTACCCGCATCCGCAACCGCAACCGCAACCGCACCCCATCGCGACATGTTGACTGCTACATTGTGAAGCCAACCAACACTAACCTGCGGCCTCAGACCATCATCTTCGTTGTTTTTTGTACAGCGCAGAAATAGTGCCTACTACGAATTCACGTGCCACCTGCCTTGCCTTACCTTCATGTACCTTAGCTTAGCCATCCGCCTCCATGTATCCGAACCTTACATAACCTAGGTACCTCAAGGTAAGGTATCGCGTCGTACTTCTTACGTCTTGGAGTTCCAGCATTACTACGCAGTACTGCAGTACTGCGCACATCTCCTCGTCCCGTCGCTAGCTGCCCGACCTTACCTCACCCAGCATCTACCACCCAGCATCTACCATTTACCTGTCGCACAATACGCGACGGAGCTCCTCCGGCCCTACATCTCTCGCCGTCCCCACAGTCGCGCATTTCCATTCTTCCCGCCTCCTCATACCTTATCCATATGCGACATCGAAAACAACGACCGATCAAGCCTCCGCCCACTGCTGTCACGACCATTTCCGTTCCATTCCTTGCGACAAGTCTTGCGTACAACCAACCGCCTTCGAATTTTCGCTTCCACCATGACATAATCGACTCGACACCTGTCTTTCTGTCCGACTCACCTGGACCGTTTCCGCGTCCTTCTTTCGCTTGCCCCTCCCCGACGCCGGTCCCTGTCCGACTGATTCCCGTCTCCAAACCTGGATTCGCCTCCCCAGATTCGCATCGCGACCTAATCACCACCGCCCACTTCGCCTCTTTCCACCAAACCGTTCACGTACCCGTTTGCGTCCGGACTTTTTTCCTGTCGAGCGGTTGCCATTTTCCCTTCGTCGGGAATGACATGGCTCTGCGCCCTCATGCGACGGCCTGGCCACAATGACGAGGAATGAAGCTGGCTCCCGCTTCAGCTCGCTTACGAGCACCAGCACCGACAGCACCAGATCCTCGGCCACCATCAAACCTCCAATGCCGTCGTCATCGGCAGCGGCAGCGGCAGCGGCAGCCTCTGCATCGACGAACACGCCGGCATCGCGTAAGACTCCTATGCGTTTGAAGACGGATAGCGGAATAGGGAATGGAAATGGAAATGGATCCCTCGCAGAGAGGTGAGTGTCATGTCCAGCACTGTCTGTCATTGTCATTGTCATTGTCCTGTCCTTGCCATGTCCCCCCCACCCCAGTCATTCAGTCAGTCAATCAATCATCCATACCTCGTCAAGTCAGTCCACCAGGCCATGCCAGCCCAGTCTTGCCGGCCCGGTCAGCCCAGCAAGCGCAAGCCCGGGCAGCAAGCCCGGGCAGCAAGCCCACCCAGGCTGTCCGCAGTCCACAGTCCACAGTTCACAGTCCACAATCCATGGCCCGCGGTCCTCCCCAGTCAGTCGTCGTCGCCTTGAGGTTGGGACCTGGGACGTCCACGACCTGGGTTTGGGGCTCAAGCGGCTCCTCTCCCACGGCGCCCCTCCAAAACCAAGATATCCACATCCGCCATACGCTTTCATTGCGCGAGAGTGTGTGAGTTTGTGCGGTGGTCCTGGTCAATCGTCCTGTACCCTGGCTTGTCTGGCGCTTCTGCTTTTTCCTCGGTGCTGGGAGTGTGTGTGTGTCTGTCTGTCCATCCCACTACAGCTTTCTTGCGCGCGCCGCGGCCGTCTTCCCGAAACCCAGTCCTTGGCGAGATATTTGGTGTAGCTTGTGCTTTTTTTGCTCTTGTCAACGAGGCGCTTTTTTCCCTGCTGCGTTATGGAGAAGAGGCGCTTCAATTGCTATTGCAGCTCTTTCTGTGTCTCTCATACAGCTCCCCCCTCCCCTCCCCCTCTCTCCAACCCATTCCTGAATTCGAATCCCTCCCATCTATCAACGTACTAGCCTGCTAGTGACCCTGAATTACCTCTGGCACCCCCTCCCCCTCCCCTCCATCGCTTTCGCCTCCGCCCTGGCCCCGGGCAAGCTTTGTCGTCGTCGCTTCGTCGGTGGAGCTTTCTGCTGTTTTCGATCCCTCCAGTCCAGCCCAGTTCAGCTCAGCCCAGATCATCTTTCTCACTTTCACTGCCCTTCTGTTTCCTCCATGTCCCTTAACTTTTTTTCCTGACTTGACTTGTCTGCCCTGACGAATGCACCTGTAACTGACTGGCCCCTGCGTTCTGCCCCCCGTTTAGATCATTCATTAGTGATTTGAGCCCGGCTCAGACGTCTCCCACTCACGCCTCTGCGCCGCGCGGAGCTTTGTCACCAGCATCAACAACCTCCAATGTCTCCCCCTTCCGCGATCGTCTGAGCGACTTCGCCAACTACCGTCGAGACTTGGCCGTCCTAGAGACTTCCGGCGGCCGTCTGCCCTCCATTCATCAACAACCACCAACGGCCACGCCTTCCTCAAACTCTCAAGTCGCTCCCTGGATGTCGCCCTCCAACGGCGGTGCCACCGCATCCACCCCTCAGACCCAGCTGAACACGACCTTCTACAATGATTCCAGTGACAACCTGTCCATCGCATCTCAGCTATCGCCCGGCTTCCGTCCTCCTACGAATCGAATCGCCCACCAGTCGTCCGGCAGCCAGGACTCGCCTGACGCTGCGTACTTTGCCGACGAGAGAAGGCCTTCGCTGGCCAGCATAACGACTCTGAGCAGTCAGGGTTCCAAGACGAGCATTCGAAGAGGTGGACTGCAAAAACTCCAGGGTTTCTTTGGCGAGGAATTTCCCGGTCGAGACGGTTCGGAAAGCAGCTTGCACTCGAGTTCGGGAAAGGACCGCTCGCGTTCCTACAGTCACAGCCGCCCGACCAGAGATCGCAACTACTCCAACGCGACCGACCATCCACGAGATCGAGAAGGCTCGCCTTCCTCTTCGAGACCTAGAACACCAGTGCCGGCTCCTGAAGTTGTGCCGTTCCTATACCAAGAAGCCGACGTGAGTACACCATCTTTTTTTGCCCCTACACGGTTATTCCTATCCAAAGATTGCGCTTTCCGAGCTCCCCTCCCTCTCATCCGCACATCCGCACCCTTGGCGCCACTATCACGCATGCGGGTATTGCGCCGCATCGAACCGGAGCCTTATCTTATCTGTTATGCCCTGCTTGCAGCGCGGTGCATGCAGCCCGTTCTGTGTCGAGTCAAGCCTGCTAATGAATGTGCTTCAAGGATATTGCCAGGTACGGCGAGGCCCCAGTCAGAGACATTTTGAGCGGCCCCGACCGCGAACGTTACATGAACAACGAAAATCCCAACAACCCGCAAAATCCACCAAAGACCTCCTCATCAAGTCGCTCCGGTCATTCAATCGTGCATCTGCCCGGCCACCATCATCGCCACAACAAAAGCATCGATGATGGCAGGGCGCTTCGACCGACTGTAAGCAGGGAAGATTCTCAAGCGAGCTTGCAGGTCCAGAACCCCCGGGAACGAGGCGGTTCGGCTGCCACCGTCATGTACAACTCCAATCGATCCCGCGCCCAAAGCCCGACACCGAGCGGCGGCTACTTCAATTCGAGACACAACCCTTCCGTCGACGGTTCGACTTCCCCCGGCGGCCAGCAGCAACCGCATCATCACTCGAAAAGAAATATTTTGAATCGATTAAGGGGGAGGAAACAGGACAAGGACGATGGCACGTCTAGGCTGCGCGAATTGCCCGGGTCTACGAGGTCGCTGGCCGCGAAGCCATCGCGAACCGACTTTGCCCGACCGGAAATGTCGCCTTCCACGTTTCCCCTCAACTACGCCGGCACCGAACCCGGGCCAGACCAAGACCCACGACTGGCCAACTATAACAATCGAAACCAGACTTTCAACAACAGATTCCCCTTTTCGAAAAGCAAAGGCCGCCAACAACGGCCGACGGATATACAGGATGAGCAGATTGGCCCGACAGACAGGCAGGCCGGCGGCTCTGGCACCGTGTTCCACTTGGACACCAATCTGAATGACATGAAGGGCATTCTCACCGAGCCAAAGCCGCTCACGCCGATGGATAATAAATTCATCCAGACCATTGTCACCAGGGACGAACCTCCTCCGGTGCCAGCGAAGCCCGAAGCTCTTCCCCAGGGCGGACCTAATGGCGCCAACGGCGCCTGGAACGCCCCAGACAGCTGGGCTGTTCGCCGCAACACCGAAGACACCACCTACCAACCCCCAGAGATCGACGATATCGGCAGTCCGCCACGCCCAGAGGAGAAGATGACGCCATACTGCATTCGCATATTCAGGTCCGACGGTACCTTCGCGACGTTGTCAATGGCCCTTGACGCGAGCGTTACCGATGTCATCTCGCAGCTGATTAAGAAGACGTATGCGACTGACGGTTTGGAGAACTACCACATCATCCTGAAGAAGCACGACTTGGTCCGTGTTCTCTCCGCCGCAGAACGGCCACTGTTGATGCAGAAGAGGCTGCTTCAACAAATCGGCTACGAAGAAAAGGACAAAATCGAGGACGTCGGCCGCGAAGACAACAGCTACCTTTGCCGTTTCATGTTTCTGTCATCCAGAGAAAGCGACTTCCATTCTGTCACCAACGACCTCGGCCTTGGACGCATACAAAAATTCAACCACGTGGACCTGTCTGGTCGCAACCTAATCACCATCCCGATCTCCCTTTACTCCAAGGCCGGAGACATCATCTCTCTCAACCTTTCCCGCAATCTATCCCTTGATCTTCCCCGAGACTTCATCCAGTCTTGCCAGAACTTGCGAGACATCAAGTTCAACAACAACGAAGCTCGAAGACTACCTCCGAGTCTCGCCAAGGCTGCAAGGCTTACCTATCTTGATGTCTCGAATAACCGAGTCGAGCAACTGGACAGTTCCGATCTGGACGGCTTACATGGCATTCTTAAGTTGAACATGGCCAACAACCGACTCAAGGCTCTTCCCGCATACTTCGGTGCCTACAGGGCCCTGCGAAACCTCAACATCTCGTCAAACTTCCTTGATCAATTCCCATTGTTCCTTTGCAACGTCGGCAGCTTGGTCGAGTTGGATCTCAGCTTCAACAACATCAGCAGCTTGCCCAACGAAATTGGCAAGCTTCAAAACTTGGAAAAATTGGTCATGACCAACAATAGGCTGTCTGGTTCCATGCCAAGCTCCTTTCGTCAGCTCACCGCCCTTCGAGAATTGGACATCAAATACAACGCCATTAACAGCATTGACATCATCTCCGAGCTGCCCAAGTTGGAGATTCTGTCCGCAGACCACAACTACGTATCCCAGTTCGTTGGTAGCTTCGAAAGGATTCGAAGCCTGAAACTCAACTCGAATCCTGTTACAAAGTTTGAGATTAACGAACCGGTATTGACGTTGAAGATGCTCAACCTCTCCCACTGCCAGCTCGCAAGCATCGACGAAACCTTTAACATGATGCTCAACCTGGAACGCCTCGTTCTTGATAAGAACTACTTCGTCTCCCTGCCAGCACAGATTGGAAACCTCAGCAAACTGGAACATTTCAGTATAGCCAACAACAACGTCGCTGAATTACCGACCTCAATAGGCTGCCTGACTGAACTTCGAGTACTGGATGTGAGGAGGAACAACATTCGCAAGTTGCCAATGGAGCTCTGGTGGGCACACAAGCTGGAAACTCTCAACGCATCTTCCAACATTTTGGAGAACTTCCCCAAGCCAGCCTCTAGACAACCTCGGCCCGCAGGCGAGGAAGTCTCAACGCCGTCAGCAGTTAACAAGGCGAACCCCATGGGCAGTCTTCCTCCACTACCCCCAATCCCATACGAAGAATCTGTGGACTCTCGGAGGCCCAGTCAAAATTCCTCATCAACTTTGCTCAGTGTCGGACCTTCGCCGGTACCGGGCGGTGGTGACCGGAAGGGCTCGGTCGTATCAGTATATGGTAAAGGCGGCAGAAAGACCTCCGTTGTGTCCAGATCGACCTCTCAAGGCACCGTGCAGACAATGACGCCGCCATCTGTCAGAAAAGACTCCAGCTTATCTTCGAGACTCTCATCGACGTTTGCTGGATCTTTGCGGAACTTGTATTTGGCCGAGAACAAGCTCGACGACGAGGTCTTCGACCAGATCACCATGCTCAACGAACTGCGCGTGCTCAACTTGTCGTGGAACTACATTAACGACATGCCACAACGATCGATCAAGAGCTGGCCGCAAATGGTTGAGCTGTATCTGTCTGGCAACGAATTGACGACATTACCAGCGGACGACCTCGAGGATGCCAGTCTTCTGCAGGTGCTGCACATCAACGGCAATAAGTTTACCAACCTGCCAGCCGATATATCCAGGGCTAAGAAGCTTGCGGTACTGGACTGTGGTAGCAACTCTCTCAAGTACAACATTTCCAACGTTCCATACGATTGGAATTGGAACCTGAACCCCAACTTGAGGTACCTCAATTTGTCGGGCAACAAGCGGTTAGAGATCAAGCAGACTGTGATCGGCCCGACCGCCGCCAACCGGGAGCAACTCGCCGATTTCAGCAGATTGCTGAACTTGAGGGTGCTGGGTCTCATGGACGTGACGCTCACGCAACCCACGATCCCCGACCAGAGTGAGGATCGTCGTGTGCGAACGTCTGGTTCCCTCGCCGGTCACCTGCCATACGGTATGGCTGACACCTTGGGAAAGAATGAGCATCTGTCTACCATCGATCTCGTCGTCCCCCGCTTCAATTCCTCAGAGACGGAAACACTTCTAGGCCTGTTTGATGGCCAAGCTCTTTCCAGCGGCGGATCCAAGATTGCCAAGTACTTGCACGAAAACTTTGGTCACATCTTCAGCATGGAGTTGAAAAGTCTCAAGACAAACACAAACTCAAAGACCCCTGGAACTGCAGTTCCTGAAACCCCTGCTGATGCGCTGAGACGTGCCTTCTTGTCACTCAACAAAGATCTCGTCACCATCGCGATACAGCACACCGAGGAGCGCTCTCAAAAGACGCATAGGGGCTCTGTGCAGCCGGTGGTGCTTAGCAAGGAGGATCTCAACTCGGGTGGTGTGGCCACCGTAGTGTATCTTCAGAATACTGACCTCTACGTTGCCAACGTTGGTGACGCTCAGGCCATGGTCATACAGACCGACGGGACTCACAAAATTCTCACCAGGAAGCACGACCCTGCGGAGCCGACTGAGCGCCAACGCATTCGTGAAGCCGGTGGGTGGGTTTCGCGTAACGGTAGACTGAACGACCTGCTGGAGGTTTCTCGCGCATTTGGCTACGTCGAACTCATGCCGGCAGTCCAAGCCGCCCCTTATGTCAGCCATATCGCCATCAAGGAACAAGATGACATCGTCTTGATCGCCACCAGAGAGTTCTGGGAGTACTTGGACCCTGCATTGGTCGTCGACTTCGCCAGACAAGAGCGGAGCGATCTGATGCGCGCGTCGCAAAAGCTTCGTGACTTGGCCATTGCCTATGGTGCCACGAACAAGATTATGGTCATGATGATGAGCGTTGCTGACCTTAAGAGGAGAGTGGAGCGATCCAGACTGCACCGCGGACAAAGCATGTCGCTGTACCCGTCTGGCATTCCGGATGACCTTCAGCAGCCCTTGCGCAGAGGCAAGAGGAACAAGGGCGACGTCCTTGACTCGACTCTGCAACGACTCGAAGCCGAGATTCCCGCGCCAACAGGCAACGTTTCTATCGCATTTACCGATATCAAGAACTCGACCACCTTGTGGGAGATGTACCCAGCAGCGATGCGATCCGCTATCAAGCTGCACAACGAGGTTATGCGTAGACAACTGCGAAGAATCGGCGGATACGAGGTCAAGACTGAAGGAGATGCGTTCATGGTGTCGTTCCCAACGGCCACATCTGCACTCCTCTGGTGTTTTGCCGTCCAGATGTCCTTGTTGGAGGTCAACTGGCCCTCAGAAGTTCTCAACTCCGTCTCTTGCCAAGCACTGTACGACAAGGACAACGCCGTGATCTTCAAGGGTCTTTCCGTTCGTATGGGCATTCATTACGGTGAAGCTGTCAGCGAGATGGACCCTGTCACGAGGCGTATGGACTACTTTGGTCCCATGGTCAACAAGGCTGCTCGTATCTCATCGGTCGCCGACGGAGGACAGATCACCGTCTCGTCCGATTTCATCTCGGAGGTCCAACGCTGTTTGGAGACCTATCAGGACACAGAAAGGAATGGATCAACCGGGTCCGAAGACACGTTCGACGACGACGGAGGCTTCGCCGCATCAATCCGCAAAGACCTGCGGTCCCTCAGCTCGCAAGGCTTCGAGGTCAAGGAGATGGGAGAAAAGAAGCTCAAGGGTCTTGAAAACCCGGAAATGGTGTACTCACTCTACCCGCACGCACTAGCGGGCCGTATTGAACACCACCAGCAACACGAGACCACCGTGGCCGACAAGCCCGCAATCTTGCAAGCGGGAAGCGAGCTGGCGTTTGACACCGAGTCCATCTGGGCTCTCTGGCGCGTCAGTCTGAGATTGGAGATGCTGTGCAGCTCGCTGGAAAACGTATCTGGGCGTGGTCTGCAACCACCCGAAACGGAGCTGCTGGAGAGGATGAAGCATCGCGGGGGCGAAGTGACGGAGCGATTCTTGCTCAACTTCATGGAGCACCAAGTGAGCAGGATAGAGGTAAGCAGCAAAACGACTCGCCACACTGGAGTATTACTAACACTTTGTTTAGACTTGCGTCACGTCACTGTCGCTTCGTCACATTGTTATTGGCAACGCTCCTCTTGCGCAACTGGATGATTTGCGAGCACCCATGAACGATATTCTCGACTCGGTTGCGAAGCAGATGGCTGAACTAGCACGGTACAAGGCGTTGTACGGCGAATTGACCGATGAGGATCACGGTAGCGACACGGAGCAAGAGTAGTAGTTGCGGCGAAGCGTTCCTTGATTCATGATTCTCATGCGACGGCATAACTTATATAATATACCTACGGCGTAAGACGGCAACACTCCGTCGACGAACCCCCAACACAACACACACACCTGGATACCCGATTCTTTCGAAAGGGGTGGGACGCGGCGCTCTGATATACTTGTTCCATATCTGTATGAATGCGATTACGACACTGCAACAGTTTTCATCCAACAGCCGGGCGATCGTAGGCAGCAGCGGCGGCGGCGTGTCGGACGTACAAAGGCGGTTTCATTTCTTTGGTTCTCGTGGGGGTTGTGGGCACGGAAAGGAGGACAGAATCGCAATGGGGCTTGAAAGTGCTTGATTGAAAAAGAAAAAAGTGTGCACGTTACGGTTCCGGCTCGCATCGAGAAGGGGGATGGATGGGATGGATGGCATTGGAAATGGGGGGAAGAATCGACTGAGGCTCGGAATGGAAGGCCTTGTGGTAGGATAGTGTTTGCCTTTTTTGCAAGAAGTCGTTGCTCAAAGCACGGCATTCATTGATTGAAGCCTTTCCGTTTGAAACCTACTGAGCATGTTCATCCTGTGACTACTTTGTTCTGACCTGGTGATATCGGAACATTGAAATCGATCTTGATGCATGAACTGGTCTTCAGCTTGATTGATATAATACAGAACAATCTACCCCATCTAACATCTATATCACTGAGAAACGATGCGGGCACTGGAGCTGGCACCAACGTCCTTGACCTTCTTGAGAATCCGGATTCGCGGCTCCATCCGCGGCCCAACCCACCAGCTACCGGTATACCTGCTAACCAGATCGCGCGCCTTCTTCACCAACAACCCCCTACCGAGGACCTTCTCCCCTTCCTCCTTTTCATCTCCCGTCTGAACGCCCGGCTTCAGCACCTCGATCCCGGCATACCCCTGCACGACGCCGACGGTCTCCCACCGGCCCCCCTTGACGGTCGCCGGGTCCTCGGCCAGGACGTAGTCGAACCTCGACCAGAAGCCCGGGTCCGCGAGGACGGCCTTGTCCTCGGTCTTGTCGAAGGCGAGGACGGGCACGGCGGCCGCCGCGATGGCGGCGTCGGCGCCGCCGAGGCTGTTCTCGAGGGCGCGCGAGTGCGGGTTCTTGGGCTGGCCCGAGGGGTTCTGGCCGAAGAGGGTGACGCCCGTCATGCAGCTCAGGACGTCCGTGTGGACGGCCGTGACGGAGGAGCTCGCGGGGCTGAGGTGGTTGCCGTGTCCGGAGGCGCTGCCGAGGCCGCTGCCGCTGCCGACGCCGACGAGGGCGTGGAGCTGGCGCAGGGCGTCGCCGCCTGGGTAGTTGAGCGAGGAGAGGAGGAGCATGCCGGTGGAGGCGGCGAAGGCGCCCAGGACGCTGAAGACCAGGGCTACAGAGGCGAGGGCGTAGAAGGGGGACTTGGCGCGGCGGGCGAAGATGTGGTTCGCGCCCTGGGCCGCGGCGGCCGTCAGGGGCGGGACGGCGTAGAAGATGAAGCGGGCTTCCTTGTGGGGCTGGAGGGAGTAGATGGCGACGAAGAGCAGCGAGGGGACGACGAGGCCGCGCGCGGCGCGGGAGGTGGCCGGCTGGGTGAGGGCGAGGGGGATGAGGAGGACGATGGTCAGGGGGTTGACGAGGAGACGCGGGAGGGCCGAGGTGAAGTAGAAGTGCCAGGGGGAGACGCCCCAGTTGGAGGAGGAGCCGAGGACGGCGTTGTAGTAGAAGCCCCAGAGCTCGGGCCAGAGGGGCTTCTGCCAGAAGTAGGAGTCGAGGGGCACGGAGACGACGAGGGCGACGGTGAAGGAGATGAGGAAGGGGCGGACGAGGCGCGGGATGGTGGTCTGGGAGGTCAGGAGGAGGTAGAGGCCCGTCGTGGCGAGGAGGAGGGCGACCTCGGAGCGGAAGATCGCGGCGGCGAAGACGAAGAGGGAGATGGCGACGCGTTGGCGCGGGGAATGCGTTGTTGGGTTGGGATGCGGGAGGAGGTTTGCCGAGGCGAGTGTTGCTTTTCGGTGCGTGTCAGTGTGAGTGAAAAGGGGGAAGGGACGATGATGAGTATCTTACTCAGTGCAAAAGCGAACATGTTGGGTAACGTCCGCGAAGCGTAAAAGACGACATGGAACTGGCTGAGCAGCAAGACAACCCACCAGCGCATTGCACCAGCGCCGAACGCCTTCCCCAGACTCCTCGCGAAGACGATGAGGGCGGCGGCGTTGGCGAGGCCGAGCAGCGCGCGGACGACGAGCTGGGCGTTGGCGAAGCCCGCGAGGGAGACGATGGGGCCGCCGATGCCGGCGAGGAGGACGGGGCCGACGAACGTGCGGGGCACGGCGCCGGGGAAGTCGAAGTGGTCGTAGGAGGCGCGGAGGCGGGCGGCGACGTCGCGGGTCGGGGTGCCGTAGACGAGGACGTCGTGGGCGGCCTGGATGTTGAAGGACTCCTCGACTTTAGTGTCTGGCGCGAGGAGGAGGTGGAGTGTTATCAGGGCTGGGATGAGGCCCAGGAGAGCCGTGTCTGTCGCGTTTTCGTGTTAGTTGTGTGTTTTTTGCATTTCGGTCTGATATCAAGTTACCGACCTAAGAGCTTCATTTTGAGGTCTGAGGGAGAGCAGCGAGTGAGAGTTGAGAGCGAGTGAGCGTATGAAAGAAAAAGAAGGAAAGGAGCTGTTATTTCATCTCCCTCTCAGATGGAGAAAAGTCGTCAGGAGATTCGAAAAGGGCCCAAGTGGTGAAACGATTTGCCCTGTGCTTTTCATCTCAATGCCTCCTTCTTATCGTTGGTTTTCTCGATGATCTTCTCACGAAGCGCCGTTTTGCTCTTTCTCATTTAAGCTGAGTACGGAATGTAAGCTGTCCCGTCTGCAATGCACCTACCCACCAGAGCTCCAAGTAGGGACCGTGCACGGGCCAGTTCCTTCATGCAACGGCGCACAGCTACGAGAGCTGTGAGGTCACTCGAAACTGACATGCCCTTGACAGGGATCGTCAGGGATACATACGTACTCGGAACGGAATAAGTAAAGCTCCACATCCCAAGCTCCATTCCGGACAGCGCAGCGCACTCTGGTCGCCATTATCACCACCTGGCTCCAAAAGTCCCAGGCTTCAATAAGACAAGCTGGAGCGGAAACCGAAAAAACCCCTCCCCCGCCCCTTTACCACGACCGCAACCACGAAACGAACCCCCAGAAATACTGCTTTTCCGCGCGCAGACTCATGCCTAGATAAACCGCCAAAATGTACATCCTAGGAAACTTCCTCTACAGCAAGTCCCACCTCCGCGCCGCGCCGCGCCGTGCCCCCGGAAACGAGAGCACTTTGGCTAACCCGCCCTCCCAGTCGCCGTCCTGCTCATCAACGCCATCGCCGTCCTCTCCGAAGACAGATTCCTCGCGCGCAGTACGAAAACTCCCTCCCCTCCTCTCTTCCGGCGCATTGGAATCGTCTTAGACTAACATGGCCCTCTACAAGTCAACCTCTCCCCCTCGTCCTACGACCCGGCCTTCGGCCAGAGCGCCGATGCCAGCGTCAAGGCCAAGATTATTAACCTAATCGCCAGCGTGCGGACTCTCATGAGAAGTACGTTCATCTCTCTTCCCGAGCACATGCGACGTTACGCGGCACGATGCTAACCAACCAATCACCCTGCAGTACCGTTAATAGGCATCAACACCTTGATCATCTTGTACGAACTCATCCTCGGATAAATCGACCGAACGTACGGAGGGCCGCGGCGGCGGATTCTACTTTTCTTGTAATCAATCATACGAACTGCGAGCCTTTTCACAGCATGGCATCATGGTAAACGAACCGGCGTTGGGGGGTTGAGGGATGACAGCAGGGTGCGGTTTTGGTCGTCGAAAGGACATGGCACACAACAGTCCGGGAAAATCGAAAAATCATGGCGAGGATGTAATATGTCAAGATAGATTTTTGGGCGGGAAAGAGGCTTCAATTACTTCCGAGCCAAAGACTAGCTCCTGAGAAGCGGCACGTCGGCTCTAGTCAGTCAATTGGTGACGTCTTGCGTTATCTTGCGTTATCGTACAGTTTCCGACAGACAGCCGGGCAAAGCAACGCTCAAGATGCCATCATCACACGTGTCCTTCCCTGCTCACCCGCGCTGAGGTGTAACAAAAATATTATCCAAGCGAACCACACCATGCTCGGGTATCTTCTCTCGCCCAGAGTCTTCTTCCCCTTGAGCTCCTCATGTAACTGGTCGCGACTTGCGCCAGGGCAACAAGCCATGTACTCTGTCCATCGTACAGAACTCCTCCCCTTCGACTCCTTTTTTTGATATATGTACCGAGTATGAAACCAAAATCTTCCAAGTGAGTCATGCAACATATTTATGCGCCGTCTCGTGACAGCAAGTTACCACTTTTCTTCCGGCCGAGGTTGAAACTAAACCGCTCCCTCAGCTCCTTGGGCTTGTCCGACTGACTTGCCGATCCCTCAGTGCCGTTGCCAGCGTGTCCGTTTTCCAACGGCTTGTGCGAATCGCCCTTGTCTTTATCCTTGCTGAGGAATGCGAAGCTCTTTCGACTCATCGACTTGCTCGCTCGACTCGATCTGTTCAAGAAGCTGGTGGTGCCCGAAGGTTCTTTCTTCTTCGAATCCTCCTCTTTTGCGGACTCCTTGCTTGCTTCGATCGCCTTGCGCAAATCGTCCTCTTGCTTTTGATAAGCCGCTCTCCGCTTCGCCATATTCTCTCTTCGTTGCCTCTCATCCTCCTTGGCCTTGTCCTTTTCAGCCTGCTTCCGGGCCTTCTCCGCAGCTTCCTGCTCCTTCTTCTCCCGCTTCTTCTCGTCTTTCGACTTTTCAGTTTTCGCTGCCGTGTTGGATCTGGCAAGACTCGACGGGACAGGCGGTGCCGCAGAGTACGGCGGTGCAGGAGTCGCAGGCATGTTCTCCGGATTGTCTGCTGTAACCGGCGCAGTTCGTGCGTGGGCTAGACCGGGCATCGGGTCGCGTTCCTCCACTGGGCTGACGGGCTGCGTGAACTGCTTAGCGAGCGGTGTTGAGCCGTTCGTCTGACCGTTCGTGTGGCCGTTTGTCTGGCCGTTGTCCTGAGCGACGTTCGCGGTTTCGTTGGCGATCTTGACTTCTTCCGCGCCCTCAGCCTCCATCTCGGCCTGCACCTTTTCGAATGTAGTTTCTTGATAAAACAGCACGTATGCGCATGCCATACCAGGCTTGTCGCCGAAAAAGTTGCGCACAAAGTGCTTGTCGACGGGCTCGACCATCTCGTCATCGAAAAGAACCCAGCCTCGATCCTTGGTTTTGATGACTGATACGTAGTGTCCGTGGTAGGCATTCCCACCAATGTGGACAACAACAGCGTACAACTCATACATTCGGTCCGGATCCTCGGCGTCGTCGGTTGTGTTGAACATGCGCAGGTGGTAGGGGTACACGACCCGGTGAAAGAGCTTCTGCAAGCGACTGTAATCTTCGGTGTACTTGAAGCGCTTCAGATGCAATGCCAAGACTTTGGGTAAGCGCTTGATCTTCATGCGCTTCTCGGCCTCTTGAAGTCCGCCGCAGTGGTCGCAGTGGAACTTGTTCCTTTCGCACAGCATCTCCTCGGCAGAGAACTTGCGCAAGCACGACGTTACCGAGGAGTGCTCCTCCAGATCGATGGACAAATCCAAAAACGTCTCGTCTCTTTGAGATGCCGTCTCGCAGGTAAGGCACTTCGTTTCCGACGTCAGGACACCTTCAAAAATGTCGTGGACCCAGCCAGTTCCGGGTGAACCCACGCCGTTGACTGGGCGGTTGATTAGGCTCGTAGCCCCGAGGGCGTTCTCCACCGACTGAACCAAACCGTCTTTGTTCTCTGCTTCTCGCTCTTGAATCCGTCTGGCGTTTGTTTCAACGTTGGAAATGACGTCGTTCAGCACGAGGCCGTAGAATTCGTGGGCGTCCTGGTGCATCGAATTCCGGAACATTTCGTTATCCCGCTTGAAGATCTCGAGGAATCGCTGCGGACTAAGCACTCCAGTCCTGGTGTTGCTTTCAATCAGGGCTTGAAAAATGTCCTTGAGACCGGTGAAAGTGCACTCCTCCATGCCATACGGCGAGTCGTTCTCCTTGGCCAATTCCAGAATCGGTCCCTTGATCATGGCCTGCTTCTTTTTGTATTCGGGCGAGTCAGGCTTATCTTCGGGTCGTGTGCCTGGCGCAGCAGGGGGAGGCATTCCCGCCGTTATCGCTTGTCTGCGCTTCATAGACTCGGAAGCACTCAAGCCTTTTTGCTTCGCGCCAGGGGTATTCGGGGGCTCTTTCGCGACGGGTGGGCGGATGGTCACATTGACCTTTGGACGGGTTCCGTTCGGGGTATCGGTGGGAGACAGCGGGGGATACTTGACAACATGATCTCTGAAAGATTCGGAGTAGAAGAGCGCTTGTACGATGGAGTTGCAATAGCTACACGACTGTCAGCAATTCGTCGGGAAGGGGCGACGACGTCGCATACCAGGTATTACCGAACTTGAGGATTTATCAGCATTCGTTGTCTCGGAAAAGCCGGTGCAGAGACCGGTGGGGTTGCGAATGACTTACATTCTCGAGGCCGAAGAACTTGTCGGTGCCATCTTCTCTCAATGGGCCGGCATTCTGCAGCATCTTCTCCAAGGGGGTCAGTTCGGGAGCTGGCTCTTCCTTGCCGGCCTTTTTGCTCGGCGCATCTTTGGTCGTCGCGGTGGTGGTGGACTAGGAAGCGTTGTCTCTGTCAGCAACGAAGTCGCGCAAGCGGGACGTGAAAAGGGTCTCATGGGATAGATTTCGTGTCCGATAAGGGCTGACGTACATTGCCTCCGCTCTTCAACTTGTTGAAGAAGCTAGCCATGTTGGCGGCTTCTTGGAGAGTGTGGTTGGAGAGAGAGTCGTGATCGGGGTACGGTGGGCGGTTTCTGCGCGAGACGAGCTCACGGCGGCGGAGCAGAGGTGGCGTACTCTGACATGCGATGGACAATTGAGGTGGTTCTGGATGATATGGCTATGATTGAAGTGCGGAGAGAGGTATATTCGAGTATTCGGAGGATTCGAGCGTCGCGCGCGACCGTGGCGCAGAGAGGTAGGGGAGGTTCCCGTTCCCTCGGGGGTTCGGCCGAAGACGTGGTGGTCTGTGGAGGGACGATAGAAAGAGGTATGTCAGGGGAGATTGGATGCGAATGATGGTGGAAGCAGCAGCATTTGCCAGAACACACAAACCAACCCAAGCCTCGTTGGCAAGCGGGAAGAGAAGGAAGAGAGATTGAGATGTCGGGGGACGGAGAAAGTAGCAACAGCCTTCGCAGCTGGCGACCAGTAGACTGGGAGTGAGAGGGATTTGGACTTGGGGTCCTGGGGTAGATGGAAGCAAGAGCAAGGAGGACGGAGGCGAGTTTGTGGGTTGGGACAGGAAAGAACAGGATTGGACAGTGAAGGGCGCGCGACACAGCGACCTGGACCCGACGGCGACGGCGACAGACAGCGACAGTGCACCGGATTCCAGGTGCAGCACACTGAGGTGCAGGAGCGCTGAGAGCGACACCTCACGTCTGCGACAGCGGCACCGGCAGCAACTAACTGGACGAGGGCCGGGCTAGAATGGCAGGAAGGTCACTCACCAGGCACTAGGTAATCAATCGACGGTCGCTAGTGGTGGTGGGGGACGTCGACGAAAGTGCCCCACCAGACAAACCCACAATCGACGGTGTCAGTGGAGAAAAGGTGGAGGTCAGTGGAAGGAATCGAAGGGTTGCAACGCACAGAAGGAGGCTAGTTCGTCCGCGATTGCAGGGCTAGACAGGCCATACATGGGGTTTCCGACCAGGGGTGGCATGGACGACATGGAGGCCTACCTACCTCATCGGACTCTCTTTTTTTACGGCGTGTGCTTGCTTGTTGAGTGAGATGACCTAAGGTAAGGTAGCACGAGGTTGGATGTTGAGTGTACCATCCAAGAACCGATCAATAGGTCTTGCGGCTTCCAAAACTGCCTCAGAGACATATACGAAAAGGCGCCCGACACAGAGCAACACAACGATACATCAAGCCATTGCGCCGCCCAGGTGCATCACCACGATTGAATACCTTCCATTCCTATCCTGCGAAGTGGCTGTCGAGCCAGCGCCCTGCGCCATGGGTGTGCCTGGCAGCAGCAGTTTGGGGACCAGCCCATCATCAGCAATTGGCTGACGAGCCGACCGCGACGGCGACGGTGAGGGACCGACAACACTAACAGTTAACCGATAGCGACCGACGGTTGTCAGATCCCGTCTTGTCAGCCCGAGGTATCGATACTAGCATTCGGAGAAAGAAGTGTGTCAGACGACGTTATATCTGGCTGAATTCGGTGGCGTGTGACTTGGTTGTCCCCATCCCCCGGGAACTTCTACCTGTCTTCTATCCAACAGCTAAGACATGAGCTACGGCTTGTCCGCCATGTTATCTCCTCGTGGCCTGACTGACGGTGATCACGCAGGATTGGAACAATCTGTTGTCTTCTGCAGCGACGCCAGCGAACCGTCATTAAGTCCACGCCTACGCGGCCTACCTTACCAACTCTAGGCAGAGAGAGGCAGTGAAAAACGTAGCCTTTCGGGAGGCAAGTCACAAGTGCAAAATAGGTCTTCGTGTACCTACCTTGTTGCTATGCTGCTTCCATGTTCACCCGCAGAAACAATAAGCAGCATTACGCAGATCTTGGCGTTGCTTGGTAAATTCGTTTCCGCACCTTTTCTTCCATGTTCAAAGTCAACCTAATCGACGCCAGGAATATCACCGAAATGGCATATCGTATTGAATGCCTACTGAGGCAAAGAAGGCTCGAATCACGGCCAAACCTGGCTGATAGCTTCCCAAGTACTGATACCGCAGCTGTGGTTCTCGCCCACTTTCCACCCACACTTCGCTGCTTACCAACATCAAGGCACGGAGCGCATAACAGCCTGACATGCGAGCAACCCTGCTGCCATCCTCGCTCTCCTCCGCACTTTGATGTGACCAGGTGCAGAATGGGCCCTGTTGTCGGCTCGTCCTCCAGCCTCCGACCTCCAGTTTCCAGCCTCCTGCCTCCTTCTGCGGTAGACACCCGCCGGGTACGTACCTTTCCAACTGTCAACCCTGGCAGCTTCCGGTCCATCTCAGGTGAGCAAGAGCGGGAAACGTCTCCTCCTCTTCCTCCTCCTCCTCACTCTGCCGTCGGATACGTACCGCGCGGTTAGGTCCTATCTCCGTGACGAGAAAGTCCTCCAGCAAGTTGAGGCAGATTGTCCCAACTGTGAGACGAGGAACGTCCTCATCCGACTCGGACTGAAGAAACTGACGAGCCCAGATCAGATACCCGCACTATCTTACCAGAGCTTCTCATTGGAAGTTGCCGACACCACCCGCAGAAAACAAGCACTCGCAGACCTGTCGCTATTGATCAGAACGCCAATATTTAGCCGGGAGGCTTCTACAATATTCACCCCATTCAATCAAGTTCGATTCATTGACGCCGCCAGATCTGCAATTTCCATTTCTCGTTTCTCTGCATTTTACGTCAACGTCCCTTGGTTACGACCCTTATGCCCTGACAACAGACGGACTGCCCGTCACTCACCTTCGCCATGACCTCGTCTGAGGACCTGCGGCGCTCTACGGCACAGCACAGCGGCCGGAGCGCCTCCTACACTGCGTGGGGGCTAGAAACGGTCGGCTTGTCTGCTACCTTACCTACAAAGAGAACTGTTCCAACCCCAACGGCCCCTAGCACCGTGAAAGACGCCATCCCGGCCTGTCTTCGGGTCGTTTGGTCATGGTCATGATCTTGGGAACTCTGCTGAACTCGCCATCCAAACGCCAAAACGCAAACTACCAAGGGTATCCGGGCAATTTTGTATCGCCTTTTCAGCTCTTCTTTCCATCGCTACCGACTGAACTTTCACAGTCAGGCACGTCTGCTGCCTCCAAGCCAGCCTGACGCCTCAGACGCTTGACTGCTGAATCGGGCACGAAGGCGCTCTCCTCGCCCTTCTATTTGGTGGGAAAACATCCGATGGCGTTGCCATTGGTGTACGGATAGTTTACCAAACGACACACTTGGCCATCTAGCTGCCGACTCCATCCCGCCTTTCTCTCCACACCCCGGACAAAAAGGCGAACAGCCTGAGTCGTTGGTGTTGCAGGCTCCGGTCTTGATGACGATCGATGAGACGGGCATCGTCCAGGACGGGCACTCTGCGACTCCGACTTGACACGGTCAGCCCTTGGCCAACTGGACCCTCGATTCACCGTGCTTTCGGTCGGCTTCCTATCCTTCTCCTTCCCCATTTCCGTCCTTGCGGGTTGCCGCCGCAGACCGTGCGCTTCAGATAGGGTACGGAATGGCTCTTTCTCACTCAGTCGGCAGGCCAAGTCAGGGTTGCGAGTTGCAAGTCGACGCAACGTAACGCAGCCAAACCCGCCTTACCTGAAGATGGCAGATCCGCTGCAACAACTGACGGTCGACCTTCGCCAATGAGCAAGAACCGAAACCCCTTCGCTGAGTGCCCAACCTATCAGATCAGCACTTGCCAGACCACACCACAACCCCCGGCCGTGGCTCTCCGCCCTGTTGGATCCTTGGAGACCACCAACGACATGTTGCATTCAAGTTGGTGCGAAAAGACAAACTCCTCAACGCTACTGGCTCGATTCCGTCTCCGGCTGCTCAAAGACGACGCTGCTGTGACCTTCATCCGCGCTGCTGGTCCCAAGCCCATTCGTCCATTGCACCTCCAGCCATTATTCGGCCCATCTTAAGACATCCCTCCCGTCTTTTCCCATCCTTCGCTTTTCAACCGAATTCCAGTGGTGGAGGACAACTTTGTCGATCTGTTGATGCTCGCCTCCCCTGGTTCCAGCATGTCCCTCCCACCAGGCCTGGGGAACGCCAACTGATGCCGGCCAGCATCTATGCGGGGGATATCCGCTTGCTCGCGCCCTCACACAACCCGCCTACCAATCAAACATGACCTTCGTCGCAGCATCTTGGTCCCATCCATGTGCGATCGAAACGCAGCTTTCTGGCAAACCGTCAGCTCCTCAACAACTCCGCTGCCCGACAAGTATCATCCATGGCCAAGCAATTCTTGTGCTCATGCCCCGCGTCACTATTACCGTTGGCGGCGGACAAAGAAGGCAGATTTTACCGCCGGCTTAGGTTCTCCAACAGCCCTCGGGAAACAAGCACCGAGGAGAAGCCACCCTCCTCCGCCGGCTCGGGCTATTCTTGTTGTGCCTCGCTCGTGGCGCACCTTGGCTCTCAGCCAAGCCAGGTCCGCAAGACCGGTGTGCACCCCCAATCTGGCGACCGACAGTGGGCGCACCGCCTGAACCACCCGCAATCCTTCACCACCCAACTCGCAGTGTGCCCACGCGTTCTGGTAGGTCAGCGCCCTCCACGCGCCTCCCTTGCCGGCCCGATTCCCACGAACTTCTGGAAGAAACGAACGTCATGTTCTGCACCCCTCGGTGCCGTCTTCCCCACTACCGCCCCAGAGAGGAGCAGTGCTATGACGAAATGGCTAAGACAAGCTGACTGACCGTCTCCCGTCTCACGATGTTGTGAGGCTTTGCCAAGCGAACCCAAACCGCCCTGCTCTTACTATTGTTGAAAAGAAACAGGCACCGGGGACTTAGACTGTGTTCTCTGGGGAACCAGAAGTATTGCCCGGGTTTCGGCTTTCAACGACCGGGGCGTTGGCCGCCAAAGTTCGGACGGTACAGCGGGTCTGGAGGTGGAGGGTGAAAGGATGCCGCTCCGGCGTCGCCGGCAGTCGGGAACCTGACACTGCAACCACCACTGAGCACATCGCAGTAATTGTATGTCTGCCATCGAAGCTAATGCAACATGATATGCGTACGACATTTGCAGGTTCTGTATTTCGGCAGGTGCGTTCTGCCGAAACTACTGTTCTAGCGGCATTTGTTTTCAGTCCCGCCACTAGCTAGAACTCGAGGAGTATAGCAGCAGCGGTGCGACAGCGGAGCTTATGTATATTCCTATCAATTGATAATTATATGTGCAATATATAGAAGAGTGCCGATGGATGAATAAGACGACTGGGATGGACGACAGAGACGGGGACAACAGCGGGAATAGAAACAACAACGGAGAATACAATATGTAACAATACATAATAATAATCGGAAAGGTAATATTCTGGATCATTGCAAACTATCTTAAGACCTCATATTAAGCTTTCTAAATAATAGTCCTCTAGTGTAAGTGGATAAGGTGTAGCTGGAGTTCAGATGGCGTGTGAAGCCTCTTGAACTGCGCAGTGAAGACGTCTCATGTCAACATCTTGCTGGAGAGTCACGCTGAGAAACTTCCGAGGAATTCATTTCATATAATAACATATTCTAAATTTCATCTTGCCACATACGCGCAATTATCCGCGGACTGAGAAGCCCCTTAACGTTCTCTTTCATTCAACACGTTTCCACCCGGAACCCTACCTTGGGTGTTTCCTTGTACGAAGAGGCAACCACGATCTATAGAACCGACGAAGTCGATATGATATGTTTCTTCCTAGGGAAAGGGCGGTCTTGACGGGAGATATACTGTCTTTAGGGGGTTACAAAGCAGTAGGGCGACGTAACTGCATCCCATCAGCACGCTGTCTATGATGTATCCGCATTGCTGTAATATGCTGATCAAGTAGCCAGGCTGAGCTCTTGAATGCACCAATTTTATTGATATTTGTATCTTGTTTTTCCCCGTTGTGATCTGGCAACCAGTCAATGCCCGTGTAACTTCATAAGAACCATAGACACAGAATTGGGTAAAGTGTTTGAGCTTCCCTAGAGCAACAGCACCTTCTAAATCTCATGTTTTATTGAGTCTCGGAGACAATTTAATGTCACTTAAGCTATTATGGTAAGGGACTAAGGTATCATACTTAATGTTGAGGTATTCACCGCGTGTGAGAAGTTTCCTTGGAACCCGGGGGGATCTACTGGGTTTGTGATGATTGGAACTGGGGGAACGATCTGGAAAGGTTTGCCGAGTCTCCTCTTTGATCATGACCAGAGGTTTCCCGTGCCTGGGAGGGACGTCGGCATAGGAACTCGAAACCTCCTCCAAATTTCCCAACTCCGCTGAGTGGCACTGGTGTCTTTGAGGCCAGGACTGAGCGGCAGTTGTTTATTAGGGAAAGCGCGAACTACGCAACTGTTTTACAATAATCAGGGTCTGTAGGTTTATCCATCGTAAGACTTAACCGTTGTGTATAGTGTGTATGTTCCGTGGCTCACTGTTGTATCTGCTATCGTCCCTATTGTCATATCTGCCATTGTCTCTGTTGTTGTCTGTCCCCGTCGTCTTACTCATATGCCACTGTTGGAGAATACGCAGGGTCGATTTTGCGAAAGTGCCAAACTGAAATGTGAATTGCAGTTTCTAAAAGCAAGGAAGTAATTCCATCAATCAACTCCGTGTTTATGATCTCCACCGATATCAAGAGCCATGCCACACAATCTTCCATCCCTCTCATTCACTTGAACACCCCTCATCTCTCTTCAAACCACACTTACTTCTTCTCCTCAAGGGGGGCGGCACCTCCAGTAGTCGGGAAACCCATGGCAATCTTGAAATAGTCCTGTACTGGGTCAGTAATCGTCCACATCACACGTTTCCCGCGGTTCAACTCACGTAGATCATCCACTGGAGACCGGTCAGGGTACCGATCATGACGATACGGACGGGGAGTCCGTTCCAGAGACCCGAGAAGCCAATATCCTTGTAGATCCGTCCCATCGCGGCGCCGAAGGCCTCGCCCGGCTGGCGGTTCGCGTTGAGCTTGCTGACCATGACGTCGGCCGGGTGCGACACGACGGCGCAGAGGATACCGGCGAGGTAGCCTCCGACGAAGGAGACGCCCGTCTGCGCGGTCTTGCTGTAGTCGCTCTTCTGGCCCGGGAGGCGGTCGTAGATCATCTCGACGATGGTCTCGAAGGAGGCGAACTTCATCATGGTGTAGGGGATCTGGCGGCCCCAGAGAGGGTAGAGACTGTCATTTGGTGTCAGTGTGAGTCGGACTGAAGCTGGATGAGTGTAAGTATGACTTGCCCCTTGTACAAACCGCCCCAGCCCTCGGCCGCGGTGATCTTGCTGATGCCGTCGAGGGTGCCCTTGTAGGGCGAGGGGATGCCGCCCTGCATGCGGACCTTGACTGCCTCGAAGGGGCAGAGGGCGATGTCGGCCAGGAACTCGGCGGAGGCGGAAGCCGCGAGGTAGACTCCGGTCTTGTACTTGGCCGCGTTCTCCGCACCCACGAGCTCCGAGTACTCATGTTTGAAAACTTCACAACATTAGCTTCAAAATATCCAGAAGGAAGAACGGGCCGAAAGTTCACCTTCGTAAAAGCCATATTTGAATGCGCCCTGCGCAGAATATCCCCAGAAAGTCGGACCCCAACCGGTCATGATCCCGCGGAGCCCCTCCTTGCGGAAGATGAGCCCCCATGCTTGGAAGTTGCCCTTGTACAGCTTGGCATCGATCTGGCGGCGGACCTTGACGAGATCAAGAGGAGTAACGGCGGTGTGAGTGAGGCCCTGTCATCTTAATTAGTCTGAATACGTTGCGTGATGTTGAACATCGAGGGTTGGGGGTTGGTGTTTTCGAATCGGTCACCACCACTACCACCACCACTTACACAAGCCAAAAGCCCACCAACGGTGCAGGCGGCGTAGTACTTGCCAGAGTACAGCTCGATCTTGCCGGTGCTGGCCTTTGCCTTGGCGCTGGCCTTCTCGAACTCGGCCGTCGCCTCGGCGCTCAGCTTCTGGGCCTTGCCCTTGACGTCGTCGACGGTGGAGAAGGCGCCGTAGAGCTCCGGCCGGGCCTGGTAGCGGGTGGGCTTCGCCGCCGCCGTCGAAGCCGACGTGGGCTGCGGGGAGCCGAAGCAGCCCTTGAGGGTGTCCTGTCTGGGGTAGAGGAACGACATGGTCGAGGAGGGGGTTTCGGGTGTCCGAGGGAAGACCAATTGGGTTTTCTAATCTGTTCTACGGTCAGAGGGGCTGGAGAAGGAGCTCGGAACGCGTGGTATGAGGCGATTGAGCTGGTGAAGGCCGGTGGAGATGAGTGGGAGGAAGGAAATGGAAGAGAGCTATGTCGCCGGTGAGCGCGGCATCAATCAAGAAGACGATACCGGACTATGACGACATTACAGAGAGCTACGGGTTCGAGGGAAGCTTCAGAGCAAAGCAAAGACAAAAAGCTCTGCGCAAGCAACTTCGAACATATCAGAGCCGCAACACCTCCGCGATTGAGCCGGGGCAGAAGAAACGAAGCTATGCTCGCTCGCCCGCTCACCCCCTCACCAACCGAAGACGTCGTCTACACCCAAAAGAGAAGAGCGCCAAAGTCACGCGACACGCGACCGTTTGCGGCTCACAGGGGGGGAGGGAACGGATGGAGAGAAACCCAGTGAAGCTCACTTACACCGTGAAAATAGAGATACCCGGTCAAACTACTGTTAAAAACGGGCGGAACGGAAACGAAGGAGAAATCGCCAAGATACGACGCGGGAGAATGTGAGAAAGTTGCTCCGGCTGATGACACCTACGGGAAGGATGAGGTAAGGCAAGGTGAAAAAGGAGACAGCAGCAAGCAGGTTTATTTTTATTTCATCACAGCCAGAGGTAAGCTACCTAGGTAGCTATTGGAGATTGAGGAGGAGGGCGACCGGCAGGCAATAGAACATCGACAACGGGATTGGTCGGGACGGAACGGGTTGGCAGGACGAGAAGTCGAGGGTACCTTCGTCTCCTCGCCCGTGACAGCTTCATTTGGGGTGCGTCTCGCCGGTGTCTTTACCTAAGGGGAGCTCTGGGGAAGAGGTCAAAGTGACATCACGGCGGGAGAGCTCGGGGGGAAAGACACGGGAGCGATAAGGGGTCCTTATCGAAATCGCGAGCCTAAAGGCCGCTTATTGCCGATGCGGCCGGGATTTGCGGAGCGAGCAATGTCGCGAAAACGCCGACGGCGACGAAGGAAGAGAAGGAAGCGGGACTTGGAGCCCTGAGAGTGTACTGTTTTCTCGTGAATCCTTCTACGGGACCAAATCCACTGTCCTGACTCGAGCATTCCCCAAACGCATTTATCTAGCTCGTGATGTTTGTGCTTTCTAGAGGCAATAACTTAGGTTCTCAAAGGTCAACGACACACGATGAATGTCACTGCTGCTATCCCCCGGCCGTCAGCGGCGGCAGCACCCCGCTGTGGAACCCCCGCCTCGGTGAAGAAAGAGTCCAGCCAGCTCAGCGAAACCTTAATGGCGCAGGTGGAGGGAAAAAAGCAAGCAAAAAATCGCTAAAGGGCCCCCACTGTCGCATAACCGCCGGCCGGCCGCCGCCCGTCATGTCAGAGCTCAATTCGACACCTTACCACTCAAACCCGTCAGCCCTGTCGACACCGCTGCCCCTCCAAGACCCCGCGATACCTTGAACCCGCCCCGACGAAGCTCGCTACCGAACCGCATTCCATTCTTTTATGAGCTCGCTGGCGAACAGAACAATCGCGACCATGGCTGCCACGGCCTCCAACCCCGCCGCCTCGGCACCCGCCTACGTCTCAAAATGGTCCTCCCGCTACCGCGGCGTACGTTTCCCTCTCCCTCTCTCTCCATCCCCAACATCACCATGCCCGGACCTCTTGTCCGGCCCAAGACCTCCAGGCCGAGCTAACACCCACCAAAGGCGACAGTAGAAGACCTCGACCCCCCCGCCGCCCTCTCCCTGACCCCGAACGACCCCATCTCCATCGCCCTCCTCTCCGCCTTCGAGCGCGACTACACCCACCTGACCGTCGTCGACGCCCACCGCGCCCTCGTCGGCTACCTTGCCATCCCGCACCTGCAGGCCCTCCTCGACGCCGGCAAGGTCACCCCCGAGGACCCGCTGTCCAAGGCCATGGTCCGCTTCCAGCGCAAGGGCCGCAAGTACCGCGTCATCACCATGCAGACGCCCCTCGAGGAGCTCGAGGCCTTCTTCGAGGGCGACGGCGTCGAGGGCCGCAAGAGCCACTTCGCCGTCATCACCGACGAGAAGAGGCGCTTCGTGCTGGGCGTCGCGACGGTGCAGGATCTCGAGGAGTTCGTCAAGAGGAGGCCGGCCTAAAGGGGGTACGACGGGTCAACCGCGGGGAGGTGAGAGGATGAGACGTGATTTATACCCAGGACGGGTGCGTTGTCGGCCTACACGCAGAGAGAGAGAGAGGCTGTGATGGACATGGTAGACGGCGGGCTGCATCAACTCGGGCGTTGGCGGTTCGGCATGAACCGGGGATAGCATTGGGACCACGGCTGGGAGGCAGACAGACGATTCAACACAGTTCTGTCGTCGGATATGTTGTTTAACGCTCACACGAATTGACATTAGAACCATTGATGTTGGTAACGGGTGAAATTGCTAACGATGCTCTCAAGTGTACTCGTAGGGATGTGCTTGACGACACTGTAGACCCTGGCTAAGCCCATTGCGCAAATCCTTGGCAAACAACCACCCAGGCTCGCGCGAAATTACTCCCTCCTTCTCTCCCTCTAGACCTTTATCATCTAAGGAAGGTAGTCGTACACGAGACGGATCTCGACTCTCTTGCCGCCCTTCTGAACAAGCACGTTGCGCGCATACCGGCGCTCTCCGTTGATGGTCTGGAAACCCCAGACCTGCGAGGCGGTCCATCCGTTGTCGATGCTCTCGACGTGGGAGTAGATGTGGCTCTTGCCGTCGGGGCCGGTGGCCTCGGCGTCGCCCTCGAGCCAGCCCTTCTTCAGGAACTCGTCCTCGATGTCGGCAGGGGCCATCCACCTGCTCTGGCCGCGGACGCTGCCGAACATCCAGTCCGAGTGCTCGCGCCACTCCATGTCGAGGCAGCGGTTCTCCGAGGTGCCCTTGAGGCCGCCGGTGGCGGTCTGGTCGATGTCGATGTGGGTGACGGGTTCGGTGCCGGTGCCGGGGGGAGACGGGGACGCCGAGTACTGCTTGACGGTGAGGGTGACGGTGGCGAGGCCGACGGCCTTGCGGGTCATCCAGCCGATTCCCTGAAGAGTGAGGGCGGGCTCGGGAGAGTCGGAGAGGGTCTTGTTCTGTAATTTGGAATAGTGTTAGTTGTGCTGCGCGTTTGCTTCTTGTTGAGATGATGTGAACGTACCATGACCCACTTGCCGGAGAGGTCGGCGATTGTCACCGAAGCAGGAGCGGCCATTGTGTATGTCTGTCGCGCGTAGCTCGTGTCGAGATATAGGTCGGGTGTTTTTGATTATGTAGACGTGGTGTTGTAAAGCTGCGGTGAAGCTTCACAAGTCGCACGTGGGGTGATGTGGGTTTTGTATGTCGAGGGATAAAAGTCCCGTCTGATGAGGTGGTCTCCGAGACAGATATACGAGATGGTCCGCCAAGGTGAATCGAATCGTTAGGTTGTGGCCAACAAACGGCGGCAGGCGCAAACTTTAGTGAGGTGGGCTGGGCTTGCGATATGCGGGAAGAGAAACAAAAGTGACGTGGAATCTGTGTCTCTCCTTCTACTCCGGACGAGAAAGCGGCATACCTCCAGGGACGGGACTTTATACGTCAGGTACCGGCCACAAGTTCAGTCAGGTACGGGTTCGCATTGGATCAGATTGCATGACTGGCATGGAAAGCAAAGCAAGCGGGGCGAATTGGGGGGGCCGCTCCGGAGAGGGACCTTGCCTGTCACTGTCCGTTTGGCCTGCGACCCCTCCAACTTTCACATGAAGCTTTTATTCGCAGCTTCCCGCCAGCAAAAGTCGCAGGCACAACACAGGATTGGCCCGAGGTTCGCGTCCTCTTGGCCCCCCCTCTGGCGGAAGGGATTACGTTGTTTCTCAACCACCACACCCCTTCTTAGGCCCCCAAGACCCTGGGAAGAACAATGTGCAGTGAGATCATGAACCGGCCACTAAGGAACTCTGTCTTCCCCCGGATTTTGCGCACGTGGGTGGTATTGAATTGTTTCTCATTTCGTCGGACCCAGCGACTTGACTAAGGTGTGCTGAACAGAGGGAAACAAGTCAAGCTGCATGCTTTTCGATAACTCGCCTCAATCTACGCAAACCGCAAACCACAAATCACAAAATGGCCACAACACACATCAGCCCCGATCCAAGTTTGCGGGGGAACGTCGCAATCCGACGTCCCCGAAGATACCTCAACCATCTCAACGCCCACCACGACTCTCGGGAGCCATGCAGTTGCCTAATCGGGCAGCCAAGACATGCACCAGCAAACGACGGGACACCAAGAAAGAATGGAACAGACCTCAAGTTCCGAGGCTGAAGCGGGCGGCCGTGCTCCTGATCGAAACGGTCGTCCCTTATTCTCAATTCTTCTGCTTGTTCCTTTTAGCTTCTGATGCGTCTCCGTCCCGACTCTGCTGGCTCGCCGGTAGGCTGTGCGCGCTTTCATCATGCCAACCAAAAAGATCCAACCAATGTAACCCGCCCTCTCGGTCTACCGAAGGCAAGGCACGGCAGATACATACACCTCGCCTCGCCTTAGGTTCTTACCTACTTGCGGCAGGCGCACTTATTAGATTCTCACTGCATCTGACGGACGCACATGCGCACACCCCTCGGCGATAGAGAGAGAGAGGGCGCATCTTCCAATGGGACAAGACATGCCGCGAATTCCCTCCCCCATCTAACCCATCGCCCCCCGTCCGGTCTTTCTTTCTTGGCCATCCAGCGGGAAGTCGGCAAGACCCCATCAGCAATCAACCCACGCGCGTCCGTACGGCGAACAGGCACTCAGGAGCGCGACGGGACGGGGCGAGCTGGATGCCTTTTTTCAGCTGCCGCCTCGGCATCTCGAGCTCAGCTTCTCCTAAGGTACCCGTCTCTGAAGCCGGAGAGTCTTCTAAAGAGCCGTCCCCTTTCGCCTTCGTAGAGTTAGTTGCCTTGCCATCTACCTCTGGTCGTCTGCACAACCTCACAAAGGCGAACCTCGCCTCCGGAATCAGCTTTCGTATAACGCAGGGGGAAAAAAGACCTTTCTACACGGCCCAGTGCATCGGTCCCAGTTCCACCGCAGACGATTTGACAGCTCGCACAGCTCCCAGCCAGCCCAATCGTTCGTGTCGCGTAGTAGCCGGGCCGCGCTAGCGAGCTGTCTTGGTGGTTTCGCCGGCGAGTGACGAATCAGCGGGCCTTTGAGCGACATCAAGACATCACAAGGCAACTCGTCTCAAAAATTGTCAAAGACGAGGGAGAGGACTCGACAATAATCGAACCCACCCAATCCGTGTTCCTGACTCTTGCGTCCCAAGAGCCGAGGAGACGAGCTTCGAGAAGCACCAAGCTTCTTTATTGCGGCGGGGCCAAGCTCCAAAGTGGTAGCTGTGCCTGATGGGAGCATCCCGGCGGCTCAACAGAAGCTCTCCGCGACGCGCTGCCGCAAAGCGTGTGAGCTCCAAATGTTTCAAGACCGACTCAGCAGGCATCCCCCTGTCTCCGCGCAATCAAGAGCTCTCCTCTCACCTCGACCTCGACACACACTAACCCGAATGATGAAGCTCTGCCTAACTTTATTGTAGATTACGACCCTCGGAATATGCCAATATACATGGCCGGAGCTACAGAAGAGGAATAAAAGGAAAAGGATATCTTGGTGGTACAATGCCCCGGCTCCCCGCCATCGGCTCCCGGATGCTGCTTCGCAAACAACGGAGCTCAAACAAACGACCCGGCTGATATCATGACGCTCCGGCGCGTCGCGGCCTCTAAATCTGCCGTCTCAGCCGCAAGGTTAAATCATGCGCACGCTTTTTTATGCTTCTAGATCGTTCCATCACGGCCACCAGTTCATCTTTCTGTAGCTCTCAATCACCTCGTCGATCAGCTCCTTGGTCAGTTTCGGCTTCTCGTACTTGAACCCGACGACGTTCTCCAGGCGGCTGCCGTCCATGCTCAGGTCCGTATCCTTGAGCAGCTCCTTCTCCATGAAGGGGGTCAGGGGTCCCGGCCGCGCGATACCCGCGTTCTCGAGCAGCTCGGCCCACGGGCCCATGAGCTCGTCGTTGACGTCGTCGACCACGTTGTCCATGTTGAGGCGCGCGAACGTGCTGATCAGCTGGCCCTGGAATCCCGTCTCGATCTTGAATACCTCGCCGATGATCTCGGCCATGGTGCCCTGCGTGGTCACGCCCTTGTCGACGACGTTGAACGTGCACACCTTGCCCATGGACTTTTCTTCCCAGCCCTTCTTTCCGCCGTCGTACCACGTCGTGATGTCCCACAGCGCTCGCACAGCGTCTGAGATGTGTACTGTGTTCTGCCGGAGACCCTTGTCCCACAGCCACTTCATTTCCTTCTCGAGGTACTGGTAGGTGCGGGCCATGCACAGTCCTGTGGCGACCCATTGCGAGGCGTAGGGGCCGTAGACGTGGGATAACCGAACGATGATGAGGTTCAGTCTGGTGATGGGCGAGTTGTTAGCTTTAATGGACTCCCAGCAGGACCAGTTCGTGACGGCTCAGAAGGAACGCCCAAAACGCTTTGGAGACATACCCTTCAATCTTGGCCAGCTCCTCCTCGGCCTGCAGCTTGTAGACGGCGATCTTGCTCCAGGGCTTCAGCTTGTCGGTCTCCTTGCTCGGGGACGAGTCGGGCTTGTAGACCATGCCGGTGCTGAGCTCGATGAAAGCCTTGACCTTGCGCTTGGCGGCCTCCTTGCCAACGGCGAGCGACAGGCCGAGGGAGCGCAGCTTGTAAACCTCATCCTCTTGCGAATACCTCGTCTCACCACCGCAATTGAAGACGTAGTCCCACTGTTTACCGTCGGGGCGGTCGAATATCTTTGACAGGGCTTCTGCACGAGGCGAAAGCAAAAAAGCAAAAACGTCAGCCAAGGAACGGGAGCACGGTAGATTCTGTCCCGTCTGCCAGGGGGTGAAAGCAGAGGGACGAAGGCGAGAGAGAGAGAAATGGATTTGGTTCGTGGGATCGGATTCCGTTCGTGTGACTTACGTTCTCTGCTTGCATCGGCCTGCATGAATTTGGTGCCGGCGCAGGCGTCCTGGAACTCCGGGGCGAGCCATGCCAGTTGGGGCAGGGCCTTGTCGACAACGCGGACGTCGGATGCGAGGTTGTTCTCGTGGATATGGAGGGCCAGGAAGCGGCCAATGTAGCCCAGACCCCCGATGATCAGGACTGAGGGTTTCTCGGCCATGGTGAGGGAGGGGATGTCTGGCGACGCGGGAGGAGGAGGAGGAGGAGGGGAGAAATTCGTGAGGACGAGTTTGTGAAGGTCGTCAGGAGGGAAAGGGTGTGTCAAGCGCAAGTTGATCAGTCGGGCAGAGGGGCTCGAGGTAAGGTAGTAGTGGTGGTATGGAGGTATTTGGTGCACTGGGCACAGAGCGGTAGACCTGACGGATGGCGGCGACGGCGGCGGCGGCGGTGGATGGCGGGTCGTGGTCGTGGTACTGCGTAGGGTGGTGGGTGGTGGACGGCGGGGTTGACGTCGGGTGTGTCTAGTCCAGTTAGGGGTGATGTGCCCTGGCCCCTGGGATGAAATGCACCAGCACCAGGATTGTTGCGCGAGTTTAGTGTAGACTACCTTACGGTGTACCGCAGTCTGCGAGAGAGAGAGAAAGAGAGCGGGATGGACGCGGGCGAAGTTCGGCAGAGAGGGGGAAGAGATCTAGCCGGAAGAGGGTTCGAGTCGAGATGGGGGGCAGTTTGAAGGACGGGGAGGCAAGAGATGCCTTTAAGTCAAATAACCACCGGCGGAGGGGTGGGAGGATGTGGAAGGGAGAGAAGAATAAGAAAGGCGGTGCAAGGTAGCGCAGATGGATATTGCGTGTGTGTATGTGTTTGGTTTGGTTTGGTTTGTGTCTTCTACTTGTATTAGTGCCAAAAGGTTGAGGCGTCTGATGATATTAGAAACGACTTCAGTCGAGGTAACGTGCGCACGCGGGAAAAAAATAACGACCAAGACGAAAAATACTTGAGACGACAGACGGCCCTGCCCCTATTTTCCCTTCCCCCCCAAGCCTGACTGAGATCGGTATCAGAAAAAGGAGGGTTAAAAATTTATTAGCGGGAATACGGTACGTACGGCCAGCATACAAGAAAAAAAAGGGACGAAACAGAGCGGCCCTCGAGCGAATTGTCTCCTCCAATATGGTGCTGTCATTCCAAACGGGGGGGAGATGGAGATGGGGACCGTGGGACGGCCGGAGAGCGGGACGAGAGGGACGAATAGAGGAAATAATCTTAGGAGGACGCACTACTACGTAAGGTACAGGTACAGTACAGCCATGGTAATGCGCCAGAGAATGGTTTGGTGGAGCTTTATGCAGCTCCTCCTTTCTTTCGAAGGTTGGAAGGAATTGCCTACGGAGCACCTCCACCACCACGAGCAACATCTCGCCTCCAAACACGGCAACACTGGACTTTCAGGTACAGCCCAGTTCCAGCTCCAGCTCCAGCTTTTTCCCGTACGGTAATAACCTAACTTAACCAGCTGTCTGGTAGCCGTCAACTACTCTCAGGTTCCCTACCTTAGCTCGGGATAGCTCCAGCTGGCTCATTTCTTTGTCTTTGTACCCCTGGAAGCGTCCTATTCCTGTTCCTGTTCCTGTTGACTTCGTCATCTGACTCACTTGGCTTCTTGAAGCCCAACCCAACCAACTGGACTGAACTGAACTGGCAAACATGCCGGACGGCGGATGCTATTGATAGAACCTCCCTTTCCCAAGACCTGGGGAAAACACGTCCAGTCCAGGAAATGAGGAACCTCTGAGGGAATGAGCGTCACACCTTCGCACCTTCACACTCTTCGCTGTTCCACAACTGCGGTACCGGGACTGGCGGCTCAATTGCGATTGCCAATTTGCCTCCTCGCCTTCTGCCTCTGACCTTCTCACGCTTAGTGTTTGCTTGTGAATGCACCTGCTCACTCATCAGAAGAACCCGCAGGAAAAGAAGAACCTAAGCCTCTTCCCGGATTAGGAAATCGCACCAAAACACGTCGTGCCCCCTTCTAATAAATTTACAGGGCTCGTGCTCCCTCATAATCCCCACATCGCTGCTGCAGCATAGTGTCTCTCCTCCGACCCACTCCACCTCACGTCCTTCTGCTTGGCTTCCACTGACGCTTGTTGAGCAAGGCAATTCCCTCCACGACAAGCATCCACTGCCAATTCATCACGGGGCAGCCACCGCGATCGACGAACAGGAACAGGAACACCCGTCAATGAATCAATCAATCGACCAGATGAGATGTCGGGTGTCCATCACGCGCCCAGAGCGCCCAACCCGACCCCGACTCTCCGACTTCCATTCACAACCATCAAGACCCTTCTTGCCCTTGCCTTGTCCTTACTATCCCGCCGCTATTGCCTTTCCATCGAATCCCACAGAGACACAAACAAACAACCCAAAGACATTGGCCAGTGACGACGGCCTTCTGTCTCTGTCATCAACATCTAACCCAACTTCGGGAACCAATAATGTCTCTCGCCAGCTCCGGAACACTCCCCGTCCCGAATCACGTCCATTTCAACGCATATTGCTGCTTTTTCCTCCGTGCTGTGACACCAACACAGCCCTCGACAAGCAGGGAATCACCCATGGAACTGGCTGCTACTCGATCAGCTTTTCATTCCCGGGTCTTGCATTCGCCTTACCCGGCCGCTATCTCCGTCTTCCATATCGTTGTGTCACCCGGCCCGGACAGGGAGGCGCCCATTACTTCTCGAGCCTGTGTCACTCCAAATCTTGTCTCACCGCCAGCCTCGATTTCGGGTGACACACCCATCACACCGGGATCAGACTAGGAAATGGACGATGCAAAACCAAACGACAAGGCCGTCCGTCCTCGGGAGGACGAGCTTTTCCTGTCCATGGCGACTCGTCCCAAGAACCAAACCGCCGGCTAGCGCCAGCGGCGCGACCTGCCCATCCATCCCATGGATCCCGCCCCCGTTCCCGCTCAGGGGCCTCCCATGATGCCGACGCAGATAGGCGCCTCTTCTCCTGGGCCATGCCGCCGTGCTCCAACTTTAAAGAGGACCGACACGCGCGCCGGCGCGCTCCCACAGGCGGGTTCGGCCTCGGGCTTGGGCTTGGCCATTTGACTTTCGTCCTCCCTGCATCCTGCATGCGGGGTCCTGAAGGAGGATCTCCTGCGTGTTCTAGAAGTCTTCCGGGATCTGTTCTGCAACAAATCTCGTATGCTTTCTTTTACGGATTCGACGACGTCTGTACTTGGCCCAACAGTCTCTCCTGTCTGTTGACGTGGACCCTAGTTAGGAGCTGGCAACTCGACAACCGAGACACAGACGCAGACCAACCGACGTTCTTATTTTCACCAAAAATAAACCAAACCGCGCCAGCGCCAGCGCCAACACGTTGGAGCTAACACTGCCGCGGAACAGAAGCCAGAGCCAACTCTCTATCGATCACGCAAAATTTCCGATATTATCAACCGCCAGGCCCCACTCACCCAAACATTTTCTTCTCAACTTGCTGCAACTACCCTCAACTTTGTCAGCTATGCATCAATTGCGGCCCGAATGGCTCGTATGTCCCCGCCTACAATGGACACTTGCCGACCATCAGCGCCTTAAACGCCATCACATCAGAGTTTGTTGGGCATCAGGTGCTCACTGCATCACATCAAACAACTTACACACTGCCACCCAACTAAACGACCAGGTTGGAATAGCAAGCTTGTCATAGGCTATTGGCACATGACAAACAATGATCCTAGAGAGAAACCAACACAAAGCAAACAGGCACGAAGCATAAACAGGAACTGACGTGAACATTCGCAGGGTTGGTTTCCCTCGTTGTTATTCTCGCTCTCGCCTATTGCCTTCGTTGTCAACGCCGACGTTGCCGATCTTCGCTGCTCTCAAACCTGCGCCTTGAGCAAATCTATGCTCTTGATGGGTCTCATGCGATGACACACTGCGGCCCGTCGAAAGTCGGGATCTCCAGTCATCGACAGCTAGAGGCATCGTCATGTGGATACTCGGCAATAGCAGCTTGTTGGGCACTTTTAAGGTTATCGGGTTTGATTTACCATGACTGATGCGATTACGTGTCCCTCACACGAACGATACGAACGAAAACGAGGTCGTCTCGATTAACGAGAAGAATGAGCCAAATGAAAACAAAAGACTGACAGAACATGTAGGCCAGCTGGAGAAGCCTGAGTCGAACATACCGACTCGACATGAATGCTCATGCTAGTAGCTACTGAATCATGTCCGTCGGCAATTGCTTCACACTCTATTTCGAAAGGGGTCGCCCGCTACTCAGTTCATCCCATGCTGATGGCTCTCGAGTGCCTGAAAACTGACTGAGCATGTTTATGCTCTTGGGAGCCGGGGAACGGTGAGAGTTGTCATCTCTGGCACAACACAGCAACGCTGAAACGTGACTTGACTGCCGTACTCTTTCCATGTCGCAAATTGCAAAGGCTTGTTTGCCCGTGAAGGAGACATATGCCCAGGTAGACAAGTCAAGCGTCTCTGTCACGTCACAACAGACTACGTATGGCTGTCGGTGATACGAACGTATCCGCTCAGCCAAAGTACACTCTGACGAACGAAAATCAACAGCAATGAAGACGAGTATCCTAACTCTCGTGAGAAGCCTTTTCCCCTTTCTTCTGTTCCGGACCCTCGTCAAGAAACACCCACGTCTATCTGAGTTACGCTGTAGTCTTCACTAGGGAGGAAGAAGCCCAGTCTATTCCACTGATTCCATCTCAAGTCTTCGAGTCGATCAACTCGATAACGAAGGGGCGATATCGGCTCAAAGTATCTCAACCACATAGATCTGGCTGAAATGCCGGGGGGAAAAAAAGCATGCTTCGAGATATGCCGAAAGCTGATGTAGAAGAAGAAAGGAGGAATCTGTCTATCTGCTTCGAACCCCCCACGAACAAGTCGCCTGCAGAACGGCGATCACTCGGTATACTGCCTCAAACAGGTAATCTGATGTATCGTGACATCGAAGCCGTTCGCGAATGTCAGCTCAAATAAGACCCAATTATGAAGTTGTGGAAGTCTCGCGGCTGCGGACCGTCGAACCGCCGAGCCGCAACGACGTGTCATCGTTCTACAGGGACAAAAATGATTTCTCTACCGGGACAGCTCCGGGCAAGCATGTCTTACACGACAGCTGCATGCCTTGATGCTGTTTCTTAGGTAGACGGAGCGGGCGGACATCAACAGGGGCACTCGATCGACGATGTGAGGTCTAAATGAGCGTTACACAGATATTTTTTCTTTCATCTACTCGTTCAGCCTTTCCATATCGCCCTAGCCCGCGGATCCCTCTTCCCGGCAAAAGGACCGCCACCTTCGCTACACCCAGACAACGTACCTGATGATGAGCCAAGACGAGGCCGGCAGAGCCCTCATCTATTCGGTACCCCCTTGATCCCGATGCCTGCATTCACAAGGAGATCTGATCTAAGACAGGACGCAGGACGGGGTGGAAGTGTGGGCTTGGAGCCGTACAACCCGATCTCGATAATCCATACCCCGTGCGACCACCTTTAATCTTCTTTTTGGTTCTCTCAGAAGCACAAACGCAATATGCTTGTTTCCCCCTCCGTCCCAAAGAGGAAGGCAACAAAAATCATCTCTGCATGCTGCCAATGATCTCCCTCTGCGCCGCGCGGTCCTTCGCACCCTCGCTAAGGCTGCCGATGCTCCGCAGGTCGCCGACGACGTCCTTGGCCTTGCCGAAGTAGACCTCCTGCAGCAGGTTGCGCATCTTGAGCTCCATGTCCTCGACGAGGCGGCCGACGTTGGCGATGTGGCTCTCGTCGCCGTCGACGGGCAGCTCCTGCTCGACCTGCCGCGTCATGTTGCCGCTGAGGTCCATGTCGCCCAGGCTGCTGGCCGACGTCGACAGCGAGAGGATCACCGTCGAGGTGAGCTTGTACTGCGTCGTGCGGCCGCGCTCGATGGCTTCGAAGACGTGGATCGAGTCCCAGACGCCCTCGGCGCTGCCGCCGGGTGTCGCGGCTGCGTGTTGCTGTCAGCATCTCTCTGTTTTCCCTTCTGCCGGAAGACCTACACTTCTTGAGGAGAACAACGCCCGCGAATCCGTCGTCCAGGTTCCAGAAGTAAACACTGCTCACGCCGCCCTCGTAGTAAAGGTCCCTGTAGACGTCAAAGGCCTCGTTGGCCTTGATCTCCATCTTGCGGACGCGCTCGCTGGGGATGGCACCCTCGCCCGCACCCTCGCTACCGCCGGCACCGACACCGCCCACGCCGCCCTCGTCCAGGGGCGGGTCGAACTGGTTGCTCCACGGGGAGCGGTAGCTGTCGCCATCGCGGTTGTAGTCGCACAGGAGGTAGTCGCGGCCGGTCTGCTTGCAGCGCTTGACGGTGAGGGGCTGGTCGACGGAGGAGAGGAGGTCCTCGGTCAGGTCGGGTGCGAGGGAGATGATGGCATTGAGGTGGTCGGCGGTGTGTTTCGGGTTCAGACGGCGGAGGAGGTCGCTGGATTCGAGGGGTGGGTTCCGGTTAGTTTACGGTCGGTCTGGCGATGCACGGTTGAGACTGAGGACAGGAGGGCAACGACTTACAGCGCCGAGTCGAAGGGGTCGACGGAGGCCATGGCGGCGCTGTGTGAATGTTTCGGGGTCGGTGAGGCGGGCTGAAGGGACGTCGGGCGATGCGAGTTGTGGTGCTGCGGTAGATGAGCTGGATGTCTTTCGAGGTTGGAGTGTCAGTGGAAGGGACTCGGCGGGGTAGGTAGGCGGTCATCACCACCTAAGGTACACTTAGCCCCTGGGGAAGAGAACCCCACCAGTCATGGTGAGCTTCCGAAAGCACCTACCATTGCTCAAGCTCTCAACCGGCACCGGACGTCATGGCAATTGAGACCTCGAATGCTGCGTAAATTCGGCTTACCTCCCCCGACAAGTCATACATTCAAGTTGTGTTCAACTTATAGACCCGCCTGATGGACATTGTTCAAAGTATTCTTTGTATTGAACTATCGTCAAACGGTTTCCGTTTGTCGATGGACGACTTGAAAAGGATAACAAACTAAAAGAAACCAAACCGTGTAAGCTCTAGGAAACTGCTCAAGACTCTTGTCTCCAGACTATCGCTCTTCTGGCCTCGGCTCCTTTTCGTCCCCTTTTTGACTAAACCCCTTCACCAGTTCTACGGAAACTTGTTCCCTGACAACTCAATTGTAGCGATAAACCGTATTCGCCAACGCCTCGCGAAGATAATCAACACCCCAACCAAAGCAACCTGTTCTGCCTCCTTACCCTATCTCTCGACTATCCAAACCTCTTCGACTACGTTGTTCAGCCCTTTTGCCAAACGTCTTTTTCGAAACTTGGTATGCTAGCCTCCATATTCAAAATCGTTACAGCCAAAGGGGCATACGCAAAGCACCACGGCGGAGCGCACTACTGGCTGGAATAAGTACAGCGAGAAGTGAAGTTGGAAACCCCACCATCCCGCCACCCCAAAAAAATAAACAAAATGTGACCTGGCCAAGGGCCGGTACGTCGGTGAACATACTCAATTGATTCCAATCCCGCAGACCATGCAAAGCAAGGGCTCTGTCCAGACTTTGTCGCCTTCAGTGACGTTTTCGCGTAGGTCCCTGATCTCAATCTTGGACAAGTTCGTGTCCATCAGCAGCTTGGCGTCGAACAACCCCTCGTACGGCTTCGCCTCTGTTAAGCCGTTCTTCTTCTTGCTGGATTTGACCTTCTTTGTCGACACTACCGGGGCTTCAGGCACTGAAGGCGTCGCGGGAGTTGTGGGCTGCTGCGATCCACGCTCTTCGGCAATAGCAGGGGTTCCCTCCGTAACAGATTGGCCGTTCGATTCGTCGGGCGCATCGCCGGGCTTTGCATCGATCGTTTGCTTTACCTCAGTGCCGCTTTCCGTCGGACTAAGGGGACCAGTGACGCCGTCGTCCAGCTTCTTTTCGTCCTTTACTTCCACCTCTTTCTCGCTCTCCGCAACAGATGCGGTTCCATCGATCGGTGGCTTCTCGGTGAGATGCGGCTTGTCCTTGCCGAGTCGCTCGTAGGTTCGCATGAGGGCAGCGTCCAGGAGACATTGTGCATGAAGCCACTTGCCACATTCCTTATTGGAGCATCCGACGAGGATCTTATCGGGGTTCGCTGGCTGTTCACATTTGCAGGTGCGTTCGACGGACTGCGTATACAGGTTAGTACTTCAACCAAATATTGTCAGACTGGACTAACCGAGAGTTGCTGGGTTCGGCAGTCAAAGGCCTGGCGCCAGTAGAGCGCCTCTTGTATTTCGTCGTCGTTCTCCTCGATCCATTGCTTGACATTTGCAGGCAACGTCACACTCACGACGTTGATGATATCCACTGCGTAATGTCAGTACCCCGCTTGCGACTTTATGAATGCGACATACTGTGGTTCGAGGCAATGAGCTCGTTGTGCCCGTGATAGGGTTGTCGGCCACCGGAATACCTCTTGCCCTCCATGGTGCCTTCCGGGAGCTCCTCTGGCCAGTACATCCAGTAGATGCGTGCGTACACGTGGTGTTCGTCGCTGGCGCGAATCTCCAGGATGCGTGCAACCCAATCGTCATCGGATTTCGATCTCTTCAGCGGGCCATCACCGTCCGTGACACCCTCAGCCGCGGCCTTTTGGCGCTGGACAGTCTGGTCGTTTGCGACGTATATGAAACCCTCGCTGAAGTACTTGGTGCCGTTCACTGCGCCCATCCGCGTTAGCACCCCGACATCACAAGGAGCAGACGGGAAAACTTACGGACAAAGCTATTGTACCTTGTCATATCCAGCCATTTCTTCTGCGGGTGGACGTTATACTCCAGGTCCAGAACGTCTTGGGCGCTCTTGCCGTTGAAGTCGCCGGACGGGGAGAAGGGAGAGAGTTGCTTCGTGCTCTTCTTCGGGTCGTCTTCTTCCGGCTCCTGCTTCCTTCTCCTCTTGGATTTCTTTTGCGATTTGGAGTCGGGTTCGGCGTAGGTGATGGTGAAAGGACAATCGGCCTTGTTGTCCTCGACCTCGGCGCGAGGGCGTTTACGCGCAGAAGACGACATGGCGCAGTTCCGGGATCGCAAGCGAGGGTATAATTCGAAAGTTGCGACAAATGCGATGGAAGGGAGAGATCGAGGTCGGATGGGTCGGCTGAAGACGATTGGGACGTAGATGAAGGCCCGTTGAGTTGTTGCGACGGAGGAAACACTGGGAGGAAGACGGGGTGGCTGGAAGAAGATGGGTCGCTTGAGGACCGGGGTAGATCAGGCCGAGTGGCAAGCGCGCCGTCCCGGTCGAGCTTTCGAAAGCACTTTGATGACTTTTTACTAGACGATTGTACCCAGAGATGATTCGAGTCGGGTAGCAACGACCAATGATGGCCACGATGCGCAAACTGGGAGGAAATCGCAGGTCGAGAAGCTGGCAGTCTCGGTCGGGGAACGGGCGCGTCAGTGGTAATCTCATCCTGCCACCAAAATTTCAGGATCCATCACGTGATCTCCAGCTGGGCAGTTTTGCCGGGCGTCACGTAAGCACGGAGTTACAGAGCGGAGGACGTCCGCGCTTGCCACGGTCCATGCGATTCGCAAGTCCCCGCAGCAAGCGCCGATGCGATGTTAATGCACTTATTTCTCTTACACCTGATTCGTTGAGATGGCAACTTGGCGCTGTCCACGGCAACGCGATACCATCGGGATGTCATGAAACGATCAATATGTACCAACAATGACACGCTCAGTAACGTAACTCTTTGAACGCCATGCTATGCAACTGTGCCCAAATTCCCTCATCGCCTGGTCCGGTCATATCCATGGTCGTCTTCTTCTTCATCATCATAAGCACTGAGGATTGGCCGGTCCTCGCTTTCAGTCTCACTTCTTACTTCTTGCCGCTGGCTCTCAAAACCCTCGATCGTTTCCGCCAGCTTTTCTCCCTCGCGCTTGCCTCTTTCCACGTTGACGCTCCAAATAAGAGGTGCGGGAATGGCTACTAAAGCCGCCAGGAACCAAAAGGCGGGTCGTATATCGCCAGACTTGTCGATAATGGCCCCTACAATAGCCGGTCCAAACACACTCGAGCCCTTATCGGTAATAGCGTAGAGCGCGTAAAAAGCAGCCTCTGACCCGGGAGGAATGAGCTCTCCGTAAAGCGATCTGCAAAAGGATGAAATGCCGGCTAGCACCAAGCCGTAAACCGCAGCGAGGGGGTACATCTCCCAAGGTTGTTGTAATCCCCCCACACCCCAGTTGCGTACAAACGGAAGGTATCCGAGCAATCCATAGATGGGAATAAGCTCGAAAAGAAGGATGCAGACGAGAATTGTCTGGTGGGGTCTCAAGTTGAGCTTGTGAGATACGAAAGCCCAGCCGAAAGCTCCAATAACACCAAATGTGGTCGAGATGACGTTGATCATTCCTAACGCCCATGGCTTCATGTGAAGCTGCGTTTTCGCGAAGAGAATTGCCGTCGAGGAAGTTGTCGCGACCGAATCAGAAAGAAAGAACCATGCACAAAGATAGAGCATAATATCTCGAAGGCGGCGCGCAACCTTGACTGTTCTGAATAGAGACTTCCAAGCATTCTTGGTGTAGCTCAACCACGCGCGGACTCCGCGTCCCTTTCCCGACTGAACGGGCATGGGTGGGCCAGGCCTCGGGCGGAGCCACATGGCAGCTGGGATGGTAAAGAGCGTCCTGAACACTGTTAGCTTTCTGTATAAGACGATGACGGGGAAAGACGGGGATAACAGCAACAATGATAACTAAAACGGTGGCATCGGGTGGGTAAACGGGAATACGAGGCACAGATTGAGAATGAGGAAAGGGTGTGAGTTCAGATACATACCACCAAGCGCCCACCACGAAGAGTACAACCCTCTGCGACCACGTGGAATTCTTCATCGCAATCAAGATGGCGATGGCAGCGCATTGAACGAAGAGTCCGGCGATGTATCCGGTACCGATACCCTTCGAGGAGATTTGAGTCGACAGTTGGAGCTCCACTGATGTGATCTCCTCATGGGTAGCTTTCCTGACCAACGTGTGGCCAAGAGGGGCGTTCTCACCAAGCAAGGCCGAGGTGGAATCTTCCATGTCGCCAACAGCCGAGTCCTCGTCGATAGGGGTTCCGTTCATTGGCTGAGACTCCATGTCCGAATGCGCGAGATCCGGCGTGTGAACCGTCTCAGATGCTAGCACCTCCGGATGGTAGCGAACCAGAAGCGGTAGGAATGAGTTCAGAAGCACAAAAGAGGCTCCGAATGATGCGTTGGAAATGATGGCCAGTAGCGCACCAAGCAGGTATGTACTTTTGCTCACAAAGATGTAGGCCATGACGGAGAAACTGCCAACCCATGCGAAGGTGAGGAGGAGCTTCTTTCTAGAGTCGCCGTGGTCGGCGGCGCTGCTAATGCTCACGACCAGCAGTGCCTGGACCAGCACGCTGATGGAGAACGTGTACATGGCGAAGCTGGCCGTGTTGATCTCCATGCCGAGAACGTACACGGTGCACTGTCCATCTGCCTTGTTCTTCGAGTCGCTCGTACCACACGGGGTCGTCCGATCGGACAGGAGAACGCCATTTTCGCGCGCGAGAGTTTCGAGAAGAATGGGAATGAATGAGCCTGCGCATTATATCTTGTTAGCACGACTGTCGCAGCGCCAGCTCTCAAGCTGAGGATGGGCGCATTCGCGTGGACGGTATTCCGAGTCTTCCGTGGGAAAACAACAGTCAATAGAGCAACAAGATTGACATACCAATTGCTAGAAACAGTCAGTTCACGATCGTGGTCAGAAAGCAGGCGGGGCATCAACTTACCGCAGATTACATAGGTCTCGGCAGCGAAGGCGTAGGCATACCATCCAGAGAGCTCCTTCTGGCTCGTGGGGCGGGTATCTTCGCCCTGGTAACGACTGTGGCCGTGAAGGAAGCCATCGCTGCTGCTGCCAGGACTCATTCTGTCAAAATCCGAGTCGCTATCCGAACGTTCGTCGTCTGCCTCAAAGTCGGAGGTGAAGGAGCGAAAAGAACGTTTGGATAAAGTCGATAGGCGCGACCATAAACGTGGTGCAGGCGGCGGCCGAGCGTGTTCCTCTTGCCTGGGAGCCATGGTGAGGAGCACTGACACCCGTGGACGCTGACACGGGCTGTCAGGCGTGACTTTACTGGGCGGGACAGCTGACTGGCGGGCCTGTCTCACTCCGGTCGCAGGGCAGGCGGCAGGCGACAGGCGACAGGCAGCACGCAACCTGAACGCCCCAGGGCTGAATTCCGTCCCGAGTTTAGGCTGCAGAAACTGTGTACCTTATTCACCTGAGGAGGCAAACCTTCCGATGAATGGATGGTACTTTTGCGCAGTACCTCGGAATGCAGGCAAGCTTCCTTAGGTATGCGACTGCAGGCAGGTCGAGTTAGGTACCCTTGGGTGCCAGGCACCATCCAAAGCTTGGAGAGGTGAGGGGACGGTTGAGGAGCTCTTTTCCTTTGGTCGCTTCTGCGGCTGCCACTGCGGTCGGACCACTCGGCGTATTTCCAGTGGCTGCACTGCACCTTCACCGACCAAGTTTTTGGCTGGTTTTCGGTGGTGTCGCGTCGTGTCGTGGCTGCGGCTGTTGTTGGAGATGTTCCAATAAAATGGGCGATTGATCGGGTAGTTTCGTCCTCTCCGCCTTCAGTGGGGTGTCTCTCGTTAAGAGCCTGCCGAAAAGGGCAATGTGGACTGTGTCGAGGTACGGGTACGCCGTGGATGAGAGGTGACTCGCGGAATCGTGCAAGCTGACAAGTGACCGCGATGCTATGTCACTGACCGAAGGTGTGGGTGACGACGACGATGAGAGTTCCGCGCGGACAGCAACATGAGGCCACCGCAGCTGCGACAAAGTCAGTGTGGCAGTCTGGTAAGGTTTTGCGAGATGAATGAACAAAGAAGCAGAAAGACGGAGAAGAAGTAGGTGAAGGTCGTCGTCACGTTTGGAAAAGGTCCGGCTGTGGGCCGGCGTGGTTATATGGCAGCCCAAAGGCGAGGCATGACAAGGTAAGGAAGGAAGCGCCGTTTAAAGGCGATGGCAATCCATGGAATCAGTGTCAATCCATGCCCTTTGCCGGCCGAGTTGATCTTGCTGCTCCATAAACCACCTCAGGTCCAAAGCCAAAAGGTGCCGGAGTCAGCTTGAGCCAAGACCACCACCGTCAACCGTCCATCCCGTCCGTCGCCTTTCATCACCCTCTTCCCAACCCTCCCCGAACTTCTCCAACATGCTGTCCTCCCACCAAACCCCAGTCGTCTCCTCGTCGCGACGGAGAGAGAAAAATATTTCGCCCAATGCCCCAAGCGCTGCGACCGCGGATATCGAATGCGCCCAACTGGATCATCGCCGATGGATGGTGCCCTTTCTATTCCTAGCGCCGCTGCCACGCTCCCAGCATGCCGCACGATGAGGCAATGAGCTCCAGTTATCGTGAGAGGATGCGCGGTGGTCGACAGCCATCGTGAGACGAACAGGGTTGTTCATTCGTCCGATATTCCATGTTCGCCATGCATCGATGGATATGCGTTGCATCCCAACTTTTGGATTGGTTGTTGGCCGCCCTTTCGCCTGCCTGCATCTTCATCTTCCTTCACAGTTCTCCATCCCAAATACCACCGTTTGAGAATCTGCCATGCTTTCACCGCAAGAGGCGTGATCTTTCGTTTCGACCGTATTTTGCTCCATTGGACACTTCTTCGTTGATCATCGCGGATTGGGTCTTGCCATCGGGAACCGTCAAGATTCCGATTTGACCAAAAACCGGACGGTCAAATCACTACTCCCGGTCTTCGGATCTCTTGGCAAGCAGCCGCTGCCGTCTTGGGAGTTGTTGACTCGTTGGTTTGGTAATTAGAGCCGCGACAACGCGGCGCGAAGGCTATCGTTCAAGCTTGATGTCTGCCGCTCTCTTGCCCGTCACCTTGATTCGATCCGCGTACGAGTCTCTCAGCTCTCGCCGCAGAACCGCTTTGCTTCGATTTCATAGAGCAACACTGCGGCAAAGTTTCGCGGCGATCCGAGCCGTAACGGGGCTTGCGGGGGTGGCATTCTGCAAGTGCCTTCGCGATCTGCAACTCCTCTCGACCTTGCTGCCTACCACACTTCAACTCCCGTTGGACCCTGAGTGATGATCACGGCATGTGAGTTGGTCTGCTTAGACGTGAACTAGCGCAACACGCGCACTAGCCAGTAAGGGACCGGTCGCCATTCACGGTGACTTATAATCACGATGTAGCTTGGCCGCAATCGCAATGACAGAATCCTCGTCGCACCTCCGAAGCGGTGTCGAGAGAGATCGTGACTTCACCGCTTGAATTTAAAGTTAGCTGGGGGAAGGGGTCTGTTTTCCACAAGACCCAAAAAATACCCTGGGCGCCTCTCCGCAGTCGATTGAACCGGGCCGACATTGGGTTTGAGGCTTCTTTTCAGCTGAACCATGTTTTCGTTCAGCGTGTTTCGGACGATGGGGCGGCTCAGCCAGACGAAGTTGATGCAAGCAGTCAAGCCACGTGCCTGCGTTGATCCGGTCCTGGGGTTGGAGCAGTTTGATCCAGAAGACTTCGAGGACTTCATTGATATGGTGTTTTGAATCCGGACAATGGATTCGAGGTGACTGGATGGAACGGCTCGAGGAATTCCGTCACTGCGGGTCGGGACCAGTTGGGCTGGGGCCGATTCTGCCGGGGCCCACACCGCCTTCCCGTTCCGATATCAGCTCCACACCACCGGAAAACACCTGGAAAACACCACCGGAATTTATGAGCCAGGATCATGCATATGCGAAATTTCCCGCCCTTCTGAGCACAAAAGGACATGGACTTTGTCATTTGAACGAAGCTCACAAAAAGGGAGTCTCATTGGTCCTCTGTTTTTGGGTTCTTCACAGGCAAAAACGTAAAAATGAACTCATCTCTCATCGGCTCAAAGAACATCAAAAGAGAACGACAACGACAGGATTCGAACCTGTGCGCCCGAAGGCATAAGATATCGAACTTAATTCGAGTCTGACGTGATAACCACTCCACCACGTTGCCATTGTTGAAGAGATTGGAGGATTTTGTTGAATAAGATCCTGGTGCTGGGAGGGCGGATGTGTGGGCGCCAAAACCGTTGTGGTTTATGAGGTGGGTAAGCCCCAAATGGGGTTTGGGCTGTCCCAATTAAACACAAGTGTATGTCAGGTACAGTTCATCTGGTATTTGTGCAGAGTTCGCTCATCTGATGGTCTCTGAAGTCAACGTGGTAGGCAACCACTGGTGTGCTCACCACTACACCGGAATGTGTTTTACTCAACAAGGTCCTCACTCACTCCCAGAATCTGATTATTATAGTTTATGAGTCAGATGAGAAAAACCCAAACAAAGGATATGTCTGACACATACATTGCTGCTCTCGCTATTCTCCCAGGCAGTTGGTGTTTATGAGTGCATCACCATCATCATCTCATACGACGACAACAATAACAACATCACGCGAAACATATGTGATGAAAAGTAAACCCAACTTCGCAATCTGTTGATTCGGGCCGCATAAGTTGATGTCCTGTCTTTCTTGGTTTCATTTCTTCTACGGGTGACACCTTCATGTGTTTCTCAATGTGTCACCTCCTATGCAGAATTCATTTATTTTAATGTCGAGTGCGCCCATCTGATGGCCTTTAACCCTTTTATCTCAGTCTCATCAGTTGACATTTATTCATTTTAGGCATAGTGATACCATCTCCCAATCACTCAACAATCACACATTACAGACATGACTCTTCAATGCGCGCAATGATACCGAACGAAGCTTACTCCCTAAGTAAAGTACCGGCTCAATAGTCGGTAGTCATCTGCAAGTGCAAGCACGCTCCGGACCTCCGGGGCTCTCTGACTCTCTCGCGTCCCTTCGGATCCTCTCCAAGAAGTACGCCGAGAATACGGCCGCTACTGTCGGTGCACCTGCTTGCCGACGCACACTGACCACGACATTCCCGACGGCGACCACGATGACGACGTCAAGCCCGCCAAGATGAAGGAAGAAGAACGCCTTCGGGAAACGTCATGTCGTCTACCCAGGTATCCTCTAGAATGTAGCCCTTGGGTGACTGCAGGCTTTTCTTTGAAAAGAGAAACAAAAACGACAACAAAAAGGAGGAGAAAGACAGAGAACTCATTCCTTATTGTTCTCATTGAGCGTACTATTTCTACCCGTAATCTGACCGACTGAGCTGCCAATTTCTTCACGTCTGCAGCCGGATTGAATGCGCTCAAGCGGCAGCCTCTAAACTTAAATTCAAGGAGTTACATACACCAAGATGACCCAACCAAAGTGCTTATGATGACGGTAAAAACGGGAAATACTACGATGAATACGTCAGAGAAGACGACGACGACGACGAAAGCGAGGACAGCGAGGAAGACAGCACCAACGAAGAAGACAATAAGGTCAATGAGGATAGCGATAACTATAACGACGAGGACGACGAGGACGACGAGAGTACGAAGTTGCTAAATCCCATCCCATTTGTCGAACATGAAAAGCCTTCCTTCTTAGCATCTGCAAACTATCAAAGTGATCGATCACAACGCAGCGTTTCTGTAACACATCATCGCCGACCCATCATTGATTTTCGCCAACATTCATGTCCGTATTTTGGTATCGAAGGAGTCCAGAAGGTCAAGATTATATGGTAGTAAAGGTTGTAGGGGTGACTAGCACATTATCCATCTTTCCCTTCTCAACTTCATCATCACCATCTTGTCACGTTGGTGAACGTGCAGAAAGCCTATCAACAGCCTAATGTCCAGCTCAAGACCGGACCTCACTTTCATCGAACTTCGAATTTTGACGGGTTATGCTCGTCTTTCAAAGTGGCTGGTTTCTATCAATGTCGGTTTTGCACACAGTTAGAAGAGCTCACTCTGAAGATTGCCAGATAAAACCCCACTCTCTCCCTGGAACCTGACATGTTTATGACAGTGGTGGGTTGGCTCTGAGAGATATCTTTCTTACCTTTGCGTTTGTACCCATATCTTCCTACCGGTGATCGCATCGAGTGTTATATGTGTGAAGCATTTACGGGAAATTATAGGTGCCGTCCCCAGCCAGCTGAGAGGACCAAGTACGCGACGTGATATTATTGTATCACAAACGTAAACACAACGCGAGTTTCATACCACAATAGTGACAGGACACTGAATGCTTTGACGGATGCCACCTTACCACTGCACCAGACATTGACATTGACACCGATCTATGTAGCAACAACCCTTGGCTCAGCATCTAGATTACTAACTGATACCATTAGTACGCCGGCTCAGCCTCAAACGTCTCAATATACTCCGCAACGTCAACATGCCCGTGACCTCGAGCAACTTCAGCAGCTGTCCCTTTCACATTTGATGCTGACCAAATCTTCGTCGACTCAACCTTCTTATCAATCCCAAGTTCCAACAGCCACATAACCACCTCCAAGTGGCCCTTCCTTGCCGCGTAATGAAGTGCCGTGGAATTTACTGCGGTTTTGTGGTTCAAGTCCTGACCGCATCCGAGCAAGAAACTCGCACAAGCAAGATGGCCGCCATGACAAGCCCATAAAAATGCGTTCGTTCCCGCAGGTGTCGAATATAGACATTCAGCGCCGTGATGGCGTAGTAGCCGCATTAGAGGGAGCGACCCGATCTGGGCGGCGAACATGAAGGGCGTTGCATTGTGTAATGACTTCGCATCGGCCGCTGCCCCGCTGTCGAGCAAGAGCCTGCTCATCGATAGGTCGTTGGATGAGACAGCTATATATAGAGGTGTACTGTTGTCGTTTGCTTTTGCGTTTAAATCGGCTTTGAATTCGACCAATAATCTCACGAACTCCGGTAAACACTGCCTGACGGCAAGGTGAAGAAGAGTCAACCCGTCGTTGTCCCTTAGCATCACGTTCGTGTCTTTATCGAGCAAAAGACAGGCCATCAGTAGATCTCCGGACGACATGGCCACTTTCAATGGGGTATCGCCGCCCTCTGTCATTGCGTTCACATCTGCACCAAACGTAACCAAAGTCTTGACGATATCAGCGCGCTTCTTCTCCGTCGCAAAGTGAAGAACAGTCATGCCGTCCCGCAGTTTCACGTTTGGATCGGCGCTGGCTTCTAGCAGCTTGGTCGTAATCTCCGGGTTATTGCACAGAGTTGCATACCACAGGGGCGTCTGCACACTGTCTCCCGTCACACGCCGCGTGTTGACGTTGGCCTTGAGCTTGATCAGACTTTCGACCACATCCAGGTGGCTGGAAGTGATCGCGAGTTCTAGAGGCGTGTAATACATGCCACCTGCCCTGATGTCGTACGAAGCCGTCACTGTAGCCACAAGCTCGAGTTCCTTTGCATAGCCGTCTCTGGCCAGTATGTGCATGGGGGTAAACCCAACGCCTCTAGTCGTAATCGTCGGATCAGCGCCGTGGTGAATCAGAAGACGGATGATTTCCCCGTCCATTGGAAGAAGGTTTCCATCCTCATCCGAGGGACGACAGGCTAAAAAGAGAGGCGTTTGGCCCTGGTCGTCTTGGAGGTTGGGGTCTGCTCCTTTCTCCAGCAGATACTCGATGACAAGTCTTATAGAACCACGGGCTGCCAGGTGCAACGCTGTCAGGTCGTTGGCGTTCTCATGCTTCCAGTCAGCATCCTCGAATAGTAATGTCATCGCTGCTTCTATCTGACGTCTCGATAGAGCGGAAATGAGCGGGGTGCACAACGCATCGTTTTGGACGTCGACGTCGGCTCCGGCGGCCAGGAGCCTGCCCAAGATCAGTGAATAGCCATTTCGGGCGGCGATGTGCAAAGCTCGATCACCATCCGCGTTGAGTTTAGTGTCAATAGGACCATTCCGGGCTAGAACGGCGTGAAGATTTGCGACTTGGCCACTATTGACTGCATTGTGAAGATCCGCGGCGAAGCTTTCATCCCTTTCCTCGACACCAGCGTCCCCGAGCCCCAGGTTTGGTTGGGGGATTAAGTTAGAAATGATCTCTGCAAGAACGGATTGTGGTATATCCGGATCGACTAAATGAGTCGGTACCGGCTCCGGCTCAATGTAATGAGTAGGCGTTGGAGCTGGTGGTTGAACACTCCTCATCAGAGTTAGGACTTTCTGGGATTGACGTCTCCGGTAAGTTAGCACCTGGAGTGACCGGGCCATGTTGGTGCTGAAACTCACAACTGTAGTCCCGCGATCGTGGAACTGATCATGTCTCTCTGGTTCCTGACATTTTGTGAGGCGTCTCTGAACTGGTCCTCCCTCCAAATGAATCTAGCCCTGTCTCTTCTACCCATAGAAGTATTCTGGCGTGAGATTCGTCTGCTATCGACCTTGTCGAGTTCTCTCTCGATTTTCCTAATGGTATTTGTGATGTCCCTCATGGCCCTTCGAAAGCACCACATAAGAGGGTCGTCAGTTACACCATCCTGTAGGATATCCGGGTCTTTCAGGATCTCATCCTTCAAACCGCAACACAACCGGCGGGTCCATTCGCAGTCGGATTTGAGTTCAAGTACCGCCCTGGGCGCGTCCTGATACCTATCGAACAGACCTTTGGCAACTGAGAAGAGTTCGATAACTGAAGTGATCGTCCCGATGACATCCATGTCGCCGGCGAGATCCGACGTTGAAGATGCAATGTTGAATCAGAACAAGACTTGACCGAGAGGATGACGAAGAGATAATAAGTACTTGCTGAAGTCCGAGGTAATGCATCTCCTCAAACCTGCAGCCCCTGACTTGCTCTAGCGCAACCAATGAGATCCTAGGTTCTGCAGCGGCTGACATGCATCGAAGCCACAATCAGGCTGTGTAGTATGCTAATAGTATGCCATTTCTTGCGTAGGCGGACAGCTGGACCACTTCCCTGAAGGAGGGAGGGCCAAACACATATACGAGCGAGAATACCCACATTGAAGAAGGCAATAACTGCAACATAAACAACAACAGAACGGCCACGATATTATCTAGGTTGGGTTCAAAGCCATTTAGAACTGTTATAGACGGGCCGAGACAGTTTTCTGAATAATGGTTTGTCGTAGAGTTTTTGATCGTCTTGGACGTTCCGTGTATGAGATTGACCGCATGTTCAACTCTTGGGAGTACCTGAGCGAAGAGGTGCCCGTGTCTCATCTCATCTCGGGAAACGCATCGCAACATACACCCCTCCACAGTTATTATTCCTGGTCGAATACTTCAGGGGTAACACCGGATATCAAGGAGAACTCTAGAGCTAATAGCAGCAAGGATAGGACTAGAGGTAGCGAGAAGTAGTTGCAAGGGAAAAATGACCGTGGAGGACTGTAGCGTCAATGACGACATATCTGCTGGGGAAAGTCGGTGCTGCCAACAAGGATTTGCCTGTCAATGTCAAGTCCGCCACGGCCGAGGGCAGATACAAGGATGCGAAATGGAAATGCCAATGACGAGAACCTCATTGAACTTTGAGCCAACGCTGGCTGGTGTCAAGACAAGGTAACACTAGTACCTGCCGCTCATGAATTAGCTCATCTGGTTCGGCAACAGTGCCGTTGGGCTGGGCGAGACATGTCGATGCGGGATGACCATCCGGAGCTCTCACGAAATTCAGGTACGTAAACCGGGGTTTATCATAGCAGGGGGGCAGCCGTCACTCGCTCGTCTGAACCGTTGGTCGGTGTCTGAGCGAACATGTGGAAGTACCGGGAGGGATGAGCTGTCCAGCAGCACGGCTGATGTGAGAAGGTGGTGTGCCGCCCGAGAGAGAGAAGAATGAAGAACAAATGAGAAGACTGAACAGAAAACATGGAATGGTGTCTTGTCCAGGGGCCAAGCCGCTAATACATCCCGCAATCAGCTGCAGGCCTGCTCTCCAGGTTCCCAACTGGGTGTTTTCGACCTGCGCCGCCAGAGATAACCTTCTTAGCTTGGGGGTCTCACTGATTACAGGTAACCCGATGTACACTCTCTATCTTATGATGTGACGAAGAGCTGCCAGGAACCGATGCCTTATCTATATATAATATTACTGACGTACCTGTTTTCATTTTTGTTGGTCTAGCTACAAAGTTTACGATCCTGCAGAATAAAACATTGCGCTTGCGCTCCAACTTTCTTCTTTTGAGGTCGTTTTCTTCACCTCGACAATCGCAGACTCATCACTGAAATACCCCGACCGATAACGAATCTCACGAATAACCCCCACCAGTTCACCCAATCTCACCCACAATGACGACCGAAGTATCCCACGGACGAGGCGGAGCCGGAAACATCAACCCCGACGATACCAAATACGTCGATGGCGAGGTTGTGAGGACCGGTCCTGAGGGTTCTCAAGGACACGGAGCCTACAGTTCAGGCAGAGGAGGTACTACACCATCATCTCTTATCAGTTCCCCTGCGGCATCGGCGCGCGCACTTAGCTCACGAAAGCCGATGGAGTCACTCCACTGTCATACCTGAATTGCGTCGCAAACTCACGCGTCGCTCCCGGCGCGGGAGGGAAACCAATCTCACTCAAACTTCACTCAATATTTTAGCAGTGGACTGACCTAATGCCTTGTCTCTCTCAGGCGCCGGTAACATCGGCGACGCCGGCACCGCTCCCGCCCGGCGCTCCGACAAGGACCTCGTTCCCGAGGAGGCCTACCGCCCGTCCACCGAGAACCAGGATTACCATGGCGGCCGTGGCGGCGCGGGAAATGCGCACAAGTCGATCGACCACGAGAAGAAGGCCGCCGCCCAGGCCCGCGCCGACGGCACCGCTGGCGTCAGCGTCGCCGACAAGCTCAAGGCCAAGATCCTCGCCCCCTTCCACAAGAAGTAAACAAAAGTCGACCGGAGTGACAAAGTCATGTTGTGATGAGCGCAAAGAGATGGATGTTGGTTGATGAGAGTATGGTAATGCTGTGCGGTTGAGGTCGGTGCCTGATCACAACCCAGGTGGAAGCTTTTTTTGTTTGGATTTTGACATACCCTTCACGATATCCCCATTTTCATATGAGCCAGTAGACGAGATCGATTGACACTATACCGGAGCTAGGTTGGGCTGCAAGATCATGAGATGTCTCAATAAATCATCAAGTCTTTCCTGTTGTTGAATTGCAATTTTTCAAATCTAGGCCTGCTCGATTTCTGTTATTTTAGCCCCGCAAGCTTGAACGATGGTTAGATTAGTATGGACTCAATAGGGAACACTGAGCGGCATAGTCTGTTCGGTGAACGAAGGTCAAGAAGCACTGATTTACTCAGTGGCAAGGATCTTATGCACGATTAATTGCGCAGGCACGTGATCACGCGCAGACAAAGCGCTACGTCCAGGGACCCCGCGATTTTCGTGTCAGAGGGACCGGCATGCCATCGTCATTACTTTCCTAACCTACACAGAACTTTTCGTGGACTTCAACTTTCGTCGCACTAAAATCACCAATACGAATCACCAAACAGCAGCGGAAAAGTCTTGATAACCTCAATCGCTTGCCTAAAAGATTCTCTCTCAATCTCGACAGGGAGGTGGCAAAATGGCGCCTTCATCGTCGGCCGCCCGGAAGCGAACGAGCAGTACTCCGAAGAAGAGCTTTAGCAAAGTTCCACCCTCGAAGAAACCGGCACGTCCGAATGCCAGCATCCTGAGCTTCTTTCAAAAAGCCGAGAAACCTGAGCCAACCCTTTTCCTCGACGGTCAAGAGAAGCTTGCAGTTCAGATCGAAAACGACGAAGAGCCCAATATTTACGATGCCGAACCTTGGGAAGAGGAGGAGAGATTCAACGAGGTTGAGTCCTCAATCAAGAAGCGAAGGCTGAGTCATGAGGAGGAGAATAAGGATGCAGAACAATCGAGTCCGAAGGAGGCCAGAAGCCCTGTTCCCGCTGAGCCCGCACCTTCATCACCGACAACAGAGGCAAGGCCCGTGAAGAAACCATCAGGCAAGCGCAAGGGCCCATTTCTCGAAGAATCCGACAGCGAAGAGGAGGAAGATACCAAGGAATCTGCCACGAAGCCACCGTTCATCAACGCAGCCCGCAACACAGCGCCCGTAACGCTGCCGACCACGATGGAAGAGCCACCTCTTAAGAAAGAGGAGGAGGAGGAGGAGGACGCGACACCGCCTGCTAAAGAGACGAGTTGCCCGCCGCCGCCGCCGCCGCCAATGAAGGTTGAGGACTCGATCGACAATGATTTTGCAAATGTTGACGAGTTTGGTGACCTAGACGAATTTCCCGACGACGAAGATTTCGGAGGTGAAGAGTATCGCATGATGCAGTTCATGGAGGAGCAAGCCAGGCTAGAGGCTGAAGCGGAGGCTGCCGACACCGGCGATTATTCTTGCGACGACATTGCCGACCCTATCCGAGCCAGTGAGGCCATGGTTGCCAACTGCCCAATATGCGATGGAAGCCTTGCTGGAATTACACCAGACGAAGCAACACGACACGTCAACGCCTGCCTCGATGGCAATCCAATTCCCCTACCACAGCCGAAGCCACCCAAGAAAGAAAAGACAGCACCAACGCCAACTCTTGGTCCTCCAGAGATCAACAAGCGATTCGCACGCGCGGCTGTCCCTCGCGCTGGCCAAGCCAATCCGTTCCAAATCGGCGAGGTCGCAAACAAGCCAACCTCGGCGTTCACGAAACTGATGTCAGGTCACGCGGAGGATGCGGCATGGGCCGGAGCAGCTGCGGCGGAGCACTCGGCACGTGGAAAGCCAGCATATCAACGCACGTGTCCATTCTACAAGATCATGCCTGGTTTCTACATCTGCGTCGATGCCTTCAGGTACGGCGCAGTCAAAGGGTGCAACGCATACTTCCTCAGCCACTTCCATAGCGATCACTACATTGGATTAACTGCCAACTGGACACACGGGCCCATTTACTGCAGCAAAGTCACCGGAGACCTGGTCAAGATGCAGTTGCGGGTTGCCGCCAAGTGGGTTGTTCCACTCGAATTCGATCAGACACAAGAAGTTCCTGGCACAGAGGGTGTTACGGTCACTATGATTTCCGCTAATCACTGCCCTGGGAGTTCCCTTTTCCTTTTTGAGAAGACCATGGGCAAGGGTCAGTACGCCAGGAAACAGAGGATTCTGCATTGTGGAGATTTCAGAGCCTGCCCAGCACAAGTTGGTCACCCACTGCTGAAACCTGACGTGCAAGACTCCATCTCAGGCAAGACCAGACAACAGAAGATCGATGTCTGCTATCTCGACACGACCTATCTTAACCCTCGCTACTCCTTTCCGCCTCAGAACGATGTCATCAACGCTTCCGCGGAACTCTGCAAGTCACTTGCCCCAGAGCAAAACTCCGAGGATAATGCGTGGGACAGAGTCAATAGAGAGGCGGGCACGGATACTGTCAGCAAGTTCTTCACCAAGGTGAATGGGGACAATGCAACAGCGAAGTCGAAACCGAAGAATGCACCTAAAGAACGCCTCCTCGTTATCTGCGGCACATACTCGATTGGCAAGGAACGCATTTGCAAAGCTATTGCTCAAGCGTTGGGGAGCAAAATATTTGCGTCAAAGTCCAAAATACGCATTTGCTCCAAGCTCGGAGATCCGGAACTCACCGCGCTGTTGACGGACAACCCGCTGGAAGCCCAGGTGCACATGCAAATGCTGATGGAGATCCGCGCCGAGACATTGCAAGACTATCTCAACTCGTACAAGCCGCACTTCAGTCGTATTGTGGGATTCCGGCCTTCCGGTTGGAACTATCGCCCGCAAGGCGCGGGGAAGGCGGTGTCGGCCAACACACAGCCCGGAACGATTCCCACAACGCAAATCCTGCAGGGCAAGGCGTGGCGCTCCCGATTCGGTGCCAAAGACTTTGTTGCTCAGCGTGGAAGCACAAAGGAGGCCATGTGCTTCGGGGTGCCGTACAGCGAACACAGCAGCTTTCGAGAGTTGGCGATGTTCCTGATGGCACTGCGTATCGAGAAAGTTGTGCCCACGGTCAATGTCGGAAGCGAGGTGTCTAGGAAGAGAATGAAGGGTTGGACCGACAAGTGGTTATCGGAACGAAGGAAGGGCGGTCTCATCCGTCCTCTGGAGGGTGATGAGAGCGAGGGAAAAGAGGTCGCACTTTGGGATGGGAAGGATGGCGGCGGTGGGGGTGTTTGGTGGTGATCGATCACTTCATGAATAGACAATCGTAACGACTAATGACAACTCGATCGAGACGCATGCCCGTAAACAGTGGTTCATTTCATGGGTTCGTGGCTGGATATCAAGCTGTTCTACCCTTTCCGCGCTCATCCCATCTAGTCGGAATACCCCAGACGCCATGACCCATGTTTAGCTGCTAGAAGAAATTGCATGTCGCGGCTTTTCACCACGTCTTTCGTGGGCCGGCTTTTGTAGTGCCCCGGCCACGTTTTCATGATCCTCGAAGTTCCATCGTCACTATACCCACTACGATGTTGATGGATTATTTCGCCTTTGCTGACTGGGCGGCAGCCTCTGTTGAACCATCAGTGCTGACTTCTTGGTGGCTCAAAGCTAACCCCTTCATGGGGCTCGGAGGAGTGACACTTACCTCTCCGCGTCGCATCCTCGAGAAGAGGGACGTCTACATGGTTGGCGGGGAGGTGGACGTAGCGGACGACGGAACCACGAATGAAGACATTCTTGACGGAGCTCTGCAATGCGATGTTAGCACGGGAGTTTCTTTGCAGTCGATGAAAGAAAGCAAGGTTCGATGGAGCCTCGATGATGGCGTGGAGTGGGTGACTGACCAGGTGCGGGTACTTGAGCTCCTCGACGACGGAGATGTCATCGAGCTTGATGTTGAGGTACTGGTCGACGCTCTTGAGGGTGCCGCGGATCTGGATGTCGTTCTTGAGCTCGACGGTGACCTCGTGGTCTATGAGGGTCTTGAAGAAACTGGCGGGGTAAGCGCGTCAGTTAGAGGGCTTTCCAGATGATCATGAGAGCTTAGATCGGCTCCGAAGAGTGTTAGAGCTCTTGGATATGAGTTGCAGGGGCTTACCTGAAGAAAAGCATGATGGGCGGTTGGGTTGGGTGCTGATTTCGATGAGCCGTTCAATGAGGTCGTGATGCTATCGAGCTTGACTGCGAAGGTGGAGACCTGGACCGTGTTTTTTGATACAGTGCGTACAGTGAGATTTGACTGCCCAAAGTCAGGCCCGGCGGTTGCCAGGTGGCGACGGAATTGGCCACTTCGACTGAGTCGGCGAACCCGCTTAGGGAGAGAGTACCTTAAGGTAGTAGGAGCAACTTGATTCATTTTCTTGCGAACTTCATCCGACTTTAGTTTGTTCCTTCTTTTGATACCCACTGGTTGTTGATTTCTTCGCGTTCTTTAGGCCATTTCTCCGCTTTGCTAAGACTTCTGGCTTCAGGCTGGAGTTCAGCATGTCCATCGCCCGGATTACCGAATGGCGAAAGTTGCCCCTGAGTCTCGCAGAGTTGTGTATTGACACGACACTTCGATGTGGCCAGTCCTTCCGATGGCGCAAAATCAACGATGAGTGGTTAGCATACCGATTGCGCCTCATTCTCGAAAGTCCATTTTACTAAGATGACTTTCAGGTGCTGCACTCTGTACGGCCGTATCGTCTCACTGAAGCAAGATCCAACTCATCTGCATTATAAGGTGACTTGGCCGAAGAAGCCTGTCTACCCGCTGACACCACCTGTGACCGAAAACGAAGTCGACGGTGATGATACGGAAGAGTTGCTGCGTCATTATCTGAGCCTGAAACTGGACCTCAAGTCTCTTTATGAACAGTGGTCTGAGGCAGACCCCAACTTTCGCAAGAGGGCACCGGAATTCGGAGGAGTTCGCATGCTGAGCCAGGATGCATGGGAGGCGTTGATTTGCTTCATTTGCAGCAGCAACAACAACATATCAAGAATATCTCAAATGGTATGTTTAAGCGGTCCCCGAAATCTTGACTCAAACTCACTGCAGAACAGGTCCACAAGCTATGCAAACATTACGGACCGCTCATCGGTCACATCGGGGACGAGGCTTTCCACGATTTCCCGACACCAGAGGCTTTGACCGGCAGCTCAGTAGAAGCTCACCTGAGGGAGCTTGGTTTCGGCTATCGGGCCAAGTACATCGCGCAAACAGCTTCGATCGTGGTGAACGAGCGGCCGAAGGGCTGGTTCGAAAGCATCACGAATCCGGAGAATCCGTGCTATAGAAAGACTGCGGAAGGCGCCAAGCTGCCTCAGTGTACATACAAAGAGGCTCACGAGCAGCTCCTCCAACTGTCTGGGGTTGGACCCAAGGTTGCAGACTGCGTCTGTCTGATGGGCCTTGGCTGGGGCGAGGCCGTGCCGGTAGACACGCACGTATGGCAGATTGCCCAGCGAGACTACAAGTTTGGCAAGGTCAAGACCAAAACCTTCAACAAGACCATGTACGACGCGGTCGGAGATCACTTTAGGGACCTCTGGGGCAAGTACGCCGGCTGGGCTCACTCGGTGTTGTTCACGGCGGATTTGAAGACGTTTTCCGAGCGAACGGTTAAGAAGGAGGACAACGACACTGTAACGATAAAGAAGGAGGTCAAAGTCGAGGAGGATGCGCCACCGATGAGCAGGAAACGTAAGGTTGTGAAGACGACCGTCAAGGTGGAAGTTGAAGAGGCGCCGGATGCGGCGGTGGAGACGTCGCCAAAGAGGAGGAAGACGAGGTCTCAAACGCTGAAAAGGACTTCCAAGTCTGCATAATTGGCCTCAGTTGTGGTGTTTCATACCACGATCAGTGGCTCACAGGATGAGGGGGCTTTGTTGCTAGTAGTACCACTCTGCTGTCATACCGGGTACAGAAGTGTCCGATATGACCAAAAGAAGATGCTGAATAAGTTCCATCGTTAAAGACTCAGTTTGTTTTTATTCTTGAAAATGAGACGCGGGAAAAATGGTTGGGCTGATGCTGAGTCGCGATTTTTGGGAGGTACAGCTGTGAGCTCCCCAGCCTTTCAAGGTTGGCGCGGCTCCACTAAAGCCCGAGCGTCTAATTTTAGGTGGCGTCAGAAAGAATTGCAAACTCTCCTGCGCCTTCGGCAGTCTCATCAGCATCAAACATCCATTACTGATGCGCGCCGTCATCGCCAACCGACCACTTGCACCTTCACAAGTGACATGAAGCAGCAATACCCATAATTCAAAATGTCCGACGCAGACTTCGAGACCGTCCGGAAGCTCCAGGCGGAGCGCAACGCTGCCGCCGCTGCGAGAAAGGGTTCGCGCAACAACGACTCCAACCAGCGACCCGATACGAAGCAGAGCCTCACCGAAAGCTTCGACACCGACCTCTACGATCGCAGCAATGGCGTCGACAAGTTTGCCGGATACAACACGTCCATTCCCACGGGCGACGATGATGATGAAGAGATGGAAGGAGCCGACAACACGCGCCGGCTCGTTGGTCAATACACGGCTTCACGTGCCATGATCGACGAGTTCGCGCGCGGCGATGGCGTCGAGGAAGACGACCCCTTGGCAGGCCGGGGTGAGCGCAGCAACAGGATCACTGATCGCGAGACTGATTACCAGAAGCGACGATTCGATCGCGCCCTGACTCCCACCCGAGCCGACGCTTTCGCTGCCAACGGCAAGACTGGCGCCGCCGAGGAGGGATCCAGATATCGCGATACCATGAAGGAGCGCGAGCTCGAGAGAGAGGAGGAACGCGTCCGCCGCGCCATCGAAGCCAAGGCTTCGGGCAGGGAAGAGGAGGACGGCAACGTTGCCCAAGCGACCCTGAAGGATAGCGACAAGGAAAACGCCGATGCTGGTTCGACCGAGGCCGCCGCGGCAGGCAGAAAGCGCAAGAAGAGATGGGACGTTTCGTCCACGCCAGCCGAGGATGAAGCAGCCCCTCAAGCTTCAGAGCCCGTCAAATCGAAGCGTTCTCGATGGGATCAGACGCCAGCTCCCCCTGGCGTGGAATCCACCGATGGCCCGAAGAAACGATCTCGATGGGATCAAGCACCGTCTGCCACCCCCATGGGCAACCAGGGCCTTGCGACACCGATGCATCCCTCCCAGTCGAGCGGCGCCGTTCTACCGACCACCTTTGGCACCGACATCTCTGGGCGCAACATGCCTCTCAGTGACGAAGAGTTGGATATGCTCCTCCCAGGTGAGGATCAAGGATACAAGATTCTCGAGCCTCCTCCAGGATACGCCCCGGTACGAGCGCCTGCGCACAAGCTCATGGCTACGCCGTCGCCGCAGACGGGCTTCATGATGCAGGACCCCGACGCCGTCAGATTGAGCGGAAAGCCCATGCCGGCCGAAATCCCCGGTATCGGTGACTTGCAGTTCTTCAAGGCCGAGGATATGGCATACTTCGGTAAGCTGACCGACGGTTCTGACGAGAACAGCCTGAGCGTTGAGGAGATGAAGGAGAGGAAGATCATGAGGCTGCTCTTGAAAGTCAAGAACGGTACTCCACCAATGCGTAAAACTGCTCTGAGACAGCTCACCGACAATGCCAGGCAGTTTGGAGCCGGTCCGCTCTTCGACCAGATTCTTCCCCTGCTCATGGAGAAGACGCTGGAAGATCAAGAACGCCACTTGCTCGTCAAGGTCATCGATCGTATCCTCTACAAGCTCGATGATCTCGTACGGCCGTTCGTCCACAAGATTTTGGTCGTTATCGAGCCGCTGCTCATCGACCAAGACTACTACGCCAGAGTCGAGGGTCGTGAGATTATCTCCAACCTCAGTAAAGCAGCTGGTCTGGCCACCATGATCAGCACAATGAGACCCGATATCGATCACGTAGACGAGTACGTACGAAACACCACCGCCAGAGCTTTCGCTGTTGTTGCCTCGGCACTAGGCATCCCAGCTCTTCTGCCGTTCCTCCGAGCCGTTTGCCGAAGCAAAAAGTCGTGGCAGGCCCGTCACACCGGTGTCAAGATCGTTCAGCAGATCCCGATTCTCATGGGTTGTGCTGTTCTGCCGCATCTGAAGGGATTGGTGGACTGCATCGGTCCTAACCTCAACGACGAACAGACCAAGGTCAGAACTGTCACCAGTTTGGCGATCGCGGCGCTCGCCGAGGCCTCCAGTCCCTACGGTATTGAGAGCTTTGACGACATCCTCAACCCGCTATGGACCGGTGCTCGCAAGCAGCGTGGCAAGGGTCTGGCTGGATTCCTCAAGGCTGTGGGTTACATCATTCCTCTCATGGACGAGGAATACGCCAACTACTATACCAGTCAAATCATGGAGATCTTGCTCCGTGAGTTCTCGTCTCCGGACGAGGAAATGAAGAAGGTTGTCCTGAAGGTGGTGTCCCAGTGCGCTGGCACTGATGGTGTCACGGCAGGATACCTCAAGGAACACGTCTTGGACGAATTCTTCAAGAGCTTCTGGGTAAGGCGGATGGCCCTTGATAAGCGAAACTACAAGCAGGTCGTCGAAACTACTGTGGACATCGGCCAGAAGGTCGGGGCCAGCGAAATCTTGGAGCGGATCGTGGTCAATCTTCAAGACGAAAGCGAAGCCTACAGAAAGATGACGATCGAGACGGTGGAGAAGATTGTGGCCAGCTTGGGAGCAGCAGATATCGGCGAGCGACTCGAGGAGCGCTTGATTGACGGTATTCTGGTCACTTTCAAGTCCCAGACTGTGGAGGACATCGTCGTGCTCAACGGTTTCGGCTCTGTCGTCAACGCTCTGGGCACCCGTTGCAAGCCGTACCTGCAACAGATTTGCAGTGACATCCTGTGGCGCCTAAATGACAAGTCGCCAACAGTGCGACAACAAGCAGCCGACCTCATCTCGCGTATTGCCATGGTCATGAAGCAGTGCGGAGAGGATGCTATGATGGGCAGAATCGGTGTTGTCCTGTACGAGTACCTGGGTGAAGAGTACCCCGAAGTTCTCGGATCTATCCTGGGTGCGCTCCGTTCCATCGTCACGGTTGTCGGTATCTCGCAGATGCAGCCTCCGATTAAGGACCTGCTGCCTAGACTTACCCCGATTCTGCGCAACCGACACGAAAAGGTCCAGGAAAACACCATCGACCTCGTCGGTCGTATCGCTGATCGGGGCCCTGAGAGCGTCAACGCCCGCGAGTGGATGCGTATCTGCTTCGAGCTGCTCGACATGTTGAAGGCGCACAAGAAGGGCATTCGTCGTGCCGCCAACAACACGTTTGGTTTCATCGCCAAAGCCATTGGTCCTCAGGATGTTCTTGCTACGCTGCTCAACAATCTGCGCGTACAGGAGCGTCAGTCGCGTGTCAACACCGCCGTTGCTATTGGTATCGTCGCCGAGACTTGCGCGCCCTTCACCGTCCTCCCTGCCCTTATGAACGAGTACCGCGTGCCTGAGCTAAACGTCCAAAATGGTGTTCTCAAGTCGCTGTCATTCCTCTTCGAGTACATCGGAGAGATGGCCAAGGATTACGTCTACGCCGTCACCCCACTCCTCGAGGATGCCCTCATCGACCGCGACCAGGTCCATCGTCAGACTGCTGCCTCCGTCGTCAAGCACATTGCGCTCGGCGTCGTCGGTCTCGGCTGCGAGGATGCTATGGTCCATCTCCTTAACCTCCTCTACCCCAACCTCTTCGAAACCAGTCCGCACGTCATCGACCGTATCATCGAGGCCATCGAAGCCATCCGCATGGCCGTCGGTCCCGGTGTCGTCCTCAACTACGTCTGGGCGGGTCTCTTCCACCCGGCCCGCAAGGTCCGCCAGCCGTACTGGCGCCTCTACAACGACGCCTACGTCCAGGGCGCCGACGCCATGGTGCCCTACTACCCCAACCTCGACGAGGAGAAGGTCGACAGGTCGGAGCTGGCCATCATGCTATAGAAGGACCGCGGGGCAACTATAGGCGAAGTGGAGGGGGACGATCCAACAGCAGACACGAAGCGCGGGCGGGCGGCGGGACGTCGATTCACGGTTTCAAGGTTTTTGCTTCTACATACGATATCCAGACACGAGATCGCGGGGGATTTCCAGTTTGGTACGAGCGCCCCGAGATGAGGAAGGATGGAAGGGAGGGTCAGTCAGGGACCGGATTCAAGCAGAAGATTGGGCACAGAAAGGGGAGGGAGAAGATACATCGAACACACACGCGCGTGATGTTGTATTACGGGCGCAAGGGAAGAAAAAGCAGCCCATTGTACTGAGTCATAATACTCGATCGTGTAGACTTTGTTGTTGTTGGCGGTGGAGCATTATCCAAACGGCGTTGGGCAGAATAATCACGAAAGCTTTTCATTTTCACAACTGTATTTTGGGTTTTTTTTCTCAGTGTACTTCCAATCTATCCAGCGAGTTATCTCATTCGTCCTCATCCGTCACGATGTATCTCACGTCTTCCTTGTGCACGTTGTAACATGTGTTTGCGTGTGCGCGTGTTGTTGGGCGTGAAGCTACAATGACTCGGGACATCTCCATCGACCGGAATAGCAACGGAAGTGGACTGATGGCATGGAGACGGCGCCGAGAATGAATCGGACCCGAGGGGGGGAACCGCGTTCAGGGAATCACGAGGTTTTTTTTCTCTCTCTGCTTTGCGAGAGGAGGATCGATCGGGGCATATCGGTTCAAAACCGCGTAACGACGAAGACTATCTCGGTACGACAAGACGACAACATGGTCCCATCCCATTCGATCCCGTATCATCCCCGTTCCCAGGTTCCGGTCCCGTCTCTAAATATCCGGCGTTCAACCCAGTATCCTTCCGCGAAAACGCTTCCGGGATGGACCTCACTCCCTTCGAGAAGACGCGTCCGTGTTGTGTTGTCTGTTTTGGGTGTCTCTTCTTTGCGTTTGCGATGGGCGCGTCGTTTTGAAATCAGCGGTAGCCTTGCTTCCGGCCAGGCACAGCTCACGTGTTTTCTGAAAAAAGAACAGACACACGGCAGGCCGCTTGACAACTCCACGGGGGCGTGTGTGAGTTGCTCCCTCCGTGGACGGAGTGACGGGATCATGGATTTTGGACACGGAGTGACGGCAATAGGGATATAGACTGCAGAAGGAGAGAGCTGAAAGGTTCGTCTCCTTTACGGATCCTTGGCATGGTGTAGAAAGGCCACTTTTTCGCGACTTTCTTTTTGGATTCTCTTATGGACGAGAGGAACCTGTATCCCGGTACCCCGTTCAGGTACGGAGGACAAAACACTCTATTCAAGCTTCGGGCTGGCATGATGTACCTTATCAAAAGTTCCCCTTTCCTCCTGTAGATGATCAGCAAAATGCGGGATGCCGGTGGTTTGGATCTATTTGGTTTGCGCAGTTGCGATTGTTTGTGTGTTGTATCTGTGGAGAAAGAAGAACAATGTATCCCCCCTCTTCTGTTGTTGGCGTGTTTGAGATATCTTCGGAATGCAACTCTCCTTTTTTTTTTTTCTCGCGCGCTCAGGGGCTGGGTTTGTTGGCCGGGAAGGGATGGGCTGCTGGCGTTGCAGTCTGACGAGGTTGCGGTCGGCGCGGGTTTCTTACTTTGTTATTGATTCCGTGGGGAAACCGGGCGACAATCGAGCCCAAACCTGGGCACACGCGCCGTGGTTGCGTGGTTCCTCCGGGACGGAGAAAAAGATGCGAGATTCAGGTGAGTCGACACGGGTAGATTGTCGAAGGGCTGGCTGTAGTGTAAAAAATGGAGGGACTGGACTTCCTTTCGTTTCAAGCAGGACAGAGCCTCAATCGTCGCCTTGGACGACTTCATTCGCAAACGGCCATGATTTCTTAACGCGATTCCTCGGTTTTGCCAATGGCGCATTTTCGGATTCGGGGGCAGGCATGGGAAAGTGAACATTGCGGTTTGGCCCAGGGCGTGTCCCCCCCTTCTCCAGGGCACTTGGGTGGGCACCTCCATCACATTTCGGCCGTTTTCGTCCAGTGTTTTTGGCGGGCGCCCACACCACCAACCTTCTCAGTGACCACTGACCACTGACCACCTCACTGACCGGACCGCCGACCGGTTTTCCACAAACAGCTTCTTTTCTTCTTCCTCTCTTTCTGACTCGCCTTATCTGCGCCAGCTGGCTCACGACTCAAAAGAACAACGGCCGCGAAGGTACTGTTGGCGTTGCTTCTCGAGGTAAAGGGTCCCTGCGGGGGATCTGCAAGCCTGCGTCGGCCGAGGACAACAGAGTTGAGGCTAGCTGTTGATAGTTCTGATCTGTCTGAGGCTTTTCCTGAGGCGCTAGTCGCCCTGCAGACGAAAACTTGTGCAAGCCATGTTCAGATTTATCAAACTCTGAGGCAGAAGATCGACAGACGTCCCGGGATTTTGCAGGATGTGCCGGCTCCTTTTTTCACCCTTCTGCTGATACGTCTAAAATAACGTGGATGGTGGACATGAACCAACAAAGTAAGCACTGTCTCGGTGAGCTCGGCCAAATTGAAAGGCGAAACCGGCATCTTCGCCTAGCACAACTGGCGAATCTCGGGCAAGATATCTAGACAATGTCCTAGACAGCCATAACGGAAGCCGATGAGATTCGAGTTCTCGAGACATTTTTGCCTCATTTACATTCCAGATGCGTTTAGTAACTATCCAATGGTGCAAGATATCCGTACGCAGTGCCGTACCTCATCTGAACAAAGAGGGAACGGGCGGACGGGCGCAGAGCTATGATGCAGCCTTGCTGGGACGACGCGTCCGTTCCGAGGGCGTGCGGCCATCAAGATCGATCCCAAGACTGGCATTTCCCAAGGCACGGGAACCCCTTGATGTTCTCCTGATATGCGACTGTGGGAATCCAACCCGTACACCAGGTAGCGTTTCATCTTGGAGAGCTCAGCCTTGCGTGCGCGTGTCGTCCCAAGTGGAAGGTCCACGATCGTCATAGATCGTCGCCGTCATCCTGCTGTCGTCCCCTCTTCCCACGAGAAATCGACTCCTTCCTCGCGTGGTCAAGACGCTGATCCGGAAGTTTCGCTCAACGCTCCAGAAGATCCCCTCCCCTGCAAGGCTACTGCGGTAGGTATCGACAGGAGAAGGTTCGAAAAAGGCAATTGCGGAATCGGAGCGGAAACGCGAATCCTGCTCGCTGGTTTCCAGCAAGGGCTGGCGCTAGATCGACGCACACACTGGAGATGCTGGGCGGAAGCTGGCCTAGCGACCGGTTTGGCGCCGGGGCACTCGGAACCTTGACGTAGAGTTCTCACCGGCCGGGGCGGGCGCAGGTTAGGTCGGGCGTCTTCTCGTGTTCCCTCAGGCGGCAATGGGGGTGGCGCGCGCTGGGATGCGACTCAGGTAACCCCGTATGTCATCGTGAAAGCTAACTTGGGTCGGCATTGTGGCGATGCGTTGCGATTTGGTAGCTAAATGTGTTGCGATTTTTCAGCCGATCGAATCCGTAGATGATGAGCAAATGTACTGGAAAAGTCGTGTCCGTACCGGTACGGTGCAGATCGGGCGTTGCGCGTCGCCGTGTCGGGATTGCGGTGCCCGAATCAATCGGTGTCGGCAAAGCCTCAGCCTCAAGGACGGTCCCGGAGGAGAGTGAGGATGGTGAGGATGGTGAGTGGCGCATTACGCCTCCGGATTGGATGCGCCGTTGTCGGAGGACGATGAGAGAGGGCGAATATCCCAGGACCATGAGTCTTGCATGATGAATCAATCTGCGGCTGGTGCTGGCCGAGGGATCGAGAGAGTTGGTGAAAGTATCGCTACGAGGGTGTGGTCAGTCAATGCTGGGACGAAACGGTTCCGGGGAAAGAAAAGCTAATCAATCCGGGGTGAACGCGGGGTTCACGATACCTTAAGTACGTATCTGTAAGTATTCTTATTTTTTTTGCCATCTGTTGGAAGGGAAGAAGCATGGGAATATGGACAGATTCGATAAAAGGGTAAGGGGATTTTGGGCGTTTCAGAAGGAACAAGGTCGCCAAGTTACGTCATTGAGTGTTTCGAAACACATCCCACGATGCCCCTTCTTCCCTCGGTTTCCCCCGTGTTTTGGGGGTGTGAAGCTGAAGCCAGCTGCCTGTCCGCAGCCCTACCGACCGTACGGATACCTACCTTGGTATGCCATACCTTCCTCGCCTTTTTTTTTTTCCAATACTGTGGTAGTTGCTGCGTTGTTCGAGTCAAACACCACCAACTATTGCTGTCGCGGCCAACGCAGCAGCCCTATCCGCTCTGTGCTGCGTGCCTACCTAGGTATTCGCACCTTCCATTCTCAAGGTTACCTTGGCTCACTAGCAGGGCACCTCAGGTTCGGTTGGCCGTGTATTAACGGAAGGCAGCACCCGATTCAAACGAGCCCTACCAAAACGAAATCTTGAGTCAACCTCAACTTTACTGAGCCGCAACGTCCAACCTCGATCAACGCCGCATCAATCCCATCTGATCTTGTACCGCATTTTCGTCTTTTTTCTTTTTTTGTCGCAACCACGCACGGCTGGATTTCATCCTTATGTCATTCAGCACAAAATTACCCGAATCAGACTCAGACCCTTCGAAAAAAACACAACACGGATGCAACCCGTCTCTACCACCTCTTTCAAACGACATCTCTCACCTGCCGAAGCTTTTCCCTAGTTACAGAAACGATGTCAGCCTCTGAACATGTCCGATATCACCGTCCTCGGCTCGAAAAATTGAGCTTAGCAAGCACACCGCTTCTAATGGTGTCCTTGCACCAAAACCGTGGCGCCTTGACTTCACAGTGACGCCGCCGCACAGCAGTAGCCCGGCGTCTACTCTGTCTTGGGCTTGGCTTGCTCAAACGGTTGTTCGCGTTTTCTCCTGAGGCTTGCCGGCTGCACCAGATTCCGCCATTAGAAGCTGCAGCCATCGTTAGACCCGGCGCCTCCAGGGCCATTGTGCGACTTGGGCATTGTCCTTAGTC